CTGGCGCATATTGTCAGGGTTATGAGATTAAAAAATGTTTGATCTAATAATGGCCCTTTATTTTTTTTTCCTTTTATGGAATAAATACATGTAGTGAACAATTCCTTCTGTGCGCAACTCATCCTACATTTCTCAAGGGATTTTGATAAAACTTTCACAGAACCTTTGTGATCAAGTGTTCTTGTGCATGGTTTTGTCATTTGATATTTTTTTACCTAATCATGGCCTTTTGTTTTTTCTCCTTGTATAGAATTTATAGTGAACGCTACTCCTCCCCCATTTTTTAAGGAATCACAGAAGCTTTATCATCAAGTGCCCTGGAGCATATTATCGGGGTTTATGATTTGATAATTTATTTTTTTATGTAATTTTGGCCCTTTGTTCTTTTACTTATAAGGAATATATAGTGAACAATTCCTGTGCGCAACTTCTTCTTTAATTCTCAATGGAATAATATATTTCATTTAAACTTGGTGTATGGTAATAATATGAAAATACCTTACTTTGGATTGTTTTTAGCCCCCTTTGGTTCCAGGTCAATGTTACTAAAAATAGAAACTCAGTTTCTAGTCAATAACTTGAGTTTGGAACAAGATATTCCAATGCAACTTGGTGTATAGAAAGCTTAGATAGATATTTCTCTTCTGATTGCTTTTGGATCCCTAGAGTCAATGTCACTGTTACTAAAAATAGAAATTCAGTTTTCAGTTAGTAGTCACTAGAGTTTGGGATGAGATATTTCAATAACACTTGGTGTATAGAAAGCTCATGTGAAGCTTTTACTTGGAATTGCTTTAGGGTTTCCAAGTATCAATAAAAGGTCACTGTTACTAAAAATAGAAAATTGGTTTCAGGTCTTTAACTTTATAATTTAGGAATGAGATTTTAATTGAACTTGTATATTATTCCTACACTATTTGAAAGCTCGATCAATTGAGATTGCTTTTGAGCCACGTAGGGTTATTCTGTACATTGTTTGTATGACAATAAAACAGTTGTGATAATAGAAAACCTGATTTCGTGGCATTGCCATGTTTCTTGTTTCTGCAATGCGATTGTATACATTTGAACGTTGTATAGAACATAGAAACCGTCAAACTGGTCATTTGTGTAAATTTACGCCTACTTGCTTTTGTTTTCATTGCTGTTAAGGGATCACATATTTTTGAAAATAAATTCAACTGGTTGGGGCAATTTGTACGAGACATAGAAATGGGGAACGTGTAACAAATCAATGCGAAATAAAAATTTATCCACTATATTTGTTTATTTTTCTCCGTACATTTAACACAATTTGCAGGTTTTATAGCAAACCCTCTTTGCAGACTTTATTCATTTCGACGAGTGATATGTACAGGTGGTATTTTAATTGGGCTTGGATATTTCCTTTCGGGATTCGTGACAAGGATGGAGTACATGTACACTACATTTTTTATAATTGGTTTTTACACTTTTCTTTATGCACAAATGCTTCTATATAACATTTTGTAAAAAGCGCTCTTATATATTCAATACGTCCGATATACAATACGGATAAAATTACAACTGACGTTTATAGTCATCCATTTATATTCAGTTAGAGACATTCCCTGCCTTTCATAACGATTTTTGTGAGCGTTTAAACAATAGTATCAACTCGTGTTTAAGAACATTAATAAATAGTGGCTTATAAAGTAAAGAATTTGCCTCATCGCCTTTGTTAATGAATTTACCTGAACTTATTTCAAAATCATCGATAACTAAAGCTACCGTGTTTACTCGATAAAGATCACTGATTCAGGGATTGGCTTTGGTCTGACATTTACTCCGAGTATAACAATCATTACCTATTACTTCGATAAACATCTAGCACTTGCAAACGGTATCATATTGTCCGCGAGCAGTGTTGGTGGAATAGTGCTTCCGTTCCTGTACACGTAAGTGTAAAATGTAAAAGGACACTTGTTCAATTATACCTTTGAAATATTTTTAAAAAATATGAAATAGCATATAATCATTTTTAATATACAAGTTTTATAGGTGTTTCGGCGCTGAAAGTGTATTGAATTATTTAGGTATATTTTATTCTGAGTCTGTTTTAACACGTGAGTGACATTTTGAATGGTTGATGATATATATATATATATTTACATTTATTTATTTGTAGGTATCTCTTTGAGCAGTATGATATGATAGGGACGTTTTGGATTCTTGGGGCAATTTTTGCTAACAATTGCGTTGTAGCCTGTTTTTTTAAGGCAGCCTAGTGTCTTGATTGATGAAAAAAAGGCGTTTTGTTATTGAACAAAGTGAAGAGAACTGTATTGTATATAATAAAAGTGGTAAAAAGGAGGACAGAGGGTGTGTAAGTTGCAATACAACAGTTAATCGAAAACTGTGTACTATATTAGACCTATCACTCTTTAAAAACGTCACATTTACTCTGTACTTAATTTCATTCGTGTGCTGCACCTTTGGATACTATGGAAATATGCTTGTTGTACCAGCATATGTCAATTCACTTGGATACGACAACATTTACGTGTCTCTCAGTGTAACAATGTCGTCCTGCACTGAAGTAATTGCTAGAGTACTGATTGGCTACTTTGCAGAGTTAAAATGTATCAATCGTAACTATTTATTTGTAGTTTGTATGTTCATAGGAGGAACAGCTTCTTTTTTAGTTCCTTTATTGACGGATTTTACTTATATTTCAATCTACACGGTGATTTTGGCTGCATTTCCTGGCTCCTACTTTGTTCTTTTATCGGCTTTACTCAAGAATGCAGTAGGCCTAGAAAAATTTGCGCAAGCATTTGGGCTTCAATCGTTAGTAATAGCAGTTTCACTTTTTATTTGCCAACCGAGCATGGGTAAATGTAAATCATTTTGTACACACTAAGTTAATTTATGTGATAATATTTAGCCCTATTTTTTTCAAATTTAATTTATAAAAAATATTCAATCGATTAATCTTATTTTATAGGCTCTCTATATGTTATAAAGACCTAATATTATATCGAAATAATATAATACTTCTCTGATATACATCCTGGCTGAAATTCCAAATACATTTATTTATTTTGGAAAGTTCGATAATTCTTTCTTTAATTAAAAAAAAATGTCACTAAACAACAATGTTTCACCAAAATAAGGTGTAAGGGCATGTGTTAACATGGAAAAACTAGTTTTTGGGTAATTCCAAGGGTTTTCATAATTTTTTCCCTCATAGAGACGTGTTTTGACGGATTTTTGCCCCCCTCCCTTTTTTGAGGCCTCAAACAGTGAAAAATACCCTATTTAGGCTCCAAACACTGTTTTTCGTTGAGAAATGTTGTTAAAAAAGTGACCACTCTTTCAGCACCGCCCCCGTCAAAATTGTTTCATCAAGGGGTTGCCAGAAGGGAGGTGTGCCCCCTTCTGTTTGGGGGTTTTGAAGGGAGGGGCGGTAGTCCCCCTCATCGCTAAGAAAATTTTGGACATGTGACAGGCTAAAAATGGGCTCAGGTCGATCTTTGGGTAACTAGTAACCGACGCTGAAAAATCTTTTACTCTCAATTCATTGAGAAGTTGCATCACTTTGAAATCAGTTTTGATTTGAAAAACAATGCAAAGTAGTGATTTTTCGCAATTTTGAGACGTCCCCCCGTTGCCATGGTAAAAAATACGATGTTAGATCATGCTGTTAGAGAGGCTATGGTCCAGTCAACATTTGTGCCCAGTTTCGTCAGTATTGAAGCATTTTTCATAGTTTCATATCAGTTTGAACTTGTAACAGGAGGCGTTTCAATGAAATGGCCATTTTTTCACAATATGCTCATGGGGTAAAAGGTTAATTACAAAAATAAAAAATGTCACTAAACAACAATTTTTTACCAAAAATAAGTGTAAGGGCACGTGTGAACATGGAAAAACTAGTTTTTGGGTAATACCAAGGGTTTTCATAATTTTTTGTTAATTAAAAAATAAAAAATGTCACTAAACAACATTTTTTACCAAAATTAGGTAAAGGGCACGTGTTAACGTGGAAAAACTAGTTTTTGGGTAATACCAAGGGTTTTCATCATTTTTTGTTAACCTTTTCCCTCATATATACGTGTTTTCACGGCTTTTTCCCCCCCCCCTCCCTTTTTGAGGCCTCAAACAGTGAAAAAATACCCTATTTAGGCCCCAAACACTGTTTGTCGTTTGAGAAATGTTGTTAATAAAAGTGACCACTTTTTCGGCGCCGCCCCCATCAAAATGGTTCATTAAGTGGTTGCCAGAAGGGGGATGTGCCTGCTTCTGTTTGAGGGGTTTGAAGGGGGCGGTAGTCCCCCTCATCGCCAAGAAATTTTTGGACATGTGACAGGCTAAAATGGTCGATCTTAGGGTAACTAGTATCCGACGCTGAAAAGCCTTATACTCTATCTCAATTCATTGAGAAGTTGCAGCACTTTGAAATCAGTTATGATGGGAAAAAAACAATGCAAAATAGTGATTTTTCGCAATTTTGAGACGTCCCCCCATTGCCATGGTAACAGGAAATTTACGATTGAGCATGCTATTAGAGAGGCTATGGTCCAGTCAACATTTGTGCCCAGTTTCGTCAGTATTAAAGCATTTTTCATAGTTTCATAGCAGTTTGAACTTGTAATAGGCTTTTCAATGAAAACGGCCTTTTTTCACAATATGCGCATGGGGTAAAAGGTTAAATGATGGGCATTTTGAGATTAACAGATATCAACATTAGGTCATTAATGAACGTTAAATGATTTGGTGTTGTTAGGGTTTTAAGTCACCGCGACGTAGCGACTTACTTTCCAAAAATTTAATAGTTAAGAAAGACCTAATAGCTAGATCTCAACGTGTCCATTCTACATTATTGAAGGCGCAAATAATGCACCTGGTTAGAACCACCGACCTACCGTAAGCTAATTGTGCATTCTCATGTCATAACAGTACCCACAGACCATGGCATTGTTCGGACCCACAGCGCTGAATGATCGGAAATTAGCAACCTTGGCCATAGATATTAGATATTATAGCGGGAGCAATAGTATTATTCGAATCGTTATTTATCCGAAGGTGCACTTATTCTTATAATGTAGAAAGTAATATAAGTTCTAACGAAAATCAATGTGAAGAAAGACAAGTGCATGATCTTTGTGAAAATGATGTCCATATGTAATAACATCAGAAGAGACACACCTCTGACTGGACAGGAAATAACGTTTTTATATAAACCATTGTTAAAAACTGATTATATATCAGGTTCTATTGATGAAACGCGAATGAAAACGGTCTTTGTCGAAGTTTCATATCTTGTTATGTCTTACAAAATCATACAAATAGACTTTATCTTCATGTAACGGAGTATTTGTAATTTGGCGGTAAAGAAATGTATTATGAAAAGGGACGAACTTACCATAATCTTTGTTGGCAAAAATAGTAAATAAAAAATTGATACAACTGCATGATTTTACATATAATATGTACATGTATCTTGTCAAAATGTATCTTTTTGTTAAAGCAGTAATCGTAACATACACACAAAATTATTCAAAGGTTGTAGATACATTGGAAAATAAATTAGAAGATTTTCCAAACGATAAATACAGATCGGTTTGTTTGAAAATGAATTTATCTGGCTGTTATAATGATAACAACTTATTGTATGACGCGTCATCAATGAAAATGCACGTATGATATACAATGACATATGCATTGGTGTGAAAAAAAACATGAAATATATTTTCTACCCACATTGTAACTTCTAGAATGTAAACTGTAACTAGTAAATTGAGCGGTCAGATTATATACTGATAAAACTCATAAAATAAATCATAACACAATTCACACTCAAAACATTATGACATTAAATCATTAATGTGTATACAATATTATAACACGGAAGCAAGTATGTATCATGCTAACCGTCATGTAGCAAGTAATCGCTCAAGTTTGCAAAGTTGTCGTTATATTCCTCAAAAAAATGTTGTTACGTTTTGATGTTTATGTTTGTTTAAACAAAACAAACTATATAAACTAATAAAGCAGGCTCAACATTTTAATTCGTAATTATGTTGTCCGTTGGTCCAAGCATTTCGACATGGTTTAACATCTCAAATTAATTGTTTCAAATCTGTGTTGGATAACTTCAGACACTTGATTTATGCATTGATGAAACTCGTAATAATGCTACTACATGTTTGCCACTAACGGTAAACAATTGACACCTTAAAGGCAATAAAAATAACATAAAAAAGGCTAAGAATAAACTTGCCTACAATTTTTTCAAAGGAAACAAAACATTTTTTTAATTTTAAGAAAATGTATAAATAACAGGCAACGTGACACTGCATAATATGTACAACATATTGTTAATCATCGTATTTCAACAGCGTTACAGCGTACATGATTTGCTTAAATTATTATATTGTTACAAAGAATTGTGTGGAACTTTCATAAAGTTTGCATGTTAATGATATTTGCAAGCATATTACTTAAAGGGGAACAACTGAGTTGTTTGACTGTACCTATGTTTTTTCTAGATTTATATACCATTACTACAATCTTGTGCACAAAATTTCAGATTTTCTAGCAAACGGTTTAATCCAAATCGGGCTAAAAATCGCACTAAATATCGATTTACATCTAATTCAAAGTATTTTTCTTTTTTAAACTCTTTTTTGAACATATGTTCTTCTTTAAATGCCCCGGTTGATCTATGTAAGATTTTCAAATTTTGTTTCAAGCATTTGAAACTTAATGAAATTCCATTATACAAACATAATATAAATTAACGTAATTGGCTGTAATTATTGTTTCTGTTCCCTATATATTTTGAAATATACAGTTGTTACTTTTCGTGGCATCTGCAAGTTTTGTTTTGTATATTTCACAGATTAATGCCACGTTTGGTAGATAGGGTCATAACCTCTTTTGCAATAAATGTCAGTTTTTACAACGGCATTGTGATCATGTTTGACATTTCTCTCCGATAGTTACTTCCTTCATCTTTCTGGCAAGCATAGAGAATGACTGAATTATACAAGCCTTTGATGTTATCTTTGACTGACCACACATGGATATATTCTCTTGAAACTTGTCTTGAATGTCTATATAAAAGAAACAAAAGAAAACTTTGACACAATATGTTAAATAAAATGCAACAAACATAAATATTGTGTTAGAAATTTTAAAAATTACAGTTATAATTACGTATTAGAATTAATTTATTTGATTTTTTTTGTACTAATTATAACAAATTCTGAATTGCCCTATTATATCTTAATATGGTTAAGACAAAAGCATTCTTGAATTGAAAAGTAAACAACACACTTTATAATATAAATTATTAGTTTACTTAATGAAAATATCTCACTTTTGTTCCCTGCTGCCAATAAATGGCTATATTTAATTTGTTTTCGAATCTCTGCTGCAGGATGGACAGTAAATCTGTTTCTGTTAATTCCGACTAGCGCCTCTTAAAGAAAATAAATAATCAATTCATTACCAGTTACATAATTATTCAACGTGAGTTCTTGTCGGAATGATATTTATAATTTAAAATACATGTAATCATAATTTTTATCCGTAACAATATATGAAACCTGTTTAATATAGGCCACAAAGATGAAATTTTCATGAAAATATACAACGGAATATAATTCTTGTGAATTTCTTTACATTTAATGACGCTATGTTTTCCATGTCCATGTTTTGTGTGTATTCTATGTAGTACAAAACCACGGGGGGGGGGGGAAGTGTTACACGAAGGATGGAGTTCTTATGATAACTTGTTTGGAGTTCTTATGATAACTGTTACGGAGTTCCTGGAAAACGTTACGGATTTCTGTGGAAAACTTTTCTATTTACTTGGAGAACTCACGTGAAAAATGGTCATTTTAACTTTAAATGGGGAGTTTAAGGTGCTAAATTAAACTTTGATAATTAAGCTTGCCCTACATATTGTATAATGTTTCAGAAAAACCTTTTATTCCATTTTTCATCGCCTATTTATAAAAAAATTTGGTAGTTTTGAGTAAAATTTCCAAATTACTTGCTCATTCGTACATATTGACCTTTTCATTTGTGATCTTCTTCGTTGCTATACATAATTACATAATTATAATGCAGAGTTGCAAACATAAAGCCCAGGCTAATAAATTTATACCCGATTTTTCAAATGTCACGGAGTTCTTGTGATAACTCAAAATATGTCCTGGAGTTCTTATGATAACTTTTGTTACTGCCAGTGTGTTTCTTGTGCTAAATTACGGCCCGTTTAAGCGTATTTTATTAGTCAATAAGTGTGTAAATCATTATGAAGCATAGTACGCGTATCATTTGCACACACATTTGGTTATTTAACGGTGGTTTAGAGTGTATTTCTGTTCAAGAGATATTTTTCTTACCTCTGTTTCTTGTGTTTTTTTGTGTTTGTTTGCGTTTTTGGGTTTGTTTGATTGTTGTTTTTTTCCATTTCATTGGTATTAATGACTGAAAACATACTTGATGTAGAGCATTTACTTACAGGATAAAAATACGCTTTGAATTTAATATTTAAGCATGATTTCTTCATGTATACATTATTCTTGGCAGTTCTAGAAAACATAAAGTAATTATGCTATCGGTCTGCCGAAACAAATTACATGTAAATGGATGGTTTGCAGCAAAAAAGGAAGTAGTATGCACTACCTTTATCTAAATTTAATGAGGTGGGTGTCATCTTTAGATATTCAATGGATATCTTAATTTCTAAAACGTATCAATTTTGTCATAGAAACGTAAAAAGTACTATGACAATGATATGACAATAGAAAGTAAGAATTGAATAATATATGTGAGTCACCATTAAATTCTTACTTTCTATTGTCATATCATTGTCATAGAACTTTATACGTTTCTATGACAAAATTTATACCTTTTAGAAATTAAGATATCCATTGAATATCTAAAGATGACACCCACCTCATTAAATTTAGATAAAGGTAGTGCATACTACTTCCTATTTTGCTGCAACCATTTACATGTAATTTGTTTCTGCAGACCGATAGCATAATTACTTTATGTTCTCTAGAACTGCCAGGAATAATGTAAACATGAAGAAATCATGCTTAGATATTAAATTAAAAGCGTATTTTTATCCCGTAAGTAAATGCTCTACATCAAGTATGTTTTCAGTCATTCCAATGAAATGGAAAAAAACAACAATTAAACAAACCCAAAAACCCAAACAAACACACAAAAAAAACAACACAAGAAACAGAGGTAAGAAAAATATCTCTTGAACTGAAATACACTCTAAACCACCGTTATATAACCAAATGTGTGTGCAAATGATACGCGTACTATGCTTCATAATGATTTACACACTGATTGACTAATAAAATACGCTTAAACGGGCCGTAATTTAGCACAAGAAACACACTGGCAGTAACAAAAGTTATCATAAGAACTCCAGGACATATTTTGAGTTATCACAAGAACTCCGTGACATTTGAAAAATCGGGTATAAATTTATTAGCCTGGGCTTTATGTTTGCAACTCTGCAATATAATTAAGTAATTATGTATAGCAACGAAGAAGATCACAAATGAAAAGGAATGAGCAAGTAATTTGGAAATTTTACTCAAAACTACTAATTTTTTTTTATAAAAAGGCGATGAAAAATGAAATAAAAGTTTTTTTCTGAAACATTATACAATATGTAGGGCAAGCTTAATTATCAAAGTTTAATTTCGCACCCCAAACTCCCCATTTAAAGGTAAAAATGACCATTTTTCACGTGAGTTCTCCAAGTAAATAGAAAAGTTTTCCACAGAAATCCGTAACGTTTTCCAGGAACTCCGTGACAGTTATCATAAGAACTCCAAACAAGTTATCATAAGAACTCCATCCTTCGTGTAACACTTCCTCCCCCGTGAAAACATTTTGGTTACATGGTGAACATTTTTTATATCGGACCATTCTGCGCAGAAAACTTGTCTGGTTACATAATTATACAAATATATATGTTACAACTATAAATAAATGTTTTTGTTACTAATTTGACATAAAAAAGTAAGGATATCAATTATCTCGGATAGGTAAAGCCGTTATATAAATATGTTACATACAGGCTTAGAAAGCACTTTTCCGCTAAGCATTAGAGCTGCATGCCTCCAGATGACCCAAAATATTTCAAGAAAATTAAACTTGGAAAAACCATACTAAAACTTTGATTAAAGATTCAAGTGATAATTTATATCTTATGTGCAATTAATGACTGTATTTTGTAGTATTTATGACCATATTTCTACTGCGTTACTAACGCAGTAGGGGCAATTTATGCATATTTTGACCTCTTTTTTGGTAATTGACGTGGATTTTAAGTGCCGATTGTAATGTGTCAAATACTTTCTTTGTTCATTTCACAATATTTTACCTTTAAATACATTTTTAAAATTTTCATGAAAATTAGGATGAATCTGGAGGCGTTAAGTATTAGACACTTTTGCCATTGTGAATTAAAATCTGCTTCAATAACTCTTCAATTCAATTACATTTTTTCTATACCTGTATAATAACAAGAATAGTATGAATATTGTAAAATGACTTACCTTGGTTGAATTTGTTTATTTTCCATGTCATTGAGTACACTGTATCTTTTTCTACGTCGTCAAATCCAATGAAAATATATGAATTATTTTGATACCTATAAACAAGTCTGTTAAACTGAGGCGGCAAACATATTTTCTTAATCAACTCCTGTATAGACATGGAGTCTAACTGTGTGTCTATGTCCTTTGATCTTTGCACTTTTACTCGCTGTTTATTGCGAGATTTTCTTGTCTCACATATTTTCACAAGTAGTAGCAGATATAATATCCACATAATATCTACATGTATTCTCATTGTTTTCCTTTTTTTATTTATTTTCTGTTTGTAATACTATGCATTAAAAGCATACTTCTGGTATTTTAACTGTAAATAAAACGATAAATTTATTTATTATACGCGATATCGCTGTAATAACATGGCAATTTATACAAGCTGGCACGAGCATGAGCCAAAAATATGAAATAGATGTTTCATCGAGATTGTGGTAACATTTCATTTTATGTTTTAATTTGTTTCAAAATATCTACCTGTTGATATTTCATATGAAAATTATTGTAGCTATTTAATATAACATTCAATAAGATCACTTTATGAAATCAACAATCATAATTTAAAATTTAGGTATTTTAAATGATGACCATTTTACACTATATACTACCAGTAATAAAATATTCATTAAATGTTGTAATTAATAACATGTTGTTAATCGACCTGAGCACGAACGTTACATTGTAATTTTCATATTGATGTATGAGAAAAGTAATGAACCAGAAATATTAATTGCTCTGCTATTGTTGTCAACAGTTTAGCATTGTACAATTTTTCGTTTAATCTTATATTTTCATCATTGAAATAAGCCTTATCTTTTTAAAAGAAGTGTTTATATTTTTATTATTCCTGTAATAAGATATAATCAATTTTATTGTGAGCAATGGCGCAAAAATGTTTTTAAAAAATGAATTTGAACTAATTTGTCAAATTAATCTTCAGTAATGAATATAATTGAATGTATGAGATGATGCAGTTAGGTATAAAAACTTTACTTTTTTCTGTTAAATATTTATTATCCAGTTCTTATCAAACAAACAAATATCCTCATTATCCTCGAAATTTTAACACAATTTGTAATTTGTAATATAAAAGGCGTCTAACATATGCATTCAATGTAACATAATTCACCTGATCCTCACGTTCGTTTAGAATTTATAGGTGAAACTGTGGGTTGGTGATAAAGCGAACAACTGTTATCGACTTACGTTGATAGCCCACAGGAAAATGTATCTTTGCATCAAACCGACAATTACATTGGCAGCTGACAAACATATAGTTTACAGACTGTCTGCATTCGTTACATTTTTACAGATGATAAACCTAATACTTTTTGTAATGATTTGCTTATTTTTGTTACAATTTAGTAAGAAGGCATATTTTTGATAATATTACATTGCAACTGATTGTCTTATCATTGTATTTTAGATTTGAATTATTCCAGATCTCAATATAAATGTATTCTCCTGAAATTCTGTAACTAAAATATCTGATTGCTTTATGATAAATACGTAAGAAACTTTCACCCTCTTCATTACTATACATTCCGGGAACTAAGTGCAAAACGCTAGAAATAAATAACAGAGTATAAATGTTATGACTGGATGCTTTGAACTGATTTTTTATGAATGTTATCCTTTTCTTGAAAACAACGAGATTTTTTCGGATCACTTGCAGCTGTAAATCTTAATATCTTTTAAATCAAATACTCTCTCATCTCGTATTTTTGTTGTTGTTGTTGTTGTTTTTGTTGTTGTTTGTTTGTTTGTTTTTTAACTAAAATTATGTGATGACGTCTGCTATTGTAAAAAATGATTTAATGTTTATCAAGATGAATGTTCATAGTTAATTATGTATCCCTTGGTCGCTCTGTCTGGATTTAAGATATTCCATCCATGGATGGTACAAATAGTAGAAATTGTTTTAAAATGTTGATATGTTTTCCTAGATTTCAATGAAAGTCTTATTGCTGGTTGTTTTACACGGTAGCTTGGTGAGTGACATTTTCTACGTTTTTGCTAAGCTGGTCACACCTTTGTCAAGATATACAGGGGCATTTGTTGTATATCCAACTACTGCTTCAAATCACTGAACACATACCAGTAGATTTTTCCTAACAATAAAACAGACAACAATTGTACATTAAGTGTCAATAGATCTAGGTGCAAATTATTAAGATATCCTATATGTCAATAGATCTAGGAGCAAATAATTACAATATCCTATATGTCAATAGATCTAGGAGGAAACAATTACAGTATATTATATGTTAATAGATCTTGGAGCAAACAATTACAGTACATTGTATATTATATGTTAATAGATCTAGGAGCAAATAATTACAATATCCTATATGTCAGTAGATCGAGAAGCTAATAATTACAATATCCTTTATATCTGTAGATCTGGGAGCAAATAATTACAATATCCTTTATATCTGTAGATCTGGGAGCAAATAATAACAATATCCTATATATATGTAGATCTAGGAGCAAATAATTACAATATCCTTTATATCTGTAGATCTGGGAGCAAATAATTACAATATCCTTTATATCTGTAGATCTGGGAGCAAATAATTACAATGATTATATTTACAGAGTATGTTATGACTTGATGCTTTTTACTGTTTTTTTTTAAAAGAATGTTATCTTTTTTTTAAAGAACGCGATTTTTTCGGACCACTGGTAGCTGCAAATCTTAATTTCTTTTGAATCCAATACTCTCTCATATCGTGATTTTGTTGTTGTTTTTTTATTTTAGTGTTTATATGTTTTCCTAGATTTCAATGTAAGTCTTATTGCTGGTTCGTCTTAAAAGGTAGTTTGGCAGATGACATCTTCTACGTTTTTGCTAAGATGGCCTTACTTTTGCCAAGATATACAAGTACATTTGTTGTATTATCCAACTACTGCTATAAATTACTTAACACATAGCAGTAGATTTTTTTCTCAGAATAAAACAGAAAAACAAATGTATATTAAGTGTCAATAGGTCTAGGATCAAATAATTACAATATAGTATATGTCAATAGATCCAGGAGCAAAAATTACAATATGCTATACATGTATGTCAATAGATGTAAAAGCAAATATACTATAAACAACAATTAAAAACAGACTGTTTTAATTTGGTAATTTTACATGTAAAATATCAAACAACTGAACTTATCTGGTAATGAATATAAAATACTCGGTAACTGTCTCAGTTTATCTTTAAATATTTGTGTAACCCATCACAAAATACTGGTTTCTCTGCACTACATGATCAAGTTGTTTTGCAGTATTCGTGGGAAGGCAATACATTAGATTTTCTAGATATGACATAAAAGTTAATTCAGCATTTTATGACCGTGTTATTAACTTTTATATGTTTATTGTTTACTGTTACATGGAACATGAAAAGGCATGTTAGCAAGTATTATTAATGGAGTTAGCAGGTGTTGGATTATATAAACAACGTGTTTAAACATTTGGGAGATAGGAAATGAGGTCCAGTAATTAAACAAAAGCATTCAGAAGTTTTATGATGCACTTTAATTTCCACAAACAAACAATAGATTTGTAGTTTTTTCAACAATTGTCTTTTTTTTAATTGACACACTTTGCATAAAATTTTCCGTTTCCATTTTTCGTGATCCTTTGGCTGCTGATTTAAAATCATTCGCCCTTTTATTCGTGCAGATTCGAATCCCAACAGGGAAGTTTTTTCATTTGATAAAGATAAACATTTAACTTAAGAAAGGTCGGTGATTCAGATCAGGTTCTTGAATATGCCTTAAAGATATAATACAAGAAGGGAAACCTGAAGTTTTCCTTAATTGTTCTTGTTGTTTTTATTTGTTCTTTCTTTCTGATTACATACTTTTCTTTCCGGTAGCATACAGGAAAGTTGATCTAAATTGATTTTAAGCTTACCGTTGCTTTCATGGTTCCCTTGCATTTATAAAAGGAAGGAAGAGTTATAAAAGCTCAAGTTTAATTAACGATTACTCTTATGTGACATAAAAGATGTGATAATAAAAATTGTATTTCTTGATATTTTCTGATTTTGACTATCATACTTATATGCATGATAAGGATAATTTACCTTTATTTATATATGAAGAGAAAAAAAATCAGATACAAATAAAAATAAATTTGGCAATCAAACAACGGTCTTTGTGAGCAAAGTTTCATATTTAATTATGTCTTACAAAATCATACAAATATATATAGAGGACTAAGAGCGTATATCGTTCTTCATGTAACAGAGGTTTGCAGTCTGATGATTAAGAAATGTTCCATAAAAAGGACAGGTATTTATCTTTGTTAACAAAAAAAGTAATATATTAATGAAATAACATCACTTTATAGATTATATGAACATCGTATATCTTATCAACATTTATTATTTGTAAAAACAATAAACGAACATACACACAAAATTTATTCATAGTTTGTAGATACATTGGAAAATAAATTATTAGAGGATTTTCCATACGATAAAATCTAATCGGTTAGCTTAAAAATTAATTTATAGTGTTATAATGATAAAAACGATGTAACAGAACGAAGGAATTTATTTTAATGTCATGACGTGTACGTAAGGAAAAACATAAAATATATTTCTACCCACATTGTAACTTCCAGGATGTAAACTGTAACTATTAAATTGATCGGTCAGATTATATACTGATAAAACTCATAAAACAATTCACACTTAAATCATTATGACATTTAATCATTAATGTGTACATACAAGATTAAAGCACAAAAGCAACTATGTAACATGCTAACACTCATGTAGCTTGTAAACGCTCAAGTTTGTAAAGTTATCGTTATATTCCTCAAAAAATGTTGTAACGTAATTCTTAATGTCTATTTTGTTTGTTTAATCAAAGCAAACAATAATGCAGGCTCAACATTTAATTCGTTATCATGTTGTTCGTTGGTCCAAGCATTTCGACATCGTTTTACATCTCAAATAAATTGTTTCAAATCTGTGACCTCAGACACTTTTCAACATGTCTGGCCCCCAAGGTAACAAATTTAATCTTAAAGGGAATAAAAAAAATAAAAAGCTCAAAAAAAGCTTGCCGAAAAATTTTTTAAAAGAAAAAATTATTTTATTTAAGAAATGTGTAAAAAACAGGGAAAGTGACATTGCCCTAAATATTCAACATTTTTAATCTGTATTTTTCCACGTTAATTGTCCCTGCTTTGCTTTAAAAAAAAATTTTTGCTACAATTTTGCAAGTATACATTAAAGGGAAACAACTGAATTGTTTGACTGTACCTATGTTGTTGTTTTTTCGAGATGTTTATACCATTTGAATTAGGTCCATACTAAAATCTTGTGCACAAAATTTACTCCGTTTTTAAGAAAAATCACCTTTGTTTTGTAAAATGACCATTAAAATGAAAATCTTGCAAACGGTTTAATACAAAACGGGCTAAAAATTGCCCTAAATATCGATTATTATCAAATTCCGAGTATTTTTCGTTTTTTATACACATATTCTTCTATAAAGGCCCATTTATTCTATTTAAGATCTATGTAAGATTTTCAAATTTTGTTTTAAGCATTTGAACATCAGTGAAATTTAATTCAAATTAGAATCAGCATCATCATGCAAGCAAAATGTAAATGAACATAATTGGCTGTAGTTATTGTTTCAGTTCCTTGTATTTTGAAATATACAGTGGCATCTGCAGGTTTTGTTTTATATATTTCACAGATTAATGCCACGTTTGCTAGCTAGGGTCATAACCTCTTTTGCAATAAATGTCAGTTTTTACAACGGCTTTGTGATCAGGTTTGGCATTTCTCTCCGAATGTTACTTCCTTCATCTTTCTGGCAAGCACAGAGAATGACTGGATTATACAAGCCTTTGATGTTATCTTTGACTGACCACACATGGATATATTCTCTTGAAACTTGTCTTGAATGTCTATACGAAAGAAACAAAAGAAAACGTTGACACAATCTGTCAAATAAAATGAAAAAAAAAAAACATAAAAAATATGTTAGAAATTTTAAAAATTACAGTTATAATTACGTATTAGAATTAATTTATTTGATTTTTTTTTGTACTAACTATAACAAATTCTGAATTGCCCTATTATATCTTAGTATGGTTAAGACAAAGGAATTCTTGAATTGAAAACAAAAAACACTTTACAGTATAAATTTGTAGTTAATATTAAAATTATTTAAAAATATCTCACTTTTGTTGGCTGCTGCCAATAAATGGTTATATTTAACTTCTTTCCGGATCTCTGCTGCAGGATGAACAGTAAATCTGTTTCTATTAATTCCGACTAGCGCCTCTAAAAGAAAATAAATACTCAATTTATTACAAATTAGATAATAATTCAATGTTAGTTCTTGTCGAAATGACATATATAATTTAGAATACATGTAATTATCATTTTCAGTCCTAACAGCATATGAAACCTCTATAATTTAGGTCACAAAAAAAGAAACAATAGTCATGAAAATATACAGCGGCACATAATTGTAGTGAATTTCTCCACTTGTAATGAAGTTATCTTTCCCTTTCCATGTTTAATGCATATTCCAGGTTGTTTCCCGATATACAATACCTTTTGGTTCTGAAAAACTTTTATAATGAAAGTATTATTCGGAACATTCTGCACAGAAAAAATATCTATTTACACAAACTAAGGTATATCATTAATGTATATGTAACTACACCTTATATGCGTTCGTTAATCCTATAAGTTACATTGACATAAAAAACTGTGTCACAAATCAGTAAGGATTTCAGCTTTCTCGCATATATAAAGCCATTATTCAGATATATTACATTTAGGTTCCGAAAGCAATTTTACGCTAGTATTAGACAACTTTGCCACTGTGAATTGAAATTTGCTTCAATAACTCTTCAATCAAGTTACAATTTGTCAGTTAACAAACTAGTATATTGTAAAATGACTTACCTTGATTGAATTTGTTTATTTTCCATGTCATTGAGTACACTGTTTCTTTTTCTACGTCGTCAAATCCAATGAAAATATATGAATTATTTTGATACCTATAAACAAGTCTGTTAAACTGAGGCGGCAAACATATTTTCTTAATCAACTCCTGTAAAGACATGGAGTTTAATTGTGTGTCTATGTCCTTTGATCTTTGCACTTTTACTCGCTGTTTATTGCGAGATTTTCTTGTCTCACATATTTTCACAAGTAGTAGCAGATATAATATCCACATAATATTTACATACATTCTCATTGTTTTAATTTTCAAATATTTTGTTTGTATAAAGTACTTTGCATTAAATAGTGCTTCTGATGTTTTAACTGTAAATAAAACGATGAAAGTATCTATTATACGCGATGTCGGTGCAATAGCATGGCAATTTATACAAAAAATATGAAAATGATGTTTCATCGAGATTGTGGTAACATTTCATTTTTTTTTTTTCATGTTTGAATTTGTTTCAAAATATCTACCTAAGATTTCATCTAGAAATTATTGTTGTTATTTAACACGATATTCAATAAGATCACTTAATAAAAAAACAATTATAACACAAAATTTAGTTATTCTAAATGATGAACACTTTACACTATATACTACTAATATTATGTTATACATTAAATGTTGTAATATGTAGTAAAGGTACATGAACAAAAACGTTATGTTGTGTGTTTATCTATACTTGATGTATGAGAAAATTAATGAACCAGAAATATTAATTACTGTGTTATTGCTGTTTACAAATTAACATGGTACAATGTACTGTTATTCGTTTTATCTAATATTTTTATAATTGATGTACAGACTCAAACTTTTGTCAAACCGAGTCTGCAATTTTTATGTAATTTTACTAATTTTACTGCTTCCGAGGGGGTCATTTTTTTCCAAATACTTATCTCTTTATAAGAAGATATATTCTTTTTTTTTGCTGTTATAAGATCTCATCAAATAAATTTTGAGAAAACTTAAGTGTAAAAACACTTTAAAAACTAAGTTTAAATTAACTTGTCAACCAATCTTCAGTAATAATAATATTAAAATTGAACGTATTTAATGCATTTAGGTTAAAAAATCAAATAAAGATACTATAAATTTTACTGTTAAATATTTATTATCCAGTCCTTAAAAAACAAACAAATATCCTCATTATCTTCGGAATTTTAACACAATTTGTAATTAATAATATAAAAGTCGTCTAACATATGCATCCAATGTTACATAATTCACCTGATCCTCGCGTTCGTTTTAGAATTTATAGGTGAAACTGTGGGTTGGTGAAAAAGCGAACAACTGTTATCGACTTACGTTGATAGCCCACAGGAAAATGTATCTTTGCATCAAAAACCGACAATTACATTGGCAGCTGACAAACATATAGTTTACAGACTGTCTGCATTCGTTACATTTTTACAGATGATAAACCTAATATTTAAGCAACGTTTAGCTTATTTTTTGTTGTTGCATTTTAGTAAGAAGGCATATTTTTGATGATATTACATTGCAACTGATTGTGTTATCATTTTAGATTAAAATTATTCGAGGAGGTCTCAATATTGATGTTTTCTCCTGAAATTCTGTTACTGAAATATCCGACTGCTTTGTGATGAATACATTAGAAACTTTCACCCTCTTCATTACTATACATTCCTGGAACTAAGTGCAAAACGCTAGAAATAAATGATTATATTAACAGAGTATGCTATGACTGGATGCTTTGTACTGACTTTTTTAATAATGTTATTATTTTTAAATAGAACGAGATTTTTTCGGATAAGTGGCAGCTGTAAATCTCAATTTCTTTTAAATCCAATACTTTCTCATCTCGTGTTTTTGTTATTTTGTCGTTGTTAGTTTTTTGTTTGTTTATTCGGTTTTGTTTTTTGTTTGTTTGTTTTTACGTTTTTTATACATTTTATTCATAATAAGAACTAAGATTATCGCCCATCAAACTACGTGTAAAACGAACCAGCAATAGCAATAAGACTTTCATTAAAATCTAGGAAAACATATCAACACTACAAAAAAAATTACCATCCGTGTATGGAATATCTTAACTCAAGACAGAGCGACCAAGGAGTACTGAAACATTTTTATTCAATAACAGACGTCATCACATAATCTTAGTATCAACACTTTAAATGTAATGTATATTAATACCCGGTAATTGTCTCAGTTTATTTTAAAATATTTGCGTTACGTTTTCTTCACCCCATCACAAAATATTAGAATGCAAAAGAGAATGGTTTCTCTGCACTACATGATCAAGTTGTTTTGCAGTATTCGTGGGAAGGCAATACATTAGATTTTCTAGATAAACAAATTCCGTTTTGACATAAAAGTTAATTTAGCATTTTATGACCGTGTTATTAACTTTTATATGTTTATTGTTTACTGTTACATGGAACATAAAACGGCATGTTAGCAAGTATTATTAATGGAGTTAGCAGGTGTTGGATTATATAAACAACATGTTTAAAACATTGGGGAGATGTGAAATGCGGTCCAGCAATAAAACAAACGCATTCAGAAGGGTTTTTTTATGATGCACTTTACATTTCGCAAACAAATAATAGATGTGTAGTTCTTTCAACATTAGTTTTTTTAATTGACGTACTTTGCATAAAAAAATAAGTTTCCTACTTTCATGATCCTTTAGCCGCTGATTTCAAATCCCTCGCCCTTTATCCATGCAGATTCGAATCCCAACAGGGACATCTTTCGACTTATAAATCTATACACATAAATTACAAAAGGTTTTTGGTTCAGATCAGGTTCTAGAATATGTTTAAATATATAATTCAAGAAGGTAAACCTTAAGTCTTCCTTTGTTCTTGTTGTTTTATTTGTTTTTTCTTTCTGATAACATACTTTTCCTCCCGGTAGCATACAGGAAAGTTTACCTAAATTGATTTTAAACTTGCCGTTGCTTTCATTATTCCCTTGCATTCATAAAAGGAAGGCTGAAGTTAAATTTACGATTGATCTTATGTGACATAAAAGATGTGATAATAAAAATTGTATTTCTTGATATTTTCTGATTTTACTAATTATAATACTTATAAGAATGATGACGATAATTTACCTTTATTTATATATGAAGAGAAAAAAATCAGATACAAATAAAAATAAATTTGGCAATCAAGCAACGGTCTTTGTGAGCAAAGTTTCATATTTAATTATGTCTTACAAAATCATATAAAGTATGTATAGAGGACTAAGAGCGTATATCGTTCTTCATGTAACAGAGGTTTGTAGTCTGATGATTAAGAAATGTTCCATAAAAAGGACAGGTATTTATCTTTGTTAACAAAAAAAGTAATATATTAATGAAATAACATCACTTTATAGATTATATGAACATCGTATATCTTATCAACATTTATTATTTGTAAAAACAATAAACGAACATACACACAAAATTCATTCATAGTTTGTAGATACATTGGAAAATAAATTATTAGAGGATTTTCCATACGATAAAATCTAATCGGTTAGCTTGAAAATAAATTTATAGTGTTATAATGATAAAAACGATGTAACAGAACGAAGAAATTTATTTTAATGTCATGACGTGTACGTAAGGAAAAACATAAAATATATTTCTACCCACATTGTAACTTCCAGGATGTAAACTGTAACTATTAAATTGAGCGGTCAGATTATATACTGATAGAACTAAAGCAAATCATAAAACAATTCACACTTAAATCATTATGACATTTAATCATTAATGTGTACATACAAGATTAAAGCACAAAAGCAACTATGTAACATGCTAACCCTCATGTAGCTTGTAAACACGCAAGTTTGCAAAGTTATCGTTATATTCCTAAACAAATGTTGTAACGTTATTTTAATGTCTATGTTTGTTTAATCAAAACGAACTATAAAACAGGCTCAACTTTTAAATTCGTTATCGTCCAAGCATTTCGACATCGTTTTACATTTCAAATAATTGTTTCAAATCTGTATTGGATGACCTCAGACATTTTTCAACATTTTTGCCACTGACGGTAAACAATTGACATCTTAAATGCAATAAAAAAATAACATAAAAAAGGCTAAGAATAAGCTTGCCTACAATTTTTTCAAAGGAAACAAAACATTTTTTTTAATTTTAAGAAAATGTATAAATAACAGGCAACGTGACACTGCATAATATGTACAACATATTGTTAAACATCGTATTTTGCAAACGTTATAGCGTCCATGCTTTGCTTAAATTATTTTATTGCTACAAATGTTGCAAGTACATTACTTAAAGGAAAACAACTGAGTTGTTTGACTGTACCTATGCTTATACCATTTAGGTCTATACTAAAAACTTGTGCACACAATTTCAGATTTACTCCGTTTTCAAGAAAAATCACCTTTGTTGTGTAAAATGACCATTAAAGTAAAAATTTTGCAAACGGTTTAATCAAAAACGGGCTAAAAATCGCGCTTAATACGATTTTCATCTGATTCAAGTATTTTTTCTTTATACACATATTCTTTTTTAAAGGCCCATTTGATCTATTTAAAGGGACTCCACTGAGGTTTTTTGACATGACGGGACTGGAAATAATTTTTTTCAGATTATTACTCCATTTGATGTAGATCTATACTAATAACTTATGTGCAAAATTTCAGATCATTAGCTCGCTCCGTATTTCCAGAATAATTATTATAATAGTGAAAAATGACCCAAAATTGAAAAGCGTTTAAACGCTTTTCACTCAGTCAGTCGAAAATGGCACAATCATATGATTTTCAATGTTTTTCTTGTATATTTCTTGTTTATATTTTATCAATATTTCTGTTAAAAGTTCTCATATTTATAATCGATGTGAAAAAATTAAAATGTTATGTTTTACTCTTATAAACCCCAGTGGTGTTCCTTTAAGATCTATGTAAGATTTTCAAATTTTGTTTAAAGCATTTGAACCTCAGTGAAATTGAATTCAAACTAGAATCGGCATCATCGTGCAAACAAAATATAAATGAACATAATTGGCTGCAGTAATTGTTTCTGTTCCTTGTATTTTGAAATATACAGTTGTTATTTTTCGTGGCATCTGCAGGTTTTGTTTTGTATATTTCACAGATTAATGCCACGTTTGCTAGCTAGGGTCATAACCTCTTTTGCAATAAATGTCAGTTTTTACATCGGCATTATGATCATGTTTGACATTTCTCTCCGATAGTTACTTCCTTCATTTTTCTGGCAAGCACAGAGAATGACTGGATTATACAAGCCTTTGATGTTATCTTTGACTGACCACACATGGAAATATTCTCTTGAAATTTGTCTTGAATGTCTGTATAAAAGAAACAAAAGAAAACTTTGACACAATCTGTCAAATAAAATGCAACAAACATAAAAATTATGTTAGAAATTTTAAAATTACAGTTATATATACGTATTAGAAATAAATTTATTTGATTTTTTTTTGTACAAATTATAACAAATTCTGAATTGCCCTATTATATCTTAATATGGTTAAGACAAAGGCATTCTTGAATTGAAAACAAAAAACACTTTACAGTATAAATTTGTAGTTAATATTAAAATTATTTAAAAATATCTCACTTTTGTTGGCTGCTGCCAATAAATGGTTATATTTAACTTCTTTCCGGATCTCTGCTGCAGGATGGACAGTAAATCTGTTTCTATTAATTCCGACTAGCGCCTCTAAAAGAAAATAAATACTCAATTAATTACTAATTAGATAATAATTCAAGGTTAGTTCTTGTCGAAATGACATATATAATTTAGAATACATGTAATTATCATTTTCAGTCCTAACAGCATATGAAACCTCTATAATTTAGGTCACAAAAAAAAGAAACAATAGTCATGAAAATATACAGCGGCACATAATTGTAGTGAATTTCTCCACTTGTAATGGAGTTATGTTTCCCTTTCCATGTTTAATGCATATTTCAGGTTGTTTCCCGATATACAATACCTTTTGGTTCTGACAAACTTATATAATGAAAGTATTATTCGGAACATTCTGCACAGAAAAAATATCTATTTACACAAACAAAAATATATGTTTCTACTATAAATTAATGTATATGTAACTACACCTTACATGCGTCCGTTAAATTAATGTATATGTAACAAATACACCTTACTTGCGTCCGTTAAATTAATGTATATGTAACTACACCTTACATGCGTCCGTTAAATTAATGTATATGTAACAAATACACCTTACTTGCGTCCGTTAAATTAATGTATATGTAACTACACCTTACATGCGTCCGTTAAATTAATGTATATGTAACTACACCTTACATGCGTTCGTTAAATTAATGTATATGTAACTACACCTTACATGCGTTCGTTAAATTAATGTATATGTAACTACACCTTACATGCGTTCGTTAAATTAATGTATATGTAACTACACCTTACATGCGTTCGTTAAATTAATGTATATGTAACTACACCTTACATGCGTTCGTTAATCCTATAAGTTACATTGACATAAAAAAAACTGTGTCAAAAATCAGCAAGGATTTCAGCTTTTTCGCATATGTAAAGCCATTATTCAGATATATTACATTTAGGTTCCGAAAGCAATTTTACGCTAGTGTAAGACAACTTTGCCAATGTGTATTAAAATTTGCTTCAATAACTCTTCAATCAAGTTACATTTTGTCAGTTAACAAACTAGTATATTGTAAAATGACTTACCTTGATTGAATTTGTTTATTTTCCATGTCATCGAGTACACTGTATCTTTTTCTACGTCGTCAAATCCAATGAAAATATATGAATTATTTTGATACCTATATACGAGTCTGTTAAACTGAGGCGGCAAACATATTTTCTTAATCAACTCCTGTATAGACATGGAGTCTAACTGTGTGTCTATGTCCTTTGATCTTTGCACTTTTACTCGCTGTTTATTGCGAGATTTTCTTGTCTCACATATTTTCACAAGTAGTAGCAGATATAATATCCACATAATATTTACATACATTCTCATTGTTTTCCTTTTCAAATATGTTGTTTGTTTAAAGTACTTTGCATTAAATAGTGCTTCTGATGTTTTAACTGTAAATAAAACGATGAAATTATCTATTATACGCGATGTCGGTGCAATAGCATGGCAATTTAAACAAAACAAAATGTGAAAATGATGTTTCATCGAGATTGTGGTAACATTTCATTTTTTATGTTTGAATTTGTTTTAAAATATCTACCTGTTTAAGATTTCATCTAAAAATTATTGTTGTTATTTAACACGATATTCAATAAGATCAGTTAATGAAAAACAATTATAACACAAAATTTAGTTATTCTAAATGATGAACACTTTACACTATATACTACTAATTATATGTTATACATTAAATGTTGTAATATGTAGTAAAGGTACATGAACAAGAACGTTATGTTGTGTGTTTTTCCATACTTGATGTATGAGAAAATTAATGAACCAGAAATATTAATTACTGTGTTATTGCTGTTTACAAATTAACATGGTACTGTTATTCGTTTTATCTTATATTTTTATAATTGATGTACAGACTCAAACTTATGTCAAACCGAGTCTGCAATTTTTATGTAATTTTACCAATTTAACTGCTTCCGAAAGTGGTCACTTTTCTCTTTATAGGAAGATATATTCTTATTATTGCTGTTATAATATTTCATCAAATAAATTTTGAGAGAACGTAGGTTTACTTTACACACTTTAAAAACTGAATTTGAAATAACTTGTTAACCAATCTTCAGTAATAATAATATTAAAATTGAACGTATTTAATGCATTTAGGTTAAAAAATCAAATTAAAATACTATAAATTTTACTGTTAAGTATTTATTATCCAGTCCTTATAAAACAAACAAATATCCTCATTATCTTCGGAATTTTAACACAATTTGTAATTAATAATATAAAAGTCGTCTAACATATGCATCCAATGTTACATAATTCACCTGATCCTCACGTTCGTTTTAGAATTTATAGGTGAAACTGTGGGTTGGTGATAAAGCGAACAACTGTTATCGACTTACGTTGATAGCCCACAGGAAAATGTATCTTTGCATCAAAAACCGACAATTACATTGGCAGCTGACAAACATATAGTTTACAGACTGTCTGCATTCATTACATTTTTACAGATGATAAACCTAATATTTTAGCAACGTTTAGCTTATTTTTTGTTGTTACATTTTAGTAAGAAGGTATATTTTTAATGATATTACATTGCAACTGATTGTGTTATCATTTTAGATTAAAATTATTCCAGGAGGTCTCAATATAAATGTTTTCTCCTGAAATTCTGTAACTGAAATATCCGATTTTTTTGCTTTGTGATGAATACATAAGAAACTTTCACCCTCTTCACTATTATACATTCCGAGAACTAAGTGCAAAACGCTAGAAATAAATGATTATATTAACAGAGTATGTTATGACTGGATGCTTTGTACTGACTTTTTTAAGAATGTTAACCTTTTTAAAGAACAAGATTTTTTCGGATAAGTGGCAGCTGTAAATCTCAATTTCTTTTAAATCCAATAATTTTTCATCTCGTGTTTTTGTTATTTTGTCGTTGTTGGTTTCTTTGTTTGTTCGGTTTAGTTTGCTTGTTTTTTTTTGTTTGTTTGTTTTTAACGTTTTTTATACATTTTATTCATAATAAGAACTAAGATTATCGCCCACCAAACTACGTGTAAAACGAACCAGCAATAGCAATAAGACTTTCATTAAAATCTAGGAAAACATATCAACACTACAAAAAAATTACCATCCGTGTATGGAATATCTTAACTCAAGAGAGAGCGACCAAGGAGTACTGAAGCATTTTTATTCAATAACAGACGTCATCACATAATCTTAGTATCAACACGTTAAACACTTTAAATATATCTAGTAATGTATATTAATACCCGGTAATTGTCTCAGTTTATTTTAAAATATTTGTGTTAAGTTTTCTTTATCCCATAGCAAAATATTGGAATGAAAAAGAGAATAGTTTTTCTGCACTACATGATCAAGTTGTTTTGCAGTATTCGTGGGAAGGCAATACATTAGATTTTCATAGATAACAAATTCCGTTTTGACATAAAAGTTAATTCAGCATTTTATGACCGTGTTATTAACTTTGATATGTTTATTGTTTACATGAAAAGGCATGTTAGCAAGTATTATTAATGGAGTTAGCAGGTGTTGGATTATATAAACAACATGCTTAAAACATTGGAGATGATATAAAATTAGGTCCAGTATTTAAACAAACGTATTCAAAAGTTTCTTATGATACACTTTACTTTCCGCAAAAAAACAATAGATGTGTAGTTCTGTAAACTTTATATTTTACATTGACGTACTTTGCATAAAATGATTTAAGTTTCCTAGTTTTATGATCCTTTAGCAGCTGATTTCAAATCCCTCGGCCTTTATTCATGCAGATTCGAATCCACACAGGGAAATTTTTTGAACTGATAAAGATAAACACTTAAGAAAAGTTGGTTGTTCATTGAACGATCAGATTCTAGAATTTGCCTTATATAGATATAATACAAGAAGGGAAACGCAGAGTCTTCCTCAACCACTAAAGCTAAAAGTCGATGTATGACATTTTGTGACTTAGAACGAAACAAACATTTTATCTATTTACTGCATTTTGATTTATTAAGTTCAGGACCGACCAACTAATTATATATAAAAGTGGTTGTTGTTTTTATCATAATTTATTCTTTAAGAAAACACAAAAAAGACTTCTTACATAGATCAACTGGGGGTACTTAACAAATATAATACAGAAATATACTCAGAATTAAATTGAAAACCCATACTTTGTCGATTTGCTCAGTAAAAATGATTATTCTGAACGGAATAATAATAATGGACAACAGAATAAGCGATTGATGTTATTGATAAAAGAGACTTGCGTACAATGATATAAAAATCTCGTAAATTTTTTACAGTCCCGCCAAGACAAAAAAAATACTCTGTGAAGTCCTTGCAATACGAGCGCATATTATTTCTGTGCAACGTGATATATTTTTAGCATTGTTGGGAAAATGAGGGAAGCGATGCCTTTTCAGATTTACATTATAATTTTTTACCAAAAATATTATAATAATTTAAAGAGATATTTTAGAAAAATATCTACCGGTTTCACCCATTAAAGGGATCATCAAGATAATGACGTTAACATTTTGTAAACATCGCCCTATGTCTCATTAATCATTAGTTACCTTTAATTGCTTTTTAATTGAGCGAGAAGTGTTAGGTCATCGTCTTAACAAGTTGTTCTTTTTATATAAAACATGGTAATTTTTTCTACTCATCAATCATGTTTTGTAAATTATGTGTTTCCACTGCTGATAAAATTACATAGTTTATTTAGACTCGAATATAAATTGGATCATACGTACTAGTATGCCTTTCTCTTGTGCTGAATAGAAAGGAATAATAAAAAATTATATGTAACTCTGTAAGGTAACGACAAACAAATATATAAAAAAATGAAAATGAAACTGACACTTTGATATTTCAACTAAGGCGCGTGCCAGAAGCGTTTCCTTGACATTTAGATGTAACATGTGCACCAAATGTGCAACTATCGCATGTATTTATTTGCTATTCGTGAATAGTCAAGTACGCAAATCGTAAAATATGAAGTATAAATAATTGTACAAAATAAAACTCTGTATTTTGTTACCGGAGGGATTTAATTCGACTGATTAATTTTCTAATTGTTTTCTTAGAAGTATGAATGGATATTTTATTGTGCTCGGGATTGTGTACATTTCAGTTTCAACTTCCAAATGTGAATGCAGGAGGCGTCGTGATAAATTACGAGACAAAACTAAAATATCTCAAACAAAAGAAGACGGTATAAAATATTCTAGAAATGTAATTGATTTAATAGAAGAGTTATGCCTGCCTAGTGACACAAGTAGATTGTTTTACAGGATTCAAAATGAGTCGCACATATTTGTCGGTTTCGATGATGTTAAGCTTGGATTAGTGTACTCAATGTCATGGAAAATAAGCAAGGACAATCCAGGTATGACCACAGCTTCGTTGATAACTTCATTATTGAGCATGTTGAATACCTTCTGATGAGCCAAAATAAACTTGAGAAAATTGTTCCAAGATTTTAAGAAAAGCAAAATGAATCAAGATGAAATTGATTACTTACATTTTATATGCGATTAATGACTGATTTTGCAGTATTTGTCACCATATTGCTACTGCGTGACTTTAACGCAGAAGGCTATGTTTGCATTTTTACATCTTTTTGGTAATTTATGTAGATTAAGTGCCTTTTTGCAATGTGTAAATTACTATATTTGTTCCCTTTACAATATTTTACTTTTAAATACATTTTCAAAATTTTCATGAAAATTAGCATAAATATGGAGGCATGCTGCTTTAAAATATACAGTAAGCATATAGTGAGCATCTATTTATCATCGTACGTTTACTATACTATAATACTAGGTTATACTAATTTATCTTGTTTCAGAGAAGCTGACAGGGAACAATCAGGGTGGTTTTCAGGTACTCTCTGCGATCGATGTAAGAAAACAAATGAAATTAGAGCACTTGCTGGCAGCAGCCGATCAAAGTGAGACCTAACTTCATTCATTATGGAAAACGCATTAGGTCGACTCTATTTAAAATAATCAAAATAATCATATTAAAAATCAAATTAGAATGGTGCAGACGTGCCAGAATATTGATGAGAAATGTGCATTTACTTATATGTCATTTCCAACGTGTATTTTACAGAATGCTTCTATTAAATCTTGGATTGCTGCAATAATAAAGTTTTACATTTTTTTAAGAAAACTTTATGTAAATATTTATTTTATGATCCCGCTCGAATATCAGTTTGCAATATTAAATGGGAGTTTCACAATTTATACCGCTTTTTTTTCTTTACATCAGCGTTTATTTCAAATAACAGTGTTCAAATCGGATTTGGCACATTGTTGCCGTCTACCGAAATGTTAATAACATATGATATATTAAGGACTCTTATCTTGCTCGCAAATCCCATGTATGTAAACATACTGTTCTCACTTCCTATACTTTATTATACAGATATCAAGTTATGTCTGATACATTTTGGTTACTTGGAACCTTTTTCTGTTTAACTCTTTCAAACTAACTTTGGTTAGACGATTGATTACGTTTCCAATTCAATTTAGGACAGGTATTTGAAAACAAACATAATACGCCGTATATTTGTTTTAAAAAGTACATGTATATCTGAATAGTCAGTTACTATGAAAATGATATTCCTTTATCTATTTTTCTAGAGGTTCAGGACAAATTTCGAGTGAATATATCACAATGTAGTCAGGCCAGGATCATAAAAAAAACCTGCGTTATTCAATCACTTGCTGGAGTTGCCAGGAAAATGAAGGAAGTGAATATTGGACAAAATTGTAAAAATTGACACAAACAAGCAACATTTGATGTTTCAAATTTACTTCACAAAAGGAAAACTTGAAAATAAATAGTTCAACAAGAACAAAACCGTTTGTTTTTTTCTATAGATTATTTTTCTTTGTCCCTTAATTGCAATTTCTCTCCTAAATTGCAAACTCTCTAATATATATATAAATACCATCATCAATTAAATACTGATTCAAAACAAAAAAGAGATCTTAAAATGTAACAGAATGTTCATTAGATTGTATATATAAAATATATATGGACGGAATAACTGTATCACATTTGCTTTAACATAGAAAATTTACATATAATAAATAAATGATTTTCATGGAATGTTGAAAAAAAAAAACAACAACATTCCCTTTGTCTTAAAGTTTTTTCGGTACATTTTTCCTACATTTAACAATTTATTACCTTTTTTAAAAACAATTGTGTTTTTGTTTTTGGCAAAAATAAATAATACATTGAAAAAACGCTTTAAAAAAAAAAAAACAATTATAAATACTGTCTTTATAAATAATGTGTATAATAATTATCACATATCTTTTTTCACTGAGATCCAATGGACGGAATGTAAAAATCAACTTAAGTATCTAATAGTGCACAGTTTTCATGGAATTTCATTCTTTTGAATCAAAACTGAAATTTGACAATACAATAAAGTTCTCACAAACAATTCTTATATATTCACAATCATGGTTGAATAATAAACGATTTATATATTTTTCTATACTTTGTTCTTCTATCTACTCATTATGTTGATTTTATATGTTGATGATGCTGGCAACGTTTGTTTAGATATTTAAATGTTATCTTTTTAACATCACAAAGTTCAGTTTGTATTTGGTGTAAATCCACATTATAGTCTGTATTTAGTGTAAGATTCACATTTTAGTCTGTATTTAGTGTAAGATCCACATTTTAGTCTGTATTTAGTGTAAGATCCACATTTTAGTCTGTATTTAGTGTAAGATCCACATTTTAGTCTGTATTTAGTGTAAGATCAACATTTTAGTCTGTATTTAGTGTAAGACAGACTCCCTGCAACACCCAATGACTGATATGTTCAGTGGTGGCCAAGTCAGCCTCAAACACTAGACCTACTCCCATAGCATTACGTCTCTGTGACGTCACATACACCGGTGTACGGAATGTATTCTGAAAACACAAAAACAACATTCATTACTAACAATTTGTACAATAAGTTGTAAGTAACCTTTGAAAGGTATGTGAACATTTCTAAATTAATGATTAATCAAAATGATTTTCAAACTTCGAGTTTTTAAGTGAAGATACAATTTAAATGTAACTGCAAAATTGTAACAAAATGACAAATCAATCAATTAGTTTATTTATATTAGAGAATTCACTTTAAATTTATTTGAATTGGATTGAATTATGAATTGAATACATCATTTTAGAATATCTATTGCCTAGGAAACGTACAAAAATGATCAACTAACTTACAAATGAACTGAGGCCACCAATTATTAATTAAAGAACACTCTGGATATTTTTTGCATTTGTTGCACTTATAAATTTACAAACAAGTTTAAATAACCAAGGAACTAAACTGTTATTAAAGTATTTATAACAGAAAGACATATTGAATGAAAGAATTTTCTGGCATTGAGGTTATAAAACTTTTCTGTCTTGAATCTCAGGATTTTCAATGGTCAATATAATCCTATGCTGGTTTTTGAAAATTCTTAATAACCTTTGACACAGGGTCTGCTGTTACAAAGATCATGGGTATCTGATTGGCAGCAAGAGAATGTTCACTAACCAATGAAAATCCTGAGATTTGAGGCACAACGCAGAAAAAAAGTTTTACAACCTTGAAACCCATGGAGCTTTGAGAGTGTTTTTATAATCTTCTTACCTGAAGTTTCAGCCTGTGAGCCTCAATTGGTATAATCTTCAGGATAGGTAACTCTTGTATCAACTGTTTAGGTTTCTGTTTTATCAGACACATTTCCTCACGATTCCAACCTGCTCCCTCCAAATACAGGCCATGTACAAAACATCCTGAAAACCAACAAGATTAAAATATGATGTATTAAACAGCTTTACTTACATTATAAATAAATGATGAATGATTCAAAGTTATGATTTTGTTATGAATTTATACAGTGAAAGCTAAGAGAGCATTGTTTTATAGCAAATCTCAGTTATACATAAACATCTTTTACTGAAATCTTGTCCATTCTAATAATCTTTGTTTTGTACATCATATTACCAGTTTTCATTCATTTAAATTAACAAAATTAAGTTGTCATCTGTTAATGTAACATGTGAATATGTCAAACATGTTGAACAAAACAACAGTTGTTCTTTACCATCAAATGTCTATCCTTTTCCCATCAAATGTGCATATCTCATACAAAGTTCTGTGTAAACCTCTTCCATGTATTAGCATACATAAAGCAGATTTATACTTATTCTATCATCAAATTATCTAACTCTAATATATTCATAGAGTATCATAATAACTAGCATTCTAACAATGTTTTCTATTTGATATAATATATCCTAGTAGAACGTATATACCAGATATTATATAGTAGATATAAATTCTAATTTCTAGACTTACATACTTCTAAGGAAGTAAAATCAAACTTCCATGTAAGATTGTATAATTTATGATTTATAACTGATTTTATATCTCCTGACTACATCTCATGATGCTTCAAATTGAAAAATAATAATAGGTGTGGTCAGTATACTGATATTTTTTCTCAATGAATAAAGAAAGCAAATTTTTTATTTTTATTTTTGAAAAGTGCCCTAAATAGCCACGTGGTTCTATTTGTGGAATGGTTGTTATGTATACTGTGTTTTTACTGTATACTTCAAAATGGGAACCTTATTCAGATGCCCAACATGGCAAAATTGAAAATGTTGAAGTCTTGATTTTGTGGAGACTCATTCAGCTAATAATTCAGCCATCAACATTTTAGATAGTTAGATACAAAGGCAAATTTATCTAAGTCATATATATTCCCTCAGATTTTCCAACAGGTATGTATACTAGTCTATTTAAAATTTAATAAAATTTAAAAAAAGAAGAAATTGGCCAAGATCTTGAATGAGTTGGTCTGAAACTCGAAGAAATAATGAATTGTTAAATACTTTATCATTAAGATTATTTTTCAACAGTGTTTTAATGCAGCATTTTGATGAATGCAACCCTGAAATAAGCTGACAAAGTCCTCAAATATGCTTACATTTTTGTTGTTGTATTTTTTGACTAAATGCCAAACCTTTCTATTTGATATAGTCATACAGAATTGAACTTTTAACTTTACTGTATATATCAGAGGACAAAACATGTGAAGCAAAAACATGCATGCTATATCTGACTAACTTTTGCCAACAAATGTTCTGTTGTATGATTTGTCTACATTCATATATCTTTTAATAACTTTGATTGTAATTGAATATATAAATAAACAACTGCATGTTGAAAGCAAGTAAAATCTAATTGAACACTCCTTCTTCAAATGTGACTTTAGAGTTCTTTTACATTACATTTCATAATTTACAAAAATATCCTTAAATCTGTTACAAAGAAAATCAAGGAAAAAATGTTCAGCATTAAAAAAATGTTCAAAACATAAAGACATCTCGCATATGTTCATATACATATTTTGCTCTCGTAACAATTGCTATAATTATACAGAGGAAGAATAGCTAATATAATGATTATATTTTGTAGCAACATAGGGGAGAAAGATTTTAAGCAAACTTTCATTTAAAAACAACTTCCCTGACCTGAATTCAATGAAAGGGTTTATAAAACTAAAAGCAAATTATATATTCATGGGGAATTTTTTCCCCATTATTTAAATCATGATTTTGTTGTTGCGCCAATGTCTAAAGTCGTTCTATTGCATTTTAAGATTAAGTTATAAAACTTTTCTCATTTTAGTTTATAAAGCACTTTCTAAAATAGATTTTTTTCATAAGCAGAATTTGAACAATATGAAAATGGTCATTTACATAAATTACAAAGTAAGGCCTTAAATGTGGCCAACCATTACGTTTGACAGCTTAAAGCCAGAAAATGGCAACAATTGATTTAGTTTTATAACCCTTTTCATGAAATTTCAAAATTCATCACATTCTTTTGCTGAATAAAACTGTCTTATTTTCAAACACTGAGTAAACATATATGCAGGTATAATGTTATATACACATATGCAGTATCTACCATAATGGTTATGTGCATTATGCCGTGTACTGTACCTTTCATGTTGGCAAAGCTACTAGTTTCACTCGACATGATGTTACCGAGGCCTAAAAATGAGTACATGTTAGTGGTCTAGTTTTTACTAGGCAACGTCACAACAATCTCCTCTTGTTTCATATTTAGTTTTAGAACAATAAATAAAGATGGGCATGAAAATATTAGATTTTAGTGTATCAAGTAAATAATTCTGTTGTCAAGGGATTTTTGTGATTAGGTAAATAAAACAGAAACAAACAAAAAGCAAACAAACAAATAGAAAGCACTCTATAGTTATTTGATTTGATATTAATGAAAGAAATGTTGACTTTTCTAATAATAATAAATTTTAATAATAATAATTATGTAATATTTGTTAATCATAAAAGGTATATAATGATCTGATTGAGATATAAAATGAATAACAAAGTTGTTTGAAATGAATAACAAAGTTGTTTGAAATGAATAACAAAGTTGTTTGAAATGAATAACAAAGTTGTTTGATATAAATTAAAAGTGAATTATTTCACCCTTGAAAGGAAGTAACTTAATTTTAACACACAACTCTAAAAGCTCTGCTCATATTTTAAATAAAAATCTCCATGATTTATTCTCAAGCATATAAATGAGTAGTATGGTAAGTATGAAATAGTCTAACAAATTTTTTTAGAGGACTTCAACTTGAATGATGAAAAAGGAGCTAGAATCTTACAATAATAATATGAAAAAAAAAAAAATAAATAGATAAATGAAATAGTAAATATGTATTTGGTAAAAGAAAAAAGAAATAAGTATGTATTTGATAAAAGAAAAAAAAAAGAAATTGTGTTAAAATTTGCTTGAAAACAATTGTTATACAGTGAGTAGTTAAACAGTAAGCCATGTTTTATAATTTATTTAAAGAGTACCAACCTTGATGTGCCTTTTCTGTGACATCATCTGGGTTTGACCATTTTGTGACCGAGGTATACAGGGTAGACTTGTCCAGGGGCCATCCATTCTTCCTACAGGTAGCCTGCACAAGAGCAGTTAGGTAGGATTCTGGGATATGAAGACCAGACAACCACATGACAGCTGGCTCTCCCTCATTGACCTGTCATAAAATTAAAATATTTCTTGAACAAATGATATAATACATGATCAAACAATTTAGATTATACCATCACTTCCAAAGAAATGTTAAGTAATTTTAGAAAAGAACCAATTATATGGGCAAAGAAAGCATACATAATTTCATATTGAAAGCAATACAGCATAAAAACAGCCCAAAACCTACATTATTGTGTGGACAAAATGAAATAACTTACCCAGCCATTGTACTGTTTATATCTATTTTCAAAGTGGATGATCCAGTTACCGAGGGATTTGAGAGTCTCAGGTGCGAGTCTGCGCCAGATAGAGGGTATTTGACCATTGAACAATGACTTAGCTACATCATCCAGCTCACTTGACATACCAACCTCACCAGCCAAAGCCTGAAATAGTGTTATATAATCTAATAGAAAACAAAAGTGGTCAAAACACTGTGTATCTTTATCATTTGAAACAGTAACAACATTAAGATAAAAGAACAAATAAAAACAGTGGTGACTGACTACAACAATTTATATTCTCCAAAACATTTTTGAAAGTACATTTTATGAATGACTCACACACTGATGCCTGCAATTCATGAAATTAGATGCAGATGTCCATGTTTCATGACACTGACTACAGATGCTTATGTTTTATGACATCAGACACAGGTGTCAATGTATTATGACACTGGACTCAGAAATGTATTTGCATACCAAATATAATATGGCTCGGGCATAAATAAAAAGATAGAAAATCTTATTTTGGACATACCCTCTTCAGTGTAACAAGGGATCGTTTCATTCTGTTGACAAGCAAATTCCATCTCTCAAGTTCTTGCAACAGTACGACAGTTGTTGGTGAAATCTCTAGCCCAAACTTCTTACGTATCTTGTCTAATTCAAACTGCTCCGGGATCTTACCTTCCACATCAGTAGCAATCTTTTCAATGAAATCTTCACGACTGATGCCCGATGAACTCTCACCTTTACACAAAAAAACAACAAAAGATTAGATGTTACTTTTCATGCACACTTTATAAAACACTATTAAGGCTTGTTCAGGAATACGTAAATATCAAAATATAATTGATGTTATTAAAAATTATTGTTTTTCCTTTTTTTTTGTTATTACAATTATTGATCTTAAATGGTTCAATCTCTATACATCACTAATTGTTTTAACCAAAGCCTGCCAATGGAAACTGATTCTTCCCATACAAGCAGTGCAGACCCAGATTAGCTGGCACATATGCGCCGTCTGATCATGGTCTGCACTATTAGCTATTCTGTCAGAATATATTTTCAGAATTTCCACTAAAATGATTAAATGTTTGTCCGAACTGAAAGAATGAGAGATGGTTTTGTCCAGATTGAAAGAAGGACAAGCGAATTTAAGATTTTGGTAAGGCTTAATATATATTAATATTCATCTGATAGTTAAATATATTTACAATAGAATAGACATAATTGATCTGTGTTTCTAGGATGGTTTGGGATGAGTAGCTTTCAAAGTTATACAAATTTACCTCACTACAAATATAACAACAATCTTTCATCAAAAGGTACAGATAAGGTTACCAAATTTTGTCCAAAGTATTTATGGTACAATAACAACTGCATTGAATATAAGCTATAAATCCAAATTTTTACATGCTAAATGAAACAAGTTCATCAACAAAATGTACCTTTTGATGTGTATGTTGTTTACACATTGCAACAATGTAAAAGGTAAAATAAAACTGTTCCTGTCAGAGTACAATACATATGTATTTTTGTTTGGAATGGAAAGATTTGAAACTATTTGGATAGGTTGCATGACATTTATTTATAGAAGTATTTTCTCCGTACCAATACCAAGCTGTTCATTTAACAAACAATATACAATTTTTTTTTCCAATATTGACATTATATTTTCGAAAAATTTTGGTATTGTCATAACTTCTTAGATTCCGTAATATCAGCTTGATACAGGTAGGAAATCTCACCCTTAGAACCTGTACTAGGCCTCTTATAGATTATAAATTCTGTATAAATAAAATTAATGTACTCTCAAATTAACTGAAATAAATTTAACTCATTTTGTCAATAATCTGTCAAGCTCATTCAAAATTCCACAAAAGGTATCATTACCCTACATAATGTCTCTAATTAACCAAGGAAGTAGTTATTTCACAAACTTTTCATTTATTGGTAAAAAATTTTCATCAACTCATTGAGTTCTTAAAATGTTTCAGTAGATATTAATTAATATTACACTTTCATATCAATAAATGTATAATGCAAAATTAAATGTACATAAAATGAATATGGCAAAAAAAATCTAAATTAGTAATATCTTGCTGAACTGATTTTATAATTGAATAATGAAAACATTGTCATTGTAAGAGTGGCAGTATATACCTGTCTGTGGTTGTAGCTCCACCAAATGTAGCCACATATCTCTGGCAGCCTGGGTATAATACCCAATCTCAGCATTAGGATGAAGACCAAACACCTCAGGTGTGTTCGCTAGTGGTAACTCCTCTATGAAATCTACAACATACAACATAATATCTAATATATCATCTCACCACCAGAGTAAAGCCACTAACCTCAAAATAACACCAAAATTTGTGTTTGTGAATCAAAAACACTACTAAATATTGTATTTACATTCAACACATTAAAGGAAACAATACAAAAATCTTTATTAAAGTTTACTAATATCATCTCACATAGACTTTTATCTACTCACTTACAGTAACAAAAGCATGTAACAACTGATTTTATTAAGTATAAATAAGATCTTAGGATAGGTTTTAAAAGTTCTATCAATTTTTTGGGATAAGAGACTGTTCAAACAAAGACATACCAGTATAGTTGTCTCGTGGACCATCTTCTGGGATCCTGTAATCTACTTCTTCATTGTGATAGAAATGGAATGGTTGGAATGTATCGAAAATGAAGTCTCCCATGTATTCACTCATGTACGTGTTCAATATACGACGATCAAAGTTGTCAATAGCACGTCCTCCATACATCACCTACACATAACACATAAAATGATCATTGTCTTCGTAAAGCAGAAAATTTAAAACTTAAATGTAGAACAGTATTTCAAACTTTCAGAAAAAGGAAATTCCTTAATTATTCAATAAATAACATTTTATTTTCACTTTATCTTTCAACTGATGTATGTTGTCTAAAAAAAAACGCTTTTTTTTGTAAGATATGGAGACATAGACACAATATTATTAAATATAACCCTCTTTCTGAGTAATTGTTGCTTCTGCAATTTAATTAAAAAATATTTTGCAAAACCGAATGTAACATTTATCATTAGGAAAACATTTTTGATAATTCATGATCATTTGACATAATTACTCAAAACCCATGTAGAAGTACATTTGTACCTACCGGTATACATAACCTCTAAAATGCATTAAGTATAGTTTCTTACCTCACCGATGAGGTACTTCAAGCTGTTCCAAGGTATCTTAGCCTCTCCAAGGTCAAATGATTTCTGTAGATATGTTTTCAATATCTCCATACACACTGAGAAATCAGATTCATTAAAGTCATATGGAATATTCCAGCCAATCTTGCCATATTTCCTTCTCTCTTGTACAACAGCATGGAAGAATGCCAGCACAAATATGAGAGCTGGGAAAGCCTGATGTGGACATTCTGTCAAGGCTGTGTTGGAAATCTTGTGATATGTGTTCCTCAAGTTCAGTTTTAAACCATTGGGAGGTTCTGTCACAACCTAAAATAGAATTAATCTGTAAGTTACAAATGAAATTCTGATAAAATTTCCTCGAGAGGGCTTTGACATTATTAAAGATAGAATGAAATATAGTTTTCTGTCATAGCTAAAACAAAATATTTGTATCAGTTTCATTCAAAAATACATAAATCATCACAAGATGCCAAAATAACAATTAATAAAATCTATTTTCTGATGACATTATAAATAACTTTGGCAAAAGCTTATCACAAGGAAAGAAAGTCAGTTAAGGAAATATCATTTGAGTGGAAATGAAATTTAAAATAAGAATAAACTTGTACCTTAAGAGATCTCTGTAATATACCAATGGGGAAAGCAAGTATAGGTTCTGTAGTGAGCCAGAGACGGAAGTCTGGATGAGGTTTGGTAAGTTTCTCCAGCTGTTTCTCCAAATCACGCAACCATTTCACCAACAAATGACAGTTCTGTAACATCAGCCACTGACCACGAGATATAGCTGTCTCCAATAGTTGTAGGGCAACCTAAAATAAGTCAGGGCTAGATTCAGCTGGGAAGACTTTGATTTTTCTAAAATTTCTATTAGCATTCATCAGCAGATTGAAGAAATGGTGCTGTCAGAAACAGAAATGGAAAAAAATGAAGACTTGATTTGTTCCTTAAACATTTGAACAAATGAAATACATATTGATGAAAAAATTATATTTCCCACATACATACCTAAATGTGATTTGTTTCCTTTGATAGAATAAAAAGAATCATATATAATCACAAAGAACATATTGTGTATATGAGCAGCATCATGACAAAACAACATAGTGCGTTTGCGACCAGCATGGATCCAGACCAGCCTGCAAATTTCTGCAGTCTGATCAAGATCCATGCTGTTTGCCATCAGTTTCTCTACTTGTAATAGGGTTTGTAAGCGAACAGCATGGATCCTGATCAGACTGTGTGGGTGTGCAGGCTGGTCTGGATCCATGCTGGTGGCAAATGGACTATGTTGGTTTTGTCTGCTTTTTGTTAGCTCATATATGAAGATGTATTTTAATAAGAAACACTGTCTCACCTTTTCTTGACCTTGACCCATAGACAGGAACTTAATCTTGTTGCTTCCAAACTCAATCCTCTCTGCCAGCTTCATGAGATCACTGGCAGGATCAGATCCTGGACTCAGAATAAACACAATAGGGGACATAGGGGTACTCTGCTCGTATATAGCCTCATAACTGATGATGGGTGGGGTAACATATTTCTCACTCATGCATTTTGTTACAAACTCTGTGATGGCCCTGTATATACGATCAACACGGAAACATCGGAGTAACATAAGGCGCTTGAATCCTTGTAGACTGTCCTGATATTTCAGTGGGAATGGTTGAGACTCTGGTGTGTCATGATCATACCACTGTAATGACAAAACACAGGATTAAAACAGACAAACCATATCTAAATTGATGGAAACCAAGGAAAACTCACCCAATGGAAAAGGAACATTATATAGAAAAATACGTATACAATTAGCTTTACATGGCTTAAAACTACAAATCATACTGACCAATAATTAATCATCAAACTAAAAGAATGCTTTCCCCGATTCAAAAATGTTTTATAGTAAATAAGCTTATATAAACTTAATGATAATATAAAAGAATCCTAACATACCCTCTTCCAAGGCTTTTCATTCTTTTCAATATCTTCAAGCAGGGAACTAAAGTTATCTGGGAACACCTCAGCCAATCGTATCGCATCTTCCCAGCCCTCATCTGGGAACCAGGCATATGGTTTCTTACGTTTACTCTTCTCTAATGCAATATTACCCTGAAATTGTTTAATAACAATGCATTCTTAAGATGCAAGCCAACAGATGACTAAACAAACTTTCAAAATATCAAAGTGACTACTACCAATGGTGTATTTGTAGGGAAATTATTATGTGCTGAGTTTTTCTGCTATTTATATGCAACAAGTGCAGAGTGTCAGGAACTCATTTCACTGGCTTTTTAAGCAATTTTTGTTGCTCAAAAGAAAGTATTTTGTCTTCACTGGTCACATGGTAAGAATCTACTGCCACCCAGCAGGCAAGGAGTTGATAAACTGTTTCAAATAAATTCATAGGACAAGACAAATCAGTCAAATATTTACAATAGTAACTGCTTTCAGCAGAAAAATCAATTGTTTACCTTGATAAAGAAGTCCACTTCGTCTTGTTGTACATGCTGAAGATCTTGTTCCAGTTTGATACAGATTTGGAAGGAGAATAACAGCTTATGCTTCTCAAATATACCTGGAATATTTAAATTATCATTTGATTCAGAAGTAATTTACTAGGGAAAGCAATTAAATGTTTTTAACACTTTCAACCTAACCTGACATGCTACAAAACATATTTAAACTATTAAGAGATTACTTAAATCTGAGAAAATCATCATCAAAATCATGGAGTGACTTTATTATCATCATGCTTATCAAAAATCTTTTGTCAATTTTTTATCACAAGAGCAATACATAGACAAAACACTATATAAAATGTTATTCCCTGACAGGGTGAAAAAATATTTCCAAACTAAATCATTGTGACCGAGTCTAACAAAGTGAACAAGAATAAATTCTTCTTATTTCTAAATAAAAAAGTTTAATCTTAGTGAATTTGTTTGTTCTTTAGCCTTTAACATGCTGAAACTGATATGTCTTTGCAACCAGCATAGTCAGGACAGAGACCAGTCAGCATATCTGTGCAGTCTGACCAGGCTCTACCATGTTGCTAGCTGAATTTTTGCATTTTGATATAAAAAAACACCTAAAATTTCAAATGGACTGTTCCAAATTCAAAGCAGTGCAATTCCATAATACAAATTCAACAGGTTATGGGTAAAATCAGTAAACTAGACTGACTGTTAGTAAATAAAATATAACCAACCTGTACAGCCGTAATCATATACATTATGTGTTAGTGTGTCCATTATATTCTTCAATCGTTTCTGTAGGATTGTATCTGGCATACTCTTCTTCAGTGAATACTCAAATACCTCCAGGTATGATGACAGGGAGTACTGGTACATGCTGTTGATAGATGACAGATCTGCCAACACGAAAAACAAAATGGCTCCCCTCCTAGCTGCCGGACGGTACCCATCTCTCAGTTTATCAATATCTAAGGCTGTTTTGGCTCCTAGCTTCAGTTTCTCTGACACCTTAATGTGGAAAAAAATTATGAAAATAACATGTAAAACAATGTTCTTCTTTAATAAGATTCAAGCTTATTAAGTCAACCAAGATCATTTAGATCTATCTCAGAAATAAATATCCATCACATATAACACAGACTTTTCATTCATAAGGAACAGTTGTATTCTTTTGAACATTTTTTATTGATTGAAGAAATCGAAGAAAGCCACATGGGAAATGATATAAAATTTAAGTGAAATCCAAAACTTGAAAATACCAATCTCAAACAACATAAAGTGTCACTAAGCACAAACATGTAGAAGCAACAGGCTTGTGGGTATGGTGTTGGCCTCTCATCCATAAATCAAGGGTTAGAGCACCATTTTAGTGACGACAACATTTTCTCATAGACTGAATATATACTGACCAATGAAAATCCTGATAAAAAAAGTTTATTAACCTTCCTGATAAAAAAAGTTTAATAACCTTGAGGCCAGATTGTCTTGTACCTTAAGCTTAAATAAATATATTTAACCTAAACAAACCTCAGTGGCTTTTGTTTTTGTCTCCTCCAGTGTTGAAATAAGTTCAGTATTATCCAACATGTTTCCCTGTGACTGAGCTAACTCTCTCAGTAGAGAATCTTCCAGGTCTTTCAGAAGTTTCTTGTTCATACTGGTCTCCTGGATGAGTCTTTCACGTTGTTCCTCCAGCTCTCGTCTCTCAAACTTCACTATCACACTCAATAACTGATCCTCTAAACCCTGATAGACATAAATACATATATATCACAGTCAACTAAATCTTTTCATGATTACAGTGTACATTGTACTTTATTTCAGTACATAATAAATTTCTTTTTTTGCTCTATTTACCTCAGTAATCAAGGCTATTTACTGGTATTTAATGTCATTTATACAGAATGTGTACTGTTGGTTCTGGTGATGGTTTATTTGTAATGTAAAGGCATTACTTAAGTCATGTTTCAAACTGTAGCAATTTTTCACTGACTTCCTAATCATAATGATTCATTTTTCCTTAGTGGACTGATTTATTGTGTTTTAAAGCCTAATTAATTATGAATTAACAGACTTTCACCAATTTTACAGACTTTCAAAATTATCTTGATGTCTCTTTGACAAGTCTAATTAGCTGCACTTATATAATATTGTGTTTATAATTTTGACGATTCCAAAATGTCTAAGACTTTTTAATGTAGAAAAACATTAAAATCAGTAAATCATCAAAGTGAAAGCAACTAACTGCCTTACCTTCAATGTCACAGTGTAGTTGATGACCATAGATTTACCAAACACATTGGGGGAGTATTTCGGGTTGGCGAGTTTTGTGTTCAAGTAGAGACGAAAGTTGGGGTCATAATCCACCTCTTTGTCTCCAAGGATCACAAACTCACGCCCTTGACCACCTGTTAAATATAGAGGGAAAAAATTGTCAAAATTCATAAATGTTGATATAAATGATATAATAAACAAATATAAAAGATATAAATGTTACTGGTTAGAAAATGTGAGGCTATTACAAACTAAATGTGATATACAGAGATAGGAAAAGTTACAGAAATATCATTATAAACACAGAATTTTTTTGCTAAAATGCTTCATTTCACCATCTTTACAACCTTATCTCAGCTGAAAAAAAGATTCAAATTTATCAAAATATTTCACACAAACAGAGGTAAAAACATATAAAAAGTAAAAAAAAATAATATTGCAACTTGGTAAAAATGTTATTTTTTTACATTTATTAGATTAACCAAATTAACCTGACAGTCATCTAAAAAAAACTGCTTTACACAATAACATTACCTGTAAATCCTGTCAATAATAATGTGATAATTGTAATAAGGAGTTAATTGTAAATAAAGATTTCAAAGTGCATGCAAAAAAGTTTTTTAGCATTTATAAAATGATTTACTTCTTAAAATTTTCAATGATAAAATGTCTAAATGAATCATTTTCTTTTGATTAAATAAATCTAGTCAATTTTCTATTACAGATAATTTAATTCAGACATAAACATATCATGCAGTATGTTTATACAATAGTTGTATATAATATAGGTACATGATTATTGGGTGATCCAATGTACATGCAAACTGTTTTCACTTTATATTTAATGTTACATTGCCACATTGTAACATGACAGTATAAGATACACCATCATTATATCACATTGTAACATGACTGTGTATATCACATTACACATGATTATCATATCATAATGTAACTTGACTGTGTATATCACATGATCATCATATCACATTGTAACATGACTGTGTATATCAAATGATCATCATATCACATTGTAACATGGCTGTGTATATCAAATGATCATCATATCACATTGTAACATGACTGTGCATATCACATGATTATCATATTACATTGTAACATGACTGTGCATATCAAATGATCATCATATCACATTGTAATGTGACTGTGTATATCACATGATCATCATATCACATTGTAACATGACTGTGCATATCACATGAATATCATATTACATTGTAACATGACTGTATATATCACATGATCATCATATCACATTGTAACATGGCTGTGTATATCACATGATTATCATATTACATTGTAACATGACTGTGCATATCAAATGATCATCATATCACATTGTAATGTGACTGTGTATACCACATGATATCAACATATCACATTGTAACATGACTGTGTATATCACATGAATATCATATCACATGAATGTGTATATTATAACTATCACATTACATTGAAAAGAGCTGTCGGTAGGACAGCAACGCTCGACTATTCTTAGTGCTTGATAGTAAAAACAATGCTTGATAGAGTTACCTCCTCCTGTTTACAGGTTGGGGTCATGATGTTGAACAAGTGTGCAAAGTTTCAAAGCCATATGTCAATGGACTTTGAAAATATTTGAGGTATTACAAAAACTTTAACGTAAATTCTAAGTCGAAAAAGGGGCATAATTCTGTCAAAATGCTTGATAGAGTTACCTCCTCCTGTCTACAGGTTGGGGTCATGATGGTGAACAAGTGTGCAAAGTTTCAAAGCCATATGTCAATGGACTTTGAAAATATTTGAACTATTACAAAAACTTTAACGTAAATTCTTAGTCGAAAAAGGGGCATAATTCTGTCAAAATGCTTGATAGAGTTACCTCCTCCTGTTTACAGGTTGGGGTCATGATGTTGAACAAGTGTGCAAAGTTTCAAAGCCATATGTCAATGGACTTTGAAAATATTTGAGGTATTACAAAAACTTTAACGTAAATTCTAAGTCGAAAAAGGGGCATAATTCTGTCAAAATGCTTGATAGAGTTACCTCCTCCTGTCTACAGGTTGGGGTCATGATGGTGAACAAGTGTGCAAAGTTTCAAAGCCATATGTCAATGGACTTTGAAAATATTTGAACTATTACAAAAACTTTAACGTAAATTCTTAGTCGAAAAAGGGGCATAATTCTGTCAAAATGCTTGATAGAGTTACCTCCTCCTGTTTACAGGTTGGGGTCATAATGTTGAACAAGTGTGCAAAGTTTCAAAGCCATGTGTCAATGAACTTTGAAAAAAAATGAGGTGTTACAAAAACTTAAATGTAAATTCTAAGTTGAAAAAGGGGCATAATTCTTTCAAAATGCTTGATAGAGTTACCTCCTCCTGTCTACAGGTTGGGGTCATGATGGTGAACAAGTGTGCAAAGTTTCAAAGCCATATGTCAATGGACTTTGAAAATATTTGAACTATTACAAAAACTTTAACATAAATTCTTAGTCGAAAAAGGGGCATAATTCTGTCAAAATGCTTGATAGAGTTACCTCCTCTTGTCTACAGGTTGGGTTCATGATGGTGAACAAGTGTGCAAAGTTTCAAAGCCATATGTCTATGGACTTTGAAAATATTTGAACTATTACAAAAACTTTAACATAAGTGGTTACGCCGACGCCGACGCTCGGGTGACTGCAATAGCTCTACTTATTCTTATCGAATAGTCGAGCTAAAAATGACGGCATATCATAACATGATTATTATATGACATTTATATTATATGACATGTAGGCATGCAAGTGCCATGGTTATATGTACAAAATCTAACGTAAATTGCATTATTAAAATTGGATATTTCATTAAATCATTGGTAGAAGCATTTCTTTTATAGTTTTTTTTTCCAAGTAACTTCTTAAAATATTAGGTATGATCACAATTTTTGTTTTTTAAATTCCTCAAGTTATGATATTTTTATTATATTTGGAACTGATTTTTTAAAAAATATATATTGATTGTTCAATCAATGAAACAAAAACAGCAGTATAAGTCATTTTAAAGAAATGAGCATTTTAGTATGTATTAGGCTTGTAACAGAAATATGGATTATTAATTATAGGATGTTACTGTCATTTGCAAGGTCCAGTAAATCAAGTCCCTTATTAATATCAATTATTTCAAGAATTATCATCTTCAATATTGTACTTCCACAACTTATGACAGAATTTGACTGATTAAATTTGCTCTTTTATTTAACAAATAGTCAGTAACAAGTGATGTTTGTTTATGCTATATATACATATATATTAGACATTTATATATACATGTAGAATTACTATACAAGTACTACCTTTATCCTTTACTACTGCTTTATCTTTTTTAATCCTTTTTACTATCCCAACTATTATGTATACATATATAAAATAACATGCATTAATCATAGTGTATATAAAGTAAAAAAATTACAATATCTAAATTTTAAAAAATAATGATGAAATATTTTTCTAAAATATTTTTTTTTAAATATAAATTAATATTTTTCTAAAATAATTTTTATTGTAAAATATAAATAGATATTTTTTCTAAAACATTTTTATTTCAAATATAAATATTTTTCTAAAATAAATATAAATATTTTTCTTACATTTACTACAAATACCAAGAATTTTGTTCTTTTCAAAAGTTTACAAACATTTCAATTGAATTCACTGGTTTTTCTTTTTTCACTTTCATTTACCAGTGAACATTTAATATAAACATGTATAAAATTATAAAAGTGAATCTGGTATGTAGAATATTGACTTATGTATTCAAGTGAAAGAGACAATAATAAATTGTTACAGTGTAAAACAATCACCTGCAGATTTGTCAGATGTAGGAATATCTGTACAAGTAAATACAGGATACATTGAACTAAACTAATATACACAAAAATGTACAACAATTTACACGGCATTTTATTTTCTTGTCTGAAATTATCGCTGCTTTGATTTCAATATATCAAATGTACAACAATTTACAAAGCATTTTATTTTCTTGTCTGAAATTATCACATGAAACCTGGATACTTTGCTTTCAAGATATTTAAACTATCACTTTGAACCTTGTTACACATTTGTCCACTTTATAAACATAGGAACTTTAATATTACTTGTTGTTTACGTGATATGAAGCACTGAAATCACAATTTTATGTTTAAAGTAAAGGGAGATTATATAGTTATAGACTTATGTTTAGGTCTATATATTGAGCTTGGATCTGAGAAAAGTTGTACTGACTGATGACGATCATAGTCTGTGGCAGATAATACTTTTATCAAGTCAAAAAACTATATATTGACCTCAACATTAGTCATATGTTAAACTGTAATAATTATACCGGTTCTAAACACGTATAATTTTCCAATATATTTTTCATATTGTATACCAGTCTGACTATAATAGAGTATATTGTCACTTTAGTGCAGTAATGGGTTAACTCCTTAAATAACTTAATAGGAGTTAACCCATTACTGCACTAAGGTGATGATATGTCTATCATTTGAAAGAATAAGATGCCGTGATAAAACAATCTGGTCTACACATTCTTTTCCAACTTGTTATGTCAACACAAATCAGCCAATTAGAATGGCTCTTTTATAGATGGTATACAATATAACAATAAACTTATGGAATATTCTAACAAATTTCTGCAACATTAAATAATTGATAGGAAATCTGTCTTTATCAGAACTAAATTGTTTTAAATATTTATTCTAAACATTGAACGGTCATTTAAACAACACTGAACTTATTCCTAAAGCATTTACCAATATAAACACTGCAAAAAAAAAATTTCTTTAGCACAATAAAAATCTGTCTATCTTGTTTCATATTTTGACTTCCATACAAAATACTAAATGACTGTAACTGTACTTATAGCCAAAAAGCAACATAAGAAAAAGATGGTTCAGGTAATTGACCGAGTAACATTTTTGAAGAAAAAAAAACATAATGAAAGTACACCAAAAATAAAAAGCTTTTGCAAAATAAATTAAAACAATTGCTTAAGCATAATGGGCCTTTAAACCATGAAAGTATACAATATTTGATGCATTTATGCTATTTGCATAATTATATGCTAGTATTACATGTCATATACAGTTAAAATACCATGTATGTATCAAAGCTGGGACCTTTTTTCAGACTACACATTTAAAATATTAGATATGTTAACCATTGGGAGATAAGATTGACAGATTTTTTTGTATAGATACAAAACAAGACATCAATTTGTGCCTACCGGAACCTCTCAATGCTTTCTTTTGCTCAGACTTTTTTGCGCCTATATTCATTAAAACATATCACATATACTACAGTAAAATCAGAAAATTTCACAAGGAATTGAATTTCGCTAATTTCACAAAATGATCACTAAGTATCAAAATTATTTATCAGAACTGAAAGAAAAAATCTGTGAAATATATTACTTTGCCAATTAGTCTCGAAAAGTTGACTTTGCAAAATTTTAGCATCACAAAATATCTGGTTTTACAATATACTTTACAAAGTTTTCATAAATTTGTTAATAGTATAATAAAGTTTATCTGTATACTTTATATACATGTATGTCTTAAATGAGAATTGCACATTAAATTTTAATTCATTCTAAAGATTTAATTCATCATAAAACTGGTATTTAATTCAAGTTTTACATTATTAAGCTATTCAATTATCAATTTAATGAGAAACTGATTTATATTTTCAACCATGTGAATCATTTATGTTCTTGTCATTGTTTAATCATTTTTAATAAAATCATTCTTGAAGTTCAAACAGAAAATGCTGCAAAACTCAACTGGTCAATTAAAATAGAAGTATAACATAAAACAGTTTTAACTTTGATAATTATATAAAATTACTTTAAACATTTGTTGTCAACAACAACATTACTTACCAACTGTTTTTGCAAAAATAAGTAAAAAAGAATATCATAATATCAATGATCTTAAGATTTCTCAGTAAATGCATAACTGGTTGTTCAACAGAGTAAACAAGAGCTGTCACAGGAGACAGCGAAGCTCGACTAATAAAATACTGGACGCAGTAAGGAGGACACAACTATGAAAGAAAAATCCATTATGTATAATTATGTATTAAGTTATAGAAAAAAAATAACATTTGTTAACATTAATTCCAAGATCAAGGGGAATAATTCTAGAAATAGTCATCCTAGAGTTATGGACCTTGTCACACAACATTTGTGTAATGATAAGAAATATATATTTGAAGTTTGAAGTAGATACCTTAAAAAGTAAAGAAGTTATTATATTTCTTAAAGAAAATCCTAAGTTCAAAGACAGATAAATCTGTAAATATTGCTTCAAGAGTTATGAACATTGTCACATAAAATGTAATTGATGATAAGGAATAAGTTATTTGAAGTTTGAGGTAGATACCTTTAAAAATAAAAAAGTTACAATAAAAAATAACATTTTTCTAGTAAAAAAATCTAAGTTTATGGAGAGATAATTCTTGCAATATTGGTGCTAGAGTTATGAACCTTGTCACATAAGATGTGGATGGTGATAACGTAAATATATTTGAAGTATGAAGTTGATCCCTTTAAAAATAAATAAGTAACAGTAAAAAATAATATTTTTTATGGAAAATTCTAAGTTCAAAGGGAGCTAAATCTAAAAATATTGGTGCTAGAGTTATGAACCTTGTCACATAAGATGGGGATGATGATAACGTAAATATATTTGAAGTATGAGGTTGATCCCTTAAGAAATAAAGAAGAAACAGTAAGAAATAGTATTTTTTTTAGGAAAATTCTAAGTTCAAGGGGAGATAAATCTGAAAATATTGGTGCTAGAGTTATGAACCTTGTCACATAAGATGGGGATGATGATAAGGTACATATATTTGAAGTATGAGGTTGATCCCTTAAGAAATAAAGAAGTAACAGTAAAAAATAGTATTTTTTAAGGAAAATTCTAAGTTCAAGGGGAGATAAATCTGAAAATATTGGTGCTAGAGTTATGAACCTTGTCACATAAGATGTGGTTGATGATAAGGAACATATATTTGAAGTTTGAAGTTGATACCTTAAGAAATGACAAAGTTATAGTGAAAAATATTTTACTGCACCAAAACTTTAATCTAAAATCTGGACGCGGACGCGGACGCCGACGCCGACGCCGGGGCGAGTAGGACAGCTCTCCATATACTTCGTATAGTCGAGCTAAAAATGTTTACCCATATTTCTGTAAAATATACTAATGTAAGATATTAAAGAAACAATCAAAAGACATGTTCCAGGCAGTAAGTAACCACACTTAAATGTGAATTGCATAGTTATTTAATCATATGACTTTATAACTGTGCGAGTAATTTACAAAGCATCTACATAGGACCATATTAAGTAACTTTAAAGAAGAACAGCTGGACTTTCTTGAAATTCTATAACGCTTGGAAGAAAATGAATTTCTATTAAAACAGAAGGCAGTTCATTCAGCCGAGCTATTATTGACTTGATAACACAACACCAAATAATGTCATATGCATCTTGTACAATAGCTCCAGATTATCTAAATTTTACCTAAAATTATTTTACTTCATTGTTCAGGTATCCTTGCCAAGTTATAATTCCTATCATTGCAAATTAGCATTAAATTACTATATATTAAGGTTACATATTAGAGAGAAAGAAGAATGGATTAATATTTATCTATTTATAATGCACAAAGCTTTTCTTCTTGGATTTTTGAAAAAAAAATCCAATTAAAAGATGAAGAAAATAGAATGGCATAAAAGTAAACAATAAAATCTATAGTAAGATATATAGAGGATATTTGTTTGTTTTGCATGTAAGATTGAAATATAATTTCACTGAGTGAACACCAGATGCAATATTTTCACGAGTGGCGTAGCCACGAGTGAAAATATAATAGCTGGTGTTCACGAATGAAATATATTTCAATCTTATATGTAAAACAAATAAATTTTCTTTTTATTTCATGCTTTTTAAGTGATTTTAAGTATTTTTTACTGATTTTGCCGCGTAACGTCGCGCATTCTCCTTTGTGACGTCATCACATCATGACGTCACATCATCAATTTTGAAATATAGTTCTGTTAAATTTCTCTAATTTTGTTACATTTTTAACATGATGTATGGTGACATCGACTTTCTTTTCCTAAAGAAGCAAAATTTACGTATGACGGCATTTATTTCTGCCTGTTATTCCATTTAGTTTAATTTTCTTTTCATCCGCATTCAGATATAGTCCGGCTACAGTGAAAATTATATTTTATAAATTTCACTAGTGGTTTATCAGAATATAATCATCTGATATATTACAATAAAACACTGGAAAGCATGAAATAAATATATATATATATATATATATATATATATATATATATACAGAGGTCAGGTGATAAATAGCTTCACTGCAAACTCAAACTGTGATAGATGTAAGAGTAAAATGGAAACAAACCTTTAATGTTCTTCTCCAGTACATTGTCAATTACAGGATCTATGTACTCATCTACGTCTTTAAACAGGAATGGGAAACCATACTTGATGGCCAACTCTAGCTGCTTCAGGAAATCTGGGTCATTGAAGGTGCACACCTAAAAATGATGCAGATTTGTTTAATATATTGTATGGCAAAATATGCTTATACTTCATTAATGCGCTTTACTGATCTAATCTGGCCTTTAAAGTTTTATTAGGAATGTCATCTGACTGTCTACAGACAGAATTTCCATTGTGTAATACTGTAAGTTTAAATATAGAAATCAACTCCAGTTTCAATTTAAAACTGTAATTATTTTATTTGAAAAATATACTTTAATACAAAATACAACCTAACCTTTCCTAAAGAATGGGTGGGGGAGCAGGGGAGACACTAAATTAATGACAAATATTGTAAGCAATAGTAAATCACTTATGCTGCAGATGTTATGAAATGTCCCAGAGTGTTATAAGAGTGGCATAAACTGACCTTGAGATTATTAGCCTCCTCCTTTTTCTTGATCCAGTTCAATGCTTGTTGTTGTGGATCTATACATAGAGGAAACCTGCTTGCCCGAGTGGTCAACATTCCGTTCTGTATAGATAACTCATCTGGTGGCAGATTCTCTGATGTCCATCTATGAAAATATACCATCACATATTAGTCTTGTGAAACTTAAAACATCAAACTATATAAAACAGCAACAAAAACAGATATATGTGATAGCATTAACTTTATTTAGTCCAGGAATCAAGATAGGTAACTTCAACAAATATTCAACAAATATTTCTTAAATAACTATTGTAAAATGGTCTCATTATTTTATGTTGTTGCTGTAGTTGGGTTTCAAGTCACACCGGCACTGTAATGGTCATATGGCGACTTTCAAGATTTACTGGTGGAGGGAGACTTCATGTGCCTCTCTGTGCATTATTTCAGGTACAAACGGGCACTAGAGTAGAACCACCAACATTTCAAAGCTTCCTCACAAGAAAATTTTTAAGAGTCCCTAGCAAGATTCCAACCTGTGGTGAGAGGCAAGTGGTTCAAAATTATCAGATACAAGTTAATAACATCAATTAAGCATGTGTCATACTTGCTGATTTCCACATCATTTGTGAGCAGATCTTCCAGTTTAAAAGGATCACTGAGAGGTACTCCTTTTTCCTTGAGATTTTTCAGCCACTCAAGATTGACAAGGTCATTACGGAACTCCCAGCTGAAAGCTCCTACATAACTGAGGAAAGCTGAGCCGATCAGACAGTCACCTAGCAACCTTACACGCTGGCCCTTTAACTGCTGTAAGTCATTGTTCCATCTGAAATTACACAATGAATCATTATAACAAACTGAATATAGTGTTTGAAAAAATAAAACATGATCAATAAAAACATACAAGTCAACCATAATTACAATATATCTTCATGTTTAAAATCAGATTTGATTCTTCTTTTTTTGGGGGGTTGGGCTTAGCATCGCACCAACACAGTATGGGTTAAATGGCAACTTTCCTGCATTTACTAGTGGATGAAGACCTCAGGTGCCCCTCTGTGCATTATTTCACGCAAGAACAGGGAGCTAAGTAGATGTTCCATAACCTGGCTGGAAAGCTTCCTAACAGAAAGAATCCAAAGACCCTGGCAGGATTTGAACCAGAGCTGTGAGGGCAAATGGTTCAATAACAAACTCATCTTAATTATTTCAGAAGCAAATGTTTTAGCTATATATATCACAGTTTTTTGGGGTTTTTTTTAAATCTGTCAGCAAACTTGGCATAACTTAATCTCAAAAGCCATATCAACCTTATAGAAGTATCAAAAATTCTTTCATGTATGCTAAAGAGTGTTTCAGAGTATAAATCATTAACCTACCTAACATTCTCAGAGCCTAGACCCGAGATCAACTTATCAGCAGCAATTAAACGTCGTTCCATAATGGCTGCTTCATCAGACAGCTTCTTTTGTTCTGCCATGGCCTCCTCGTATTTAAGTCCCAAATCTGCAAGTTCTTTCTCTAGAGAGTTTACTTCATTTGTAATCTTATCCAAATCACGCTTGGCTTGGAAGTAATTTCTTTCAAGTTTTGCCACCTGCAAAAAAAAATTTAACACATGTAACACTTGCTCATACTTATGGTGCAAGAAATATTTAAGAAAGGCATCTTTTTTTTCCCCATACCTGGTTTGTCAACTTTACTCTGGAGCTCACAGTCCATGGAGAAGCAAATAGACTCAGTCTTATGGCAACATGCATTATTCTGAATACCATAAGTTTTACTTTATAAATGAATAAGGATGATATGGTTTACAAGTGTTGAATGAGTACACAATTTACAAACAAGCTTTACTATAAATTTATCTCTACCATACACATAATTTATAACAGTAGTTCAGTACATATTGACATTATCTTCTTATGTCATGATATATATATCGATAGGTAACAATCTGAAATTTAATTGCTATATACATGTCAACAAGACTGACCTTTTCTCTCTTAGGTTTGATTTCCCTAGCAACAGCACAGTAACCAAGGATGGCATCAACAAACTTGAGGAGACCAGCACCTGCTCTACTGACTGCCTTCATCTCATCTATACTGATATCTATCTCCTTTAATAATGCTGAAAACAAGATCGTATGTTTATTACAAATCATTGATACAATAATATTAACAAAATCAAATATGCTATTGTAAATAAATTCCAAAATAATCTTTGTAATTATTTTTTTTTTGTTGGGAGTCAAATAATGCAATAATTCTCACTTTTTGTAGCTCCTGTCTGTTTTTGTGTTATACTGTCAACATCCATCTTTTTCAGAGCAGCCAAAAAGTTAGCCTCAGCCATCATAGCTTTGGCTGATTTCCATGAAACTTCACGGATACCTCTCAGAATGACTACACATTCACAAATTGTCTGTACAGCTTTCGGGGGCTTGGCAAAAGATCTGAAATCATCATAGACAAAAATGGTCTGAATGTCTTCAATGTAACAGTGTCATCATAGAATAGATGGCACAGAAATGATTCATATTCTGACCGTTTTACCTTTAACTGCTCTTGAAACAAAGATGTTTCTACTTTAACAGCAAGCCTTTCTAATCTTTAAAGGGGAAAAATGCATCTGAATAGGTATTCTACCATATCTTAACAGTTGATACAAATATTCTAACTGTAAAGGGATATGAGAAATATTGCCTAGTTTATTGTTTCTTATGTGAAGATTCAGTCGAAACTTAGTCATTGTTCTCATTTGTTTGCTTTCTATGCGCACATGGGGTCTTCACTTTTCAAATACAAAGTCTAAATATATACAATATTATCATGTTTTTACTATGGTGTTTACCTAATTTCAGTGACATCAGACTTATCAAGGTCATCAAGAGCCAGTCTGGCAGCTTCTAGAGCAGGAAGAGCAGCGGCTAGAGCTTCCTCTGCGTCTTTCTGTAACACAATACATCATTCATACAATCAACATGTTTCAAATCACGAGCAAAAAAAAAGAATGGTTACGCTACCAAAATTTTATCAAATTGAAATGGACTGAAAAGTCTATTTCTTTATATCTGCAAAGTCTCACATTTACTACATTTGGGCCTACTTCCTCTTTTCAAAATGTAATGCAACAACAAGTTTACCTTTTCCACTTCAATGATTTTGCTGGATTCTGCAATTTCTTTTCCCTTAGCTTCAGCGAGCTTCTTCTTCTCTGTAGCACGTTTGGTACCCGAGGCAATTACTTTAAGAAGCTCTTCACAAGCAGCTGTTTTCTCTGTTACAGCAACTTTCTGTACAGCTAACTTTTCATTGAGAATGGCAAGCTGTTCACTAGCCTCGGCAATCTTCTGTAAACCTCCGGCCAGACGGTCACACTGAAATCATGTGTTATATGATATACTGTTTAATGTCCTAACATATAATCCATGCAATCATTAGCTATGGAAATTTTATTAGAACATCTACATCTTCAAATAAAGAAATCAACTTTATGATTCAACCATAGATTTACAGATGAAAAAAAACACACATGAGATCTGGAAACTGTGGTTTTTTTTTGTTTTTCTTTCTACAATTTTTTTATATTAAAAAAATGTAAAAGAATTCTGTATGTATCTTATTAAAGTTGTTATCTAATACTGAGGCCTTTTGATACAGTGAGGCCTTTTGATGAATGTGCTTTAAATAATATAAAGAATTCATTTAAAACATTATTAATATTTTACCTGTGCTTGATTGAAGTTATCTTTATCTTGAAGAAGTTTTAGGTATGTGTTTATAAAGTCAAGGTAATTTTTGGGTGTTACGTAATTGCTTCTCCTCAATCTCTGGGCAAACTGCTTACTGTAAGCACCGACACTGCTGTGTACAAGGACGATATGTTCTACAACATGATCACGCATGTCGTCTGCTATCAGGGGATTCTGTAATAACATATTGTTATTTCTTTTATTCGTTACTACATGTTAAATTGTTCAAAAACATTAAAATATGCCGTAAAGACTGTTCACTTAACCAGCAACAATTTTTCATAATTTTATCAAGGGCAAGTGATACTTGATATATCTTTCACATACAGAAAAGGTTTGAAGATAAACCTGTGAAAATTTTAAAGTATGGATGATGAACAAATTAAAATAAAACTCAATCGCACATTTTTTATACTTTTTCAAACAACATATTTTACAAGAAATGGAAGGTGATTTTAAAAAGCCACTTATTAAAATACATCATACTTCTGATTTTAAATCATTAACATTTCACTGTATGGTGCATTTAATATTAATCATTTTCTATTGCTTATCAAATCTCATACCAATACTTTCTGTCATGAACAGAAAAGTACCAAAATTTAGACACAGGCAACAACAAATATCACTCACAATATAATATTTAAACAATTTGAACAAAGAATGAGAAAATGGTAATTTTCAATATAGATGTATAGACAACATGTTATAGTTCACACTCACACCATCCTGGCGCCTCAATGCACTAGATGGCATTTTACTCTATAAATATTATAACAGTATAACTATCAAGATATTATTGTAAAATATATACTGACTGAACAGCAAACAGTGCAGATCAAGATCTGTCCCCCTATTCCATACACAATCTTACATGAGGAGCCATTTCAAAAAGATTTTAAATTATTTAAGGAACCTTACATCATTTCCAAGGCAGATTTAATATGAGTATATAAAGACAACTTAATGAAAAACCACTTAACATTTACAGAATAACACTTCAAAAAGGTAACAGATTGAAATTTTTCTATTAAGGCTTCTTGAAAAAAGAAATGTACTTTTAGTTCTATACATAAGATTGGTATTTCATGAAGAAATTGAATACCACATCTAAGTTAAAGTATATAGGAATAGAAGTTATCATAACAAAAAACAACCAACTTACATCTGGTGAAATAAAGACACTAGCTACAGCGTACAGGGCTTGTTCTGGCCATGGGAAAAACCAATCAATGTTTGCACAATTAACCATACCTGCAAATAACAACACAATATTCTATAATTGTTGACAGGTATTTGTTTCAACTGTAATAGAATACAAAATATGTCTAGCTTGTAAATATTTTTTTACTGTTGTTTTTTGTTAAGTCACAATGAATACATTGTAAGACATACCATTTTTACTGGTGGAGGAAGACTGCCCACATTTGTATGTGCATTATTTATGGCACAAGCGAGCACCAGAGTAATATATATTAAATATATATTTAAAGAATTACAATGGTTTCAGTGAACCCTTTATCTTATGAATTTGTGAAATGGATTTGCCAAGTTTTGAATTGTGAACAGTCCATTCAAAGTATTTAAGATTTCAGTATCAAAATTAGAAAAAACACACAAAAAACACAAAAAACTGAGTTACCAACAGTATAGAGCCTGCACATCTCAACTCTAAACTGATTGCAAAGGCCAATCATATTTTGCTAGCTGGTTAAGGGGTAAACAAAACGAAAAAACATAAAAAGATATGTTAAATTACCGGGGAAGTTTCTGCAGCGTGTCCTGAGGGCATCTCCAACAGGTGACATAGCTAATACAATATGTAAATTGTTGGAACATTTGGTGACAAAATATTGCCAGATACTCTCGCGTGCGTGTCCAGCACCAGCATTCATGGCCTCTTGTCGGATCTGTTCAACAAAGTTAAATATATAACATTACATATCAGATATCAGGTAAAACACATATCACTACATACCAAATAAATGCTGCAGCATTGCATAAACCACTTTTTATACATTTTAAAATGATAAGACTTATTACTAATAACAATCTTAAAACATTTATTAGATTATGCATGAATCTGACAGCATACTTTTAGAAGAGCAGGAATTAGTTAATGTTTTCAACAAAACAAAATGGTTTGCTCAGATTCTCTTACAGAATCACTGATATCTCGTAAGGAAAATGTTAATATGTTGTATTATTGAACTGTAAAATATTCCCATTTGCTGAAGTTAACAAGAAAGTAATGAAATATCAATCATTTCAATAAAGAAGTTACCACAATCTACAGGTGATTTCTGACGGTATTACACAACTTGTGATATCACAACATGGATGTTGTAGATAAATAGTGTATAACCCAAATCATACACATTATTTCAAGTAATGATGATGACTACAAGAAGAATATGACAGTCATCACACTGATCATATAAACACATTATTTCACACCTTATAAACAGTAAATATCGAAATTCTGGCTTTTGCACCATGTTATATCTCCCAATATTAATCACTATCGGACCCAATTAAGCCTCTTTTTCTTTTCCCAGTCCAAAAAATCCATATTAAAACACTATTGTAATTTACCTTGCCCAGTTTCATTTTCCAAGTCAAAAAAAATCATTTTAAATTCTTTTTGTACTCTTTGGTAACAAAGTTATGTCAAAAATTTGGTGGTGTAATTATACATTGTTGAGTACAATATTGCTTCTATTGGACTCATACACAGATACAAAACCTAAATCAGACTTGACTGGTGTCAAATCACTTTTGGCAGCTGTATATTTGCCCAATAAAATTCAGTATTGTACTCAACAATGTACTATAACGTAATATCATAAATTTATCAACAACAAGTTCACAGTGAGACATTTAACCTTCCCTACCTGACGATCTAACATTAGCTAATAAATGCAGAAAAACACCAGTGATTAATCATGCAGCATAATCAAAATAAATCAAGAAATCATCGCCATATTAAATGAATAAAATAGGAGAAAGATAACTGATAATGATGAAATAAAACATTTGCTAAAATGATTTTCTTACAATATTTGTAATGAGTGAGTAAAATAACAAGGTGAGGATTTTAGATGTACTGCATACAAGTCACCTCTGTATTGTTTTCAACCTTTCCAAAATGCAACAAATATTTTAAAAACAATTTTGTGATCTTAAAAGATAAATTGTTTCATGCACTACTAAGATAACTGAAATTATGTATGTATGTTCATCATAAGCTATTTTCAATCATTTCTAACATCAAAACTGTTAAACTTACATTATTTAAAGATTTTCCACTCAATAAGAAGAAGCAATGGATTCTTAATTATGTTACATGTAGCAAGAAATGTTTGTAGTATTTTTTAACATGTATGTATTATTTGCTTCTATTTTTATTTTTTTTTTTTTTTTTTTTTTTGGGGGGGGGGGGGGGTATTTTTAAAGTCTTATCAACACAGTAAATGTCATATGGCCTCTTTCCAGTTTTACTGGTGGATGAAGACCAAACATACCCATTCAAGCATTATTTTATGCAGAAGCATGCACACAAGTAGAACCATAAACTTTCTCTAAGCTAACTGGGTAACTTCCTCACATAAATGAATCTACATGTACTTCCCTAGTGGGATTCAAACCAAAAGCAGCAGTTAGGGGCAAATCATTCCATGTTAGCAACCTTAACTACTCAGTCATGGAGGATTCTTAAGTTAGCAGATCAAGTAAAAATATAATTCTGAGGTAAATCAACATAATCTAGGTACAATACTAACTATTCAACAGCCTCTAAAACTAATACTGTCTCACTATGGCACAAAGCAGACAAACTTTTATAAATGAAAGTTGAAATGGTAAGATTGTTACTAAACAAGAAGCCATTCCAAGACAATATAGGCAGAATAAGCGTATTTGTAATTTTATTAGGAGCTGTGATAAATTCTGTAAAATTTGTATAAAATGTTGTTGATTTTAATAGATGTATAAATAAACACATACATTTCCAATAATTTGTTCTTTTTCATCATCTGGGTAGAGTGCTGGTACCATACCAGATGTCAACATATTATTGATGTTCTCCAAAAACCCTGAAAGTTAAACAAATCTTCATTACTTTCATTAAATATTTTTATTCTCTTGGAGATTACAATAGTTTTATTTCACTTTTCTTTGTCTTTCAAGTTTGTATGTAACTTTTCCCACAATTGAATAATGAAATGACCTTGTCTGATTATACAGTTTAAATTGTCTCTTGTTTTTAGATAAATTTAAGCAATTTCAAAATTTTTTAATAACTGAGCATCTAAAGATTTATAATAGTGTCATTATTGTGACATAGACCCCATATTACTTGCCGTCAGACTCAAAGATCTGTACTTGATAGCAAAAGCTACTTTTTTGCACCATTACAGGTGGATGGACCCTTATTAAACATAGACAACAAACTACATAAAATTAAAAATTAATGAGTATAATACTTCAAGATAACAAACCACTTTCCAACTATTCAACATACCTTCTTCTGCAACATGCTGATCTGTAAACAGGAATACCATTTTCTTATTTTCTGTTCCGAGTTTATTATATAAAACCTTTAAGTCTTCTCTAAATGATTGTTCACTATATCCTCTACTAAGTTGTATCTCAAACACCTCACAGCCTGACGTGAATGAAGCTAATTTACATAAACTCTGTTTGCCACTACCGCCCACACCCACTAAGAGGGCGTGTCCTTGGTCCATACGGATTACACGACATATACGTGTTAAATGTTCTAGAGCATCGTCAAACAACACAAGATTCATAGCTGTATGACTCTCATTATATTCCTCGGCAATCTGAAACATAATTAAAATACTTTGTCATCTTACCTCATACAAAATAATGGACTTAATTGATCTTCGAAGAATTTGATGCAAATTGCAATGGAATTTTAAAGAATTTCAACATCAAAATCCTTACAATAAACAGCTATACATCATAATCAGATGGTAACAATTATGCAGGCTGGGCTGGCTATATAGTGGTGGTTTAATTAATTTCTGTGTTAAGACTGCCATCACTCTGGGAGTAAGGTAATACTTAGGTGAATGGAATGTCTTTTGTAAGTCTTAATGGCTCTTTCAATACAAATCATGTCTTAAATCTAAAAAGAATCTCAAAAATGACTGAATTTTTAAAACAAATAACTATTTTCCAATACAGTTATCAAAAGGAATTTTATAGTATTTAGTCTTTTCATAGAGTATTTCTGTAAACATCACCAGGAAACAAAAGATTTATATCTGATATCAGCCTTGTAAGCTGATGATGATGTTAGAGGTAATGTTCATACCTCCTGGAATAAAGCTTTGGCAGCATCGTAATCTTGGATATCCTCATACAATCTTGGTTCACTCTCTTCCAGGGCCGTACGGAAATCACCAAACAGACATGGGTCACGCATGGCATACTCTGTATGCATCTTGAAATTATCATCCAATAATTCCTTGATCTGTTCCTAAAATTATAAACAACAAACACGAATGAAACACAATTAATTCACAAAATTAATTCACAAAAACTGATCGATTGAAAATGTTGTATGTTCACATCTACAGAGCCTCCAAAAACAGTTGCTCTATAGAGGTTGTACTTGGGATATGTTTTGTGACACATGGGCACAAATCTTAAAGGAATCAGACTCACAAATGTTAATGGATCAAGTTAAGAATTCGTAAAAGCTAATTATAAGTTACAAGATTTGTATATTGTGTAGCAATAACAGTAGAGAGTTATCACATATATTTCAATATGAGTGTGCAAAATGAAATTGTGATATCATAATAAGGATTGATCAGAACAGAAGCTTACGTTTAGATAGTTTTTGTCTGTATCACTGATCAGTCTGTCACTGATTACACGAAGACATTCATTTCTCCACACACGTACAAACTGATCAATCTTAGTAAATCTGTCTGAAGTTGTTAGACACATTCCGTGATAGATGCGAGACAAATCTCTCAAGTTGAAAATGTAGTGGAACTTTGATGGTGTTGGTGGCAGATCTTTGATTATTTTGCTGAAAATGGAGTATTGTAGATTAGTTAAAAGAAATTATCTAAATATAGTATAAAATATATGAATATTAAATAAAATTCTCTGACCCCTTAACCTGATGAAACCTCAAGTGATTATTGTTAGCCACCAGTTTAGAGCCTAGTCATTTGTGAAGCCTGACTAGCATTATACTTTTGGCCGACTAACCTTAAATTTTTATATTAATACCCCAAAATTGATGATGGACAGTTAAAAAAAATGGAAGGTGAACAAGTTCATTTGTGAAATCCTGCAGGTTAAGGTAATACATCCTGGCCCATCCATTTTAAACATTATTGCATGATTTAGTATCATTCTTTGTTTTGTAATGATCAGATAGACATTGACAGTATATAAAAAATACCTGTAAAGAGCCATTGTCATCCTGGTTATAGTTGAGACAGTTCCTTGTATATCAGCAGACAGGGCCTGTGCATGTCCTGACAGAATAGAATTATAGATCTTGAATAACGACTCCTCTGACGGGAACGTCATGTTGAATACACAGAACAGAGATACAAATCTTGGATCTGTCTCATTTCTACCACCACCAGCTTTACCCATAGCAGCGAGGTAACCAATATCTCTCATGTTCTTCCAGTTCAGATCTTTACCTCTATCATAACAACCTCCTCTCTCAAGTAGCAGTTTCAACAGGGCAATAGGCTGTTGTGTACCATATGTGTCAACCTGAATTTGTCAAAACAAGGTAATGTTAATTAAAGGTACCCAATGCCAAGTGAGTAGGACAGCTCTCCAAATGCTTTGTATAATCAAGCTAAAATTTGATTGGTTGAATTAGAATAATTTTTTGGAATAGACAGCATTACCAATAGAGGTAATACAGTGTCACATTCAGTTAAGCAAAAATTTCTTCTCGACATTAATATATTTACCTGAGGCATGTTCATGTCATCTATAAAGATAAGGAGACGTTTGCCAGGTGGTGGACCGTACATGTCTTTTGTCCTCTTCTCTACGTTCGCTTCTAAGTTACGCTGTACATCAAGGGACGTAGTTCTGCTAGAAAAGTTCATGTTCAACAACAGATGAGACTCCTGATCTATTTTACGGAGGAAATCTGCAATAGTTGCAGTTTTTGATGTACCGGTCTCTCCTATCAACACAACTGGGCGTTTGATACTGACCATCAGGTTAAGGATCCATGTTGTTCTTACTGTATCTATTGTAGGTACTAGAATTTCATTGTACTTCTTTTCAGGAGCATGGACATATTTTGGTACAAGTTTGGCCCATGGAATCCATTTCTTCTGTTCCAAGTCCCAGAAATATTCATACAAAGTTTCATGTGTTGAAGGGAGCTCCCCTGTAATAAAAGTTTTATTTTTATTTTGTGACATGATTTTATATTGTAAAAACAAACACATTTATTTTACATACTTGTATATACTTTCTGTAAAATCTCCTTACAATGTTTTTTGCCAATTAAAAATTTTAGTAGAATTATCTATTTAAATTCTTTTAAAAAAAATTAAAAATGACGATCAAGCCCAAAATTAGAGATCTTCAAAGCTAAAAATCTTATACAAAATGTATTTCAGACAAGATGGTTGTTTCTCTATTGATACATGGAGCCAAATAAAAACATTTGAGAATCAGTTACAGACTTACCAAGTCCAGCTAAAGTTTTGTCATCATCCGTGACATTTGACATGGCTGCCAGAGTTTTCACCTGGGCATCAAACTTGATCCTGCCTTCCTCCACCAGGCCAGCTCCAATAGACCAGATCAAGGACTGTATAAATACTGCCTCTAGTTCATCTGCCTCAATTAGCTCCTTCACCAGGATTGAGTCTAACATATGAGACAATTGTGTCACCTGTAATAAAATATGTGATTAATGTAGGATTTTCATTTTTAATTAAAAAATGTTATACACCATGTTGAACTATGCTCAATATACTTTTAACATTGTAATACATCAATTCCTTATAATGATTAAAGTTTGTGTTTCTTTTTTTACGCTGATTTCACCACATTTTATCAGCAGTTGATCCTTCTAACAGGCTTTCCTGGATAAATAACCAAAAATTACCTATTTCTCAATAAGTGACCAACTTCTTACCCCGAATGATTTCTATATCAGTATTGAGAGAGACAAATAACTATTGGATCAAATGCCCAAATTCACTGGTAACTGAGAAATTTCCCCTCGCTTGAGGATCAAACCAATGGTGCCTTGATTAATAATATGATGCTCACCTTCTTGAGCAAGGCAGATGGACAAGAATGATTAAAAAGCAAAACAAACAACAAACAAAAAAGCCCATGCATGAAGAAATGCACGCGCTCAAGTTTAGTTTAGAGTAGTTATTCATACTAACAAGGTTGAGATTTGTAAGTGGGATGATGGTTTTCATCTTCTCTCCTTGACGACCATCAACCACGCCTTCTATCACCATGTCAATCAATGTTGGTACATATTTCTCATACAATCTCTGTAGGTTGTCCTTCTCCACCTTTGTTGTACGTGAATTTGACCATTTTGTCCAGAAAGGTTCGTACCCGAGATTCTTTGGATCAACGTAAACCATACCACATCGAGACACAGTGGCTGGCGAGGCATACTGTAGATCATACACCTGAAATACACACAAAATAATTCACTCATACAATCCTTATGCCATTTTACTTATCCATATATAAATAAAATTATGAATATTCTTCAATCAACTGACTCCTACCAGTATTTTTCAAATATAACATATATTTGTATGTGTTCTTTAATCAACATAGAATTTATCAGTTGAATGATTACCTCAAACAACATGGCACAATGTTTCTGTAGACGAATTCTTTCACCGTTGGCCAGTGTCATCAGTCTGTTGTCGTCCATGACAGAGTTCATGTTCTCTACCCACAATGCATCAACATCACCGTCATACACAATATACTTCTTCTCGTTCTTGTCAGTCGGTTTGTTAATTTCACGGAAAATGTTGGAGAGCAGACCATCAGTCCAGTCACGGGTGATTGGATCCAGTATACCATATAACTCTATCACACTTCTGTCTTTAGGATTGATGGTGAATAACTTGGTATGAGTACCCAATCTTTTAAAGAAAAATTGTATACTTTCGTAAATGATAAATAAAACAATTTGTATTACTTGATTTTACTATCAATGAATATTACCTGATTTTACTGTCAAATAAAACAATGGTATCTGAAATCTTTTATCACTTCAATAAAATTTACAACTAGTATTGTTTTAAAAATGTTCGAGGTAGTCCCAAAGGCTAATCAGAAATAAAATATTTAATAATGATAATTTTTTACAAGTATAGGTTATTTAACATAAGTATAAAGAAAGGAGTTACCTGGTTTGAGCTTGAGCTAGTGTGTTTATAACAACAGATTTTCCTCCTCCTGTAGGTCCTACTATCATAGTGGTGTGACGTGTCATCATTGTCTCATACATCTGTACTACTTTATCAACCTTAAATCATACAATACATAATGTTCATTATAACAAGCAATACACTTTTCACAATCATACAATAATCATACAATATATAACATTCATTATAATAAACAAAACACTGTTCACAATCCTACAATAATCATACAATACACACTGTCCTCAAACTATGTTTGCAATTCTGAGGGCCATAATACACAAAATCATGCACATACATAACACACAATATTCACAGTCATACAAAAAACATTGTTCACAATCATACAATACACAATATTCACAATCATGCAATAAAAATGGTCATGATCAGACAAAACACAATGTTCACAATCTAACACTACCAAAATATTCACACTCTATTCTCGCACTTCAAGTTAACTGATCTATAAAATTAGTTCCATGCCTACATCTAATAATATTCTTCAAATAAAGCATTGTTGTGTTTATTTTCAAATTTGTTTTAATTAAGTCATTAAAAATTTACAGTTTTACATCTACAAGCACTTGTGCTTACTTTTCTTATAAGATTTTCTCTAAAAAGCTACATTACTACACAAAGACTTATGTTTAAGGAGTGAAAATCTGAAAAATGGACTATACCTGTACAGGAAGGAGAACATAACCGTTTTCTTCCAAAATGCCCTCTACAGCATCGTTGAAGTTTGGATAACGTACACGTGGGCAGTCAAGACCAGGGAACAAATCACCAATAAGACCAAGGAAGAGTGGTACATCCTCAAACACAAACTTGGGCAAGTTCATATCTCTCAAAGCTCTCATCAGTACAACATCCTACAGTAATATTGTATATATTAGAGATTACCAAGAATTTTGTTTAAACATGTCATAGGCTGAGTACCATGTTTACGGTTATGAAATATGTTTGAAATATGTTACAGAGTTTATCCAGTTTGCATTAGAAAGGGAGGTAAAAATTAATATCATCCGGGTTCTTGTCTCGTTTCTACCAAGCCAAAAAAACAACTCCTTTTGTCCTTCAATTTCTAGGTGTATACAGTGTAGAAGTTGTTCTGAAACCTCTAAATTAAGTATAATAGACAACTGTTTACATGATTATTTACAATATTATAATTTGATAATGTTCTTGTGAATATTTGAGGCTCAACATAACATTCTTTGTTTATATAGATAATGCAGAACATGAAATAAGATGAAACATGAAATTTGTGTGTGATTCTTAAATACAGAACTTTTTAATCATATCGCATAAAAATTTAGGAATATATCAAAAAGACCAACAAAGATTTACTAACCTCATGAAGATCAGGGGCACCTCTCTTCAACTCTCCTGCCATCACCAGCACAGATTTCAGCGCTCTCAAACCAAAGTCATAATGGTATTGTTTGGATAATTGTTCCTTAGCAAGTTTGTACAATACTGTCATCTTCTTTGCCAAAACCTGATTTAAAAGCAAAACACTGGTTTATTTCTCTGGTTTTTACTCCAATTTTAAAAAATTTCTGGTCATGTCACAGTGGTCAGTCTATTTTACCTTGGATAACTTACCAATAATGACAGATTTCGTTACAATGGACCAATTACTTATTCTACATAAGCAGTCACGAGAAATGACCATAAGACTCAAAGTCTGAGATCAACTCTAAAAGAGAAATTTCGCATTGGCTGAGGATCAAACCTGAAACCCCTGGATTACAAATCAGATGCTGAGGTGGGCAGGCAGACCAAAATACACCATTTAAACATTTAATTTTAGCATGCACATATTTTATACTGATTACAATCATACATATATGTATATATATTAACAAAACTTGTCAAGGTCAGACAATCTGACATAGATTCTTTTACAAATTTATTGCAACCTAATCCAGACTGAACTTTGCTAGAAATATTTAGTACAAAAGTTTATCCAGAATGATTGGCCAATGCTATAAAAAGTAAAGATTGGCCATATCTAGACTGAGGTTTTTATTGATTTGAAACCAGCCAATAATGTGACTTCATATCTGATCTTGTACAGAATTTCTATTATTTTGGTTCAAAGCATATTTCATCTACCTTGAATATTTTTTTTTATCATAAACTTAAGTTCACAAAAATTTAGCGCCTATGATATTAGTATAATATATAAAACAAACCTTTGCTAGAAGGAAACCTTCAGAGAACAACATGATCTCACAGATTTGTTGCAGATCTGGTACAATTACAACTACAGGACGGAACAGTGCCTTCACAGACTCGGGCAACTCTGTACGTCCAGCGTAACCGGGGTTCATGGTAATAAATATACCAACTCTAAGATCCATGTTAATCTCAACACCCTCAAACTGTAAAAGTAAAAAAAAAAACTCATATAACATTATAACACCATAATTTGTATTTTTGAAGATGATCTTCTCTAAAAGAATATATAAAACAAGAGCTGTCGGTAGGACAGCAACGCTCGACTATTCTTAGTGCTTGATAGTAAAAAAAATGCCTGATACAGTTACCTCCTCCTGTTTACAGGTTGGGGTCATGATGGTGAACAAGTGTGCAAAGTTTCAAAGCCATATGTCAATGGACTTTGAAAATATTTGAACTATTACAAAAACTTTAACGTAAATTCTAAGTCGAAAAAGGGGCATAATTCTGTCAAAATGCTTAATAGAGTTACCTCCTGCTGTCTACAGGTTGGGTCATGATGATGTTGAACAAGTGTGCAAAGTTTCAAAGCCATATGTCTATGGACTTTGAAAATATTTGAACTATTACAAAAACTTTAACGTAAATTCTAAGTCGAAAAAGGGGCATAATTCTGTCAAAATGCTTGATAGAGTTACCTCCTCCTGTCTACAGGTTGGGGTCATGATGGTGAACAAGTGTGCAAAGTTTCAAAGCCATATGTCAATGGACTTTGAAAATATTTGAACTATTACAAAAACTTTAACATAAGTGGTTACGCCGACGCCGACGCTCGGGTGACTGCAATAGCTCTACTTATTCTTATCGAATAGTCGAGCTAATAAGGTTTTTTGTACTTTTCAGAACTGTATTTATACTATATATGAAAAGTTTTTACAGATTCAGGCATGTAACATGTCATATCATTTTGTGAAAAAGCATTCTTTATGATAACAACATACAAATATCAAATCGTAAAGTCCTGTTATTACAATATTCCACTAATTGTAACCATAATAATTTTACAAGCAACTTACATGAAACCTCTTTAGTTTCAGGATGAGAGCATTTTGAATTGTCTTCAGCTGTGTAGAGATGACAGACAACACGGAGACGTCAATACGATTAAACTCGTCAAAACAACCCCACGCTCCACACTGACACAGACCAGAGTAAATCTTACCAACTGCCTATAAGTACAATCAAAACATATGATATAATAAATACATCTTTTCAAAATATAAAATACTTTTTGCTCTCTATATAGGAATCATTTAGAAACCTTTTTGTACAAAATTCATTGTTCCATCTGACAGTTTTCATGGGTGAATGATCTTTAAAGGACATACAAAAACGTGGAAATAAAGAAACCTTTTTGTCTTTCACTCGTGACTTTCATGGGTAAACGCGGGTAAAAAAAATGATGTTGGTAAATTAAATTTGATAATTTAAAGAAAACTATGGTGCAATTATAAAAAAGCTAAAAAATAAGTTGTATAATACATGTATCTACATACCTTGTAATCCATACCTTCACCACAGTTGGTGACAACGCAGAGCAGACCAAGAGCTTTAGCTAAATCTTTCACGGTCTCGGTTTTACCTGTACCAGCTGGACCGGCTGGGGCTCCACCAAGCTGCATGGACAATGCCTAAATACAGAATGGTACATTAATTAGTTTAAAACATTATTATTTAAGTTAAATAACAAATCAATTTTCATAAAGTCATAATAAATCTAATCTCTGCATTGTGTTATGATATCTTTTGAGTGTAATATAACCTAAAATATTTGTGAATGAAGGAAAAATAAACAAGAGTAAATTTTATTGATAATCTTATAATTCTGCAAAATAAGAAATTTTTGCCAGGGATTAAATTTACTAATTTCCAATAAAATAATACATGTATTGACGAAATAACGAACACTGCGGACCATGAGTAAAACGCATATAAGCTAGCTGATCTTGTTCTAAACTGGGTGCATGGGAAGATGAAGTCGCTGCCAGCATGCAAAGAGTTTTGATATACATAGTCCTGAAAGCTATTTCATAATTATGAATAGATAGATCTAATTTTAAAACACGACACTTCCAATGCATATATTGTTTGTGGCAGATGATACATACCTGTGTTATTGTAAGATAGATCCTGTCCGTAAGTGGTGTGATAACAAGACGTCCATTAAGACCCATATACTCGTAACCGTAGCCAAACTCTCCTGTACATTGTCTTACTAACAGCTCATCTGGTTCCTTCACCCAGTAAAATCTCAGCTGAGATTCCCACTCAAACTCGTTAGCCCCCATGATACTGTAATATTACAACCAAATCAGTTATTTCATTCAATATTTAACTAAATACCTGTTATCTATTAAACTTTTAACTTCCAGTCAACTGAATTAGATATATCTTCAAATATTTATTAACTTTTAAATATTTATTTATTGTTCATATTTTTAATTTGAATTTCTTTAAAATGTTTAAAAATTTGTAAAGCTAAATAGTTAAACATCTAAATTTTAACTATTTTCATTTCCAAAATGTCTTACTGTTTATAACCATTTATCTGAGAGAAATAACAGTTTTGAGACAATAACAATTCTGCACTTTGCTACAGCAGCAGTTACAAATGGAGTAATAATAAAACAAGGGAGCTAACCTGTCTCTGACAAAGCTGTCAATGATATCTCGAGCATGTACGTCTATAATCAATACAGTGTTAAACTTGGATCTGTCATTCTTTGACAGTTGTGAACGGATCTACAAAGGAGGGGAAAAAAAATTTGAGATGGGAGATATATAGTGAATGTAGTAAATTAAGAATTTACAGTCATAAAAAGTACAATATATGTATTTATCTATTGACTTACAGTCATTACCAGTATAGTTTAAGCAGTTATCTATTGACTTACAGTAATTACAAGTACATTATATCTATTTATCTATTATTGACTTACAGTCATTACAAGTGCAGTATAAACAGTTATCTATTACAGTCATTACAAGTACAGTATAAGCAGTTAAATATTAACTTACAGTTATTACAAGTTCGTCAATCTGACCATGAAGTTTTTTAGCATAATCTTTCAGTGCTGTTTTCTGTCCTTTCTTCACCTTGTTAAATACATCTTCTACCTCCCAGGTCCACCATACCTGGTTCCCAGCAAGACACACCATGCCCTGGTACCCCATCATCCATTCTACCCTAAAATTTTATTACCATATTTTGTTATTCAACCAAAAATAATATCAATATTAATAAGCAAGAAGCTTTAATTTTTCTACCTTAGTTTATATAGTCTACACCAACATCAGTTCAAAAGATTGAACAATAACACAAAATTAATTCACTGTAACATACATATGAGCCGTGCCATGACAAAACCAACATACTGCGTTTGTGACCAGCATGGATCCAGACCAGCCTGCGCATCCGCACAGTCTGATCAGGATCCATGCTGTTCGCTTTCAGTTTTTCTACTTGTAATAGGGTTTGTAAGCGAACAGCATGGATCCTGATCAGTCTGCGTGGATGAGCAGGCTGGTCTGGATCCATGCTGGTCGCAAACGCACTATGTTGGTTTTGTCATGGCACGGCTCATATAATATGACAATCCTAAAATTTTCCTAAAAATCTACCAAACACTTTCCAGTTTATTGCTTGTGCCAATGACCATCTGAATGCTTTATTTAAAAAGTAGCAATAAACAATTCTACAATATTATTTTTCTGGGGGGAAAAGTTTACCTTAAATCAGCACACAAGTATATGTTGTTTTTTTTATAAAATACATTCAACATGATAAAAGGAACTCATTACTTTAAAGAATATTCAGAATTTAACATTGTTCCGGAATAATTATGGTCATTCCCTCATATTTTTTCTGTCTGTTTTGTAAAGACAATGTTATATGATCAGATAGTGAAAAAGTTTGACAAGTGAGTGAAACATTCAATGCACATGTTGTAAATTTACAGTGTACCAAGGTTTCCCTGTTGACATACATTGTGGCAACAATAAAGTGACATAAAACTAACGCAGACAATATGATACCTTAAATAAAGTTTCTCCTCATTGTCCCAATCATCGCTCTCAATATTAAAACTATAACACCAATTCGTATATGTTCATATAATAAATTAGATTCTTTCAATAAATTGACAAATAGATTGTTCATTCTACACCAAATGCAACTATATTCTTCAAATCCAATGAAGGACGATAAAAGTAACAACCCAAAACATTTAATTTTAAACTAGAAATGTGTTTATTGAACAAGGATGCTCCAAAATTCCACTGCTTTGTCAGTCTAGCAACAAACAACATGACAGCAAGAAAGCAACATCGACAGGTTGCAGCAAATCTCTATGTCCCCCCTTTAAATTGGGGCATAAAAACAGACTAGTTTCTGATTAAGATTTATTTTTCTACAACAAACTAACATAATTCATGTTTATATACCTTTTCTTGCTTTCACAATAGAAGAAGATAGCCTCCTTGGTGATCAACCTGTTAGTAGCCCTCATCTCCTCCAGCATACTTGTCATCCAGTCTTCAACACGACCCTCAGCTGACACCTGGGTACGGAAGTCCATCACTTCACCCTCAGCTGATATCATGGCTGTAGCCAGAGCCTCATTGTTGTTTCCCTTACTGAACCTCAGTGATGAGATGTTGTCAAACATCTAAACATACAAGTTACACATATATTTCATCATATACATTATTCTCAAAAAGAAACCCATAAAACTTTGATGTTCTACATCTCATTTGAAAGCTGCATATTGGCACTTTTAATGACATACAGCAACTTTCTACTTGTGTAGTAAGACCTTAAGTGCCTCTTAGTGACTTATTTCAGGCAACAGTGGGCACCAGAGAAGATCTATCTATTGAAGCTAACTAGATAGCTTATTCACAATGACACATAAAAAATTAAATTTTCAAAAACTTACAACTTCTTCAATCATACAACTCTCAGGTTTTCCTTTTATAATCAAATTTTCTCTAAAATATCCAATATATAATTAGGCACTTTACAGAATTACTGATATAAATTCAGATAGAAACCTTTATCATGTGTTCCTGGACACACTCAGGGTCACTGCTACCCAATATACTCAACAATTCATCATCAGAAATGAAGAAGAATCTTGGGAAGGCATTTCTCTTGGAGTCAAGGTAGTCATTCAGAGATTTCTGACATTTCTCAAGACCCATACTGAGTGCCTCGAGATCTTGTAGACGATTCTGGGCGTGACATGCCAGCTTGATTGTCGGTACTTTATGAGTGTCAGTCATAATCTAAAATAATTAAACACAACCAATAGTAAAAATCAATGTATATAAAACAAGAACAGACTATTTTCAGTGTTTAAATAGTAGAACAAAATACTAGATAAAGCACATATAGTTTATAATGCTAAAGTTATAGACTTTAGTCAGTGACTGACAATAATGACAAAAAAGGCACATGTGAAACATCATGAGAATACAGTGGCTGTGAAAATAACATTTCAATTTGAAATACTTAACCACATTTTTTTTCCTTTTTGATTTGTTAAATTTCTTAGTTCCTAAAAGAAATATAGGGTCTTAAATAGTAACCTATAGATCTCATGATCCAAAAGATGTAACAAGTTTAAACATTTTTTAAATTTAAAATGTCTCTTTCACTAATCTTTTCATAATTATTGAATATAAAATACATATATTAATATATAAGACTATAAATAGATATAAATACAACTAGGAAATTCATTAAAGATCCTTTTTTTTACATATATTTCATTACTGAAATGATATTGGTGTGGAGAAAAGAGCACATAATAAGCTACCTTTTTGAATGTTTTGTCAATCTGGTCAAACTTTTTGGCCTCCTCTGGTAGCTGTGATCTGATATCTCCTCCAATAAAGATACCCTCTAGATACATCCACTTTCTCTGAACAACCATCCATACCTAATATACAAACACATGGCTACATTTATCATACATGAAACAAATCATAGTGTAATTAATAAAATTAGAATCAAGAATCTCCATTGATCCCAAGCATTTCTTGTAGAATAGGATGGTCCATTCTGCACAAATCCTTTGAAGCATTGCCTTATTAAGTAAGCATATTGCTTTACAAAGGAAGCTTTATTTCAAATTACCTGTTCATGTCATTTTAAAATTAACATCATTCCTAAAGATCACTGCTTTTGCCTTGACCTTTAATAATATATCATTGTATGACACAAATAATTATTGAATCTTTACAACTTGAATATTCTAGCATATGATACAGTGAATTTGACTCATATCTAAATACATATATGTTTTTAAATACACTACAACTTCTGCATAGCAAGACAAAAACTTTAGTTGTTGCTGGGAGGTGTTGCTTTAGTGAGATTATCTTATTGTCAATTATTTTTGAGAAAAATTGAAAGTACTGTTGTAAAGAGGTAGTCACTATACAGAGGGCTTCTTAAAGCAGAAGTTGCACTTCAATGTAAAATAAGAATTATTCTTATTAAGAAGTAAGAAGAATTTTATGCAAAGAACAGATGTACTTACATCAAGAACTTCTGAGATATGTGACAGACTCTTCTCCCAGTTCTGTACACTGTTCAAGAATGGACCAATAAATCTTGATGCAGACATACTCTGTAAGTTCATGGAACTGTCGTCCAAACTCTGTACAATCTCATCAATGGCTCCGAGAATAAAGCCACGATGTGATGTTCCTTTCATGTATGGTACAACAGTAAACTTCATACTGTTCCATGTTTCCTCTATTTCTTTCACTCCCTGAGGAATAAATATTCTAAATGTATGTTTTTTTTTTATATATTCATTTATATATATATATATATATATATATATATATATATATAAGTAATATTTGCTCCCTTTCTTTCATAATTTAATCAACTGCATGAATTCAATACTTAAGATAGTAACAAAGTGGTGGCATGGCTGTATTGGCCGAGTGGTTAACACATTGGAACTAGTAATCTTAGTATTGCTATTTGCGTGGGATCAAACCCTGTCATAGACAAGCTGTTGTTCCTTGAGCTAGAAACTTTACACTCATTGCATAGAACTGGTTTGTTCCAGGAATGGGTTCAAAAGTGTGTCTATAAGCTACAAGCTTCCTACACAATTGAAATGAAATAAATTCTGTATAAACCAAGAAAGTAACATTTGCTTGTTATCTCCAATATAAAGTGTTTTCTTACAAAAAAAAACAAAAAACATGGAATAATCACATAAACTTATCTTTGACCAATCATAAATAAAAATATAAAGTAATGACATATATATGTTTTACATAGCTGATTCTTAATTACTGAATACAACACTGGATAGCACTTCTATCATGTAATACTTCACTCTACCTTTTCTATTCCCATTTCCTTGCTAGCCATGGTGACAATTTCTCCAATGGTTTCATGGTATCTCTGTAACTCCATAGCAAAGATGTTTGCCAGGGTAAATGTCTCTGGGTTAATATCAAACTTCTGTCCGGTCTTTGTCATCAACTCTTTCCAATGACTGTAAACAATAACACACATTATTTCTTTTATTTTTATTTGGTTTTACGGAAAACCAACAAAATTTAGGTCATATTGCATTAAACTGGAAAAATGATTTTGGCTTTCCTTGGGTGTTTCAAACTCTTTCCTTGGGTGTTACAAACTTAAAGCAACACCAGAGGTCAAAACCACCTTACCTGCTGGAGCTAAGAAATTCATAGACTCAAGTAATTCAAACCCATTTAGTCGCCTCTTACAATCACGCAAGGATAATCGGTGGCTGCAATTCTGATGCCTCAAGACTTAAAAGCAATCCCTTAGCCACAGGCCTTGGTAATATGTTGCTAAAAACTAGAACTGCCACTATCATGGCGTGAATACCTCCGCATACCACTTTGTCAGAATCAACAGTGGCCATTAAGAGCTCAAGGACAACCTCCCTGCCAAATCTGAGGTTACTAAGCCAGTACATTGCTAAGTTATGTATTCTACATGCTTCAAATGTGAAAATGTCAAAATCAATACATTGCGGACAGGACATTCTTTAGCAATTGAGAAGAAAAGCTTCTTTTTTTTGTCAAGGTCCCTGTGACCTTGACCTTTGACCCAGTGACCTTAAAATCAATAGGGGTCACCTATAGTCATGATCAACATCCATGCAAAATATGAAAACTATGGGTCAAAGGAATCATAAGTTAATGGGTGGACAAACTTTTTAAAGTCAAAGTCCCTATGACCTTGACCTTTGATCCAGTGACCTCAAACTCAAAAGGGGTCATCTACTAATCATGACTAACCTCCATGCCAAATATGAAGACTGTGGGTCAAAGGAATCTTAAGTTATAGGGCGGACAAGCTTTTTAAAGTCAAGGTCCCTGTGACCTTGACCTTTGACCAGGTGACCTCAAAGTCATTAGGGGTCATCTATTAATCATGACTAACCTTCATGCCAAATATGAAGACTGTGGGTCAAAGGAATCTTAAGTTATTGGGCGGACAAGCTTTTTGAAGTCAAGGCCCCTGTGACCTTGACCTTTGACCTGGTGACCTCATAGTCAATAGGGGTCATCTATTTATCATGACTAGCCTCCATGCCAAATATGAAGACTGTGGGTCAAAGGAATCTTAACTTATTGGGCGGACAAGCTTTTTGAAGTCAAGGCCCCTGTGACCTTGACCTTTGACCTGGTGACCTCAGTCAATAGGGGTCATCTACTAATCAGGACTAACCTCCATGCCAAATATGAAGACTATGGGTCAAAGGAATCTTAAGTTATTGGGCGGACAAGCTTTTTGAAGTCAAGGCCCCTGTGACCTTGACCTTTGACCTAGTGACCTCAAAATCAATAGGGGTCATCTACTAATCATGACTAACCTCCATGCCAAATATGAAGACTAAGGGTCAAAGGAATCTTAAGTTATTGGGCGGACAAGAAAAAACCGACGGACAGCCGGACAAGCTGATTCCAGTATACCCCCCTTACAACTTTGTTGTGCGGGGGTATAATAATAAAAAATAATAAAAAAAACTTAATAAATACTAAAACCATAAATTGATATTATCCAAAGATAATTACAGATTCTATGAACTTACCGATCTCTGAGAGCCTCATGTTTCAGGTCAACAAACAAGGGCAGTGAATCTCTGAACTCCTTCATCTTCTCCTCTAATGATCGAGCTACGGGCATCTGTCTCACATCACGTGGCATCTTACGTAAGTTCTTCAAGAAAGATTCAATACCATCCTGTAGAATCTGGATGTTCAAATTGGCCCACAATGTCTCTGACCATTGCTCCCTGGCAGCCTGTATACAAAATAACAAGTGCAAAATATTACCATAACATCATTAACAATTATGCAAGATTTAGAATAAACCTATTCATTTAACATTTTATCAATTTCGAACATTTTTGTATCTTCAACATTATATTAGCAAAATTCCAAAGGTCCTGTTTAAGGAGGCACAAACGAAATCAGTTTCTGAGCCTTTAAATGCTCGGTGAAACTAAACAGCTTGAAACAAATTCAGTTTCTTTGCCTTCACATGTGAAAATGTGAAAGCTTCAACTGTCGTAGTTTAAATAGCTTGCATTTATCATATGATCTAACAATTCAAGCTATATTGACTGTGACTTTGATTCTCACCTGTTGTTCCTCGTACAGGGCATAGATCATCTCAAGACCTTTCATCTGTTTCTGTACTTGTTGAAGATCCGGGTACATTGTTATTGGTAGATCAAACAGCTTCTCAGCATTGGCTAACTCTTGACGTTCTGCCTCGTACTTGTTCACCTCCACACGATATGCTTTCATCAGCTCAACACCTGATTTATACAAATTTATATGGTTAAATTTTGATGTAAAAGAATGAGGTTTCCACATTATTAAGTTCAATTCTGATAACACAATTATGTTCCTTAAACATTAAGTTGATCCCTCATCATGAATCATGACATTAGAATTCATGTTTACTCAGGACAATATACAAATAGTCTAAGCATGTAAATAACAAATAATAAGAGAGATTAGTTCACATAGGATAATCTGCCTTCACACAACAAACAAAAACTTACAAAAATGCCTATCATGTTTAGCTTCCAATAAAACATTTTATATAAAGAAGCCTTATTTTACCCTTGTCAAGATTAGGTCCAACAGCACCAGGTCCTTCCAAGTAGAATCTGTCAGCAAACTCCTTCAGTTCCCCACTGAAACCCTTTATCTGCTCTTGTGTTATCTACAATATAAATCATATGTCACAAAACTGATAAATTATACCATTACATTCCAACCAATCAAATTTGCCTCTGCACAACACCTCCATTTGTGTAACAATTTACATTTCTTACTTTTTTCTAAGCAGTTATATTAAGAGTAAACGTTCTGTGAGCAATTATCAAAACAACATAGCATTTAATTACACTGATAAGAAAAATGGTTTTGAATTTCAAACACATCACGCTGATGCTTTTAATGACAATTACTTCAAGCTTTAACACTGGCCCAAAAGTTGTGTGTAAAGATATTCTCCATAGTTTTGATATATTATTAATTTTTGTGAGCTGACAATACAACATTCAGCCAAATGTGAAACAATGATTACCTTATACAAAAACAACAGTGCTTTAAATTCATGACACCATGTATACATTTTTATCATTTACCATGCAAAAATTATAAACAATAACCTATTCATATCTGAAATGAAAAGTTCAACAACTGAAACGTGTTCACTGTAAAGTGAGTATAAAACTATTTGTTTTGTGATGGACAACATATTACATCATCTTACCCCTCCTTTTCCAGTTGTAAACAACCCTTTCTAAACAGTCAGCATAATCAATGAGTAATAATTATAAAATCAGAAAAGCCTAAAATACCACCAGAAATCAACTATCTGCCAGAAAAAAGTCTAAAATCGTCACCTTAGTGCAGTAACGAGTTAACTCCATTTAAAAGTTGATAGAAGTTAACCCATTACAGCACTAAGATGATATAACTTTTTCGAGGCTTGACCTGCAAAAGGCTAATTATTTACAAAGTGACTGAGATTCAGGACTGTCCAAATCACTCCTTGCACCTTACACTCATTCAAGGTAATTTTACATTTATTATAGAGTAAAAACAAATCTCTTTAATCATAATCTAAGAATAAAAGAATATTCCATGTTAACAACATTTTCTTCATATTTCATACTTGTTAAGGTATCTAAAGTATTTGAAAAATTGTAAATACCTCTTTGAATTTTTTCTTGACGGCAAAGAGACTAGCATCAACATTTTTAGATTTCCAGACAAGATCTTCCCACATCTGTGGCATCTTCCATTGTAATTCTTTCTCTTGATCCGTAACCTGTATGTATCATATAGAAATACTGAGTGTCACATGTTTATTTACTGTTGCCATAGTAAACACATATTACGCTCCAGAATTATCATTAATTCTATTTTCTGAAATATAGTGCACAGAAATTCACTGTTTCAGAAAAGACCCCTTAAATTATGCATAGAATAATGTAGAGCATCATTGAGAATAAGGGGATTTGTAATTAGACAAACAACTGGCTGGTCTGCCAATTGAATGGACAATGTATTTGAGAAAAACTAAATAATCATAGTTATCATACCTCGATGTCATACATGGAGAGTGTCCTGTATCTCTCTTGTATATCTCGAATCTTGTCCTCTACCTCTAGTGACATGGCTTTAATGTCGGAGATTGTAGTCAACACAAACTTCAGGTCCTCAAGTGTGCTTGGAGTCTGCTCTAAATCATCTGACTTGGTCTATACAAATACATATAAAATCTTATCATACAAAATTTCAAAGCATGTTTTTCATTCCGCATTTTATATAATAAACAACAACAATATAACAAACATACAATAATGGCAAAATTATGACTTTATTTGATCGAAAAAGTACATATTATTATCAAAATGTTTCATTATACAATTCTATTTTTTGGAACGGCTGGAAGGGCTTAATCTAATGTTGCTAGAACTTGTTGCCGAACCCATTTGCTTTTTCATTATTTGTATATTAATTGACAAGTATTTCATGCAATAAAATACGTTTAAATTTTTTGATTTACAAATTAGTTAGACAACTGAATGCACTTACATCTAGGTTGTCACTGAGCTGGAATAGATTATCCTTGGCCGAATCTCTCAACAATTTACCAAGACATCCAATCCATTGTTTGGCATGCTCTGTAATTACAGTATAACATTTAGCCCTTATGTTCATCCATCATTAGTAACTGCTTTTTAATTGATTTGAAATTAATCACCAAGTTAAAAGACAGATTTCTAACAACTTAACACTATGCTAAACTGATAAAACTCAGAATATGGATGTAAGGGTGACCAAAACAATGTGTGGTCCTTATGATTTGAGAAAAGAAACATTCAAATGAAACTAAGAAGAATTCATTGTATATTTCTCTGGGCAATATCAAACTCTATAACATGTTAAATGTTAGCAAAATCTGTAAATACCTCATCTACCTAAAGATGTTTACAGTGAGACTATTTTATCTATAACCTGCTGGAACTGGAACAAAAAGCCACCAGTATAGAGCCAGGCTAGTCTGCACATCCAGACAGTCTGACCAGGCTCCATACTGTTCTTAGCTCAAATCGACATTTCATTTTTGTTATTATATCTGTTAATAATTAAATGGACTGTTGCAAATTCAAGGCAGAGCAAATACATTACACAAATTCAAGGCAGGACAAGTCCATTACACAAATTCAAGGCAGGGCAAGTCCATTACACAAATTTCAAAGCAGGGCAAATCCATTACACATATTCAAGGCAGGACAAATCCAATAAACAAATTCAATGCAGGGCAAATCCATTACACATATTTAAGGCAGGGCAAGTCCATTACATAAATTCAAGGCAGGGTAAATCCATTACACAAATTTAAGGCAGGACTAACCCATTACATAATTTAAGGCAGGGCAATCCATAACACAAATTCAAGGCAGGACAAATCCATTATACAATTCAAGGCAGGGCAAATCAATTACACAAATTCAGCAGGTCAAGTGTTAAGGTCAATATTTATTGATGTTACCTTTGACAGATGAAGCTAGTGGACCCATGTATAGTCTGATACATTCCTGATCCTTTACTACGGGTATAGTCTCTACTTCATCTATTGTCTTGAAGTAATACTGCAGTTTGTTGTCAAACGATACAACAGTTGGGTCCTTCTGAAACCAGCGGTCTGCAAGGGCTTGCTGTAAAAGAAATTGAAAATTATTTAACTGGGTTAAATGTCAAAAAAGAACTGTATAATCAAACTCATATGTCATCTTTTAAATCTCAATAAATTCAAATCTCAGTAAATTAAAACCTCAATAATCACTATGATCAGAGGGATTGGTCTAAAATGGTTTACTTTAAAATGCTTTAAACTAGTGTTGTCAAAGTTTCACATTGTCAAAAAACTGTTACAGTATTTTCATTTACATTTTCTTGAATCTGCATAATTATCATATTCAAAATTAAGTTTTGCTGAATGATACATAATATCTGGCTAAAATATTTATTCACGTAATTAGGAAATTGCAAAGAAATTATTTAGTGACTATTAATAGGGAAAATTAATCTAAACCAAATAAAATCAGTCCGGCAGAAAATAACATCACATAAAGAAAAAGTTAAGAGTTTCTTGAAGACCTGGCATCTGACTATAAAGACTGCAATTTTCTTTTTTAACAACACTGGTCCTCAAAGACCGGTTTAACTGTACATTAAGCATATAGATAGTATTACCTTGTCCACCTTCCAGATGCTCCTGTATTTCTTCCACCTGTTAAGGTATCTCTGCATGTTAGTGAGTGTATTCTTGATGTTATAGTGTATAGTCTGCACCGTGTCGATTGTCTCGTTGTTCACGGATATATCGGTGAAGAATGTAAACTGATACAGCTCATCCTCGCCCTCCACTTTCTGCGGCTGACATTCTATACATGTACCATTCATCCAGCGCACAAACAGCTTTGTGCTGTAACATACATATCATCGTAATTTATAACACTAATATTTGTTGTTGTTTTTTTCAAATTAAAGGGCGTAAGAGCAAAGTCTGAGGTTTGTTTTTTCAATCATCAGCTTTGAATGATTAGGCCACTTTTTTATTCAATTTTGTACACATTTCACACATACAGTACTTACAACCTTTGCAGAGCAACCCACTGTGGGGCAATATTCTCTAAACAACAGCTGTAACAATTCGTCCAAAAGTAACATTTTCACATTTGATAAACCTTTCTAGAACAACACCTTTTAACAACAACTCAAGTCTCTATCCCAAAGGATATTGCTGACCAGAGGTGGAAAAGTATCAAATGTAACAATGAACAAAATTCTTTCAAAAATTGTAACATTAATTCATGTTATTGATAAATTTCTTCTTTTGTTTTTACTGAATTTATACTGAATTATCATCTACATAAGAAGGAAAGAGTTTTACCATTCAACACAGTCTCTGACACATTGAAGTGTGAGCTTATACACCTCGTTGGCCTGGGGATGTAGGACAACATCGGGTGCTGCTAGAAGGGTCTCCACTTGAAACAGTGGCTTCTCAGATCTCAAAGCAATCTCAAATCTCTTCAGATTATTTAGAACCAACTGAAAAAATGAATTTCAAATATGAGGTAATCATCTTTAAAATGGATCAATGAATATAAGATATCAAGAGGACCCAGAAGACCACAAATCCCTCACTTGAAAAATCAGCCATGTAAAAACTAAGGTTCATGTCATCTACAGCTTAAGTTGAATTGTATAAAAATTACTTCTACTATAAGCTCTTTTGGTCATTTTATGATGCTTACCTGAATAATTTCAGCAACTTATGTTCAGGATCATCCAAAGATCATTCCTGTATCATTTCATCAAATTTAGCCATGTAGTTTAGAAAATGCTTCTTAAAAACGGATGTGATATGACAATTAAAATATTAATTACTGAAGTGTTTTAAGAAATATTTAAAAGTTGCATACCTTCAACAGTGCCTCATAGACTTTCTTCTCCCAGTGAGCATAATACTGATGTAACTTGGGAGATTTCCCAGAGTTTGTATGTACAACGAGACCCTCCATCTTTGTAAGGAGTGGACCTATAGCTCTATATTTCCTTGCAAGAATCTCGCTGTCCTTGGACCGTTCTCGTTCTATATGCTCGAAATATTCCTTGCAACCAGGCAGTGTGTCTGGGTATTTCTGTGGAGGTGACTTGAAGAGGTTGGCATTCTCAATCATCACAAGACGTTGATTAATGTCCTTGGCATTCTTCTGTATCTGATTCACGAGTGACTCAAACTTGGCTATAGCCTGAAATATAAACATAGGCATTATTTAGAAGTTAATCTAATAAATTGGAAGAGCAGGGCTCAAAGGTGATAATCGTTCCTCTAAATGAACAATATCATTAAAACATAACATTAAAGACATTTAAAGCTCCGGCTACAGACACCCTATATATTAAATATATTAACAAAATGGGTGTTTTCAATGATAATTCTGCTTGGCACAACTATCAATTACAGTAAACTCCTTGCCTTTCATTACAGGTCCACTAATTTAAACAACTCAAAGGACAGAATAATTAGGAAGATCCTTACTTGTTCACATTTATGGCAGTAATCTTTGATACCCAGGGAGTTCCAGTTCAGACGTTTAGCACCGGGACGAATTACACGTCGCAATTCACGTACATGGTCCTCTAACAATACACTCTGAAAACAAAAAGATTTTGCACTTCCTCAAAATTCAGTTTAAATCTAAAAACTTTATTTTACACATAATTAAATCAATTAAAGAAACTTAATTGGAACTTAACGGGGGATAAAACAAAGACGTTAACTAAAACAACATTAACAAATCAATCAATTCATGTGAACATGAATCTAACATAAGAACATATAACATGTAACAATAACTTTTCATGGTAATAAGGTGACAGCATTGAAATCCTAATCCTTCATAGAAGTGAGGGCTATCATTGTTACAACCACATAGGTCAAGGGTGTTAACTCATGTAAATCAAGGGAGTTTACTCATAAGTCAAGGGTGTTAAATCATGTCAGTCTTATTTTTTTTTTTTTTTTTTTTTATTTATTTATAAACAAAACTCATGGCCCTTAAGGGCATAAGAGTGAACAATCAACAAAACAAAAAATAATAATACAAACATGGCATGAAGTAAATAAGTAAATAAGGAAGATGACTTATTGAAATTTCAGCATTATAGCTTTGACAACAAGAGCTGTCCGTAAGACAGCGCGCTCGACTTTTTTATTGCTTGCCAATAAAAAAAGTTTTTGCAGTAAAAGGCAATACAAGAATCTCTGTATTTTTAAAGTGAACAATGGCCATGAGCATTAAGATATTTAGTGAAGAATTATTTTACTGAATTGTGTGATACCCTTGAACACTGCAGCAAAGTTTGAAATGTTTAAGTCAAAAGAGGGCTGGTAAGAAAGAAAAAAAAAACTGAGTTGAGCCTTAAATAAATTTAATAGTATTAAACCCACTTTGAGAGAATAAGGTATTTTTACGTCACTCAGAACACCTTGGTAAATGATTGTAAACAAGTATTCCAACTTTCAAATTAATATCTCAAACAGTTCAGTCAAAAAGTGGACTGGTACTAAAAACTTAACCAAGATTCTAAGTCGATAAAAGGCCTTAATTTTTAAAACAAATCCTTGACAGAGTTACCTTCTCTTGCGTACAGATGGGGGTAATGATGTGAAATAGCATTAAAAGTTTCAAAGCAATATCTCAAAGGGTTAAGGCAATAAGTGGATTTTACCCATATTCAATGTATTTTCTAAGTCAAAAAGGGGCATAATTCTGTCAAAAACCTTGACAGAGTTATGTCCTCTTGTCTGTTGATGAAGGTCGTGATGGTAAACAAGTATGGTCAGTTTCAAAGCAATACCTCCAATGGTTTTGAAATAAAGTGAGGTGGTACAAAAAACTTAACCAAGCTCAATACACTTTCTAAGTCAAAAAAGGGCCATAATTCTGTCAAAAACCTTGACAGAGTTATGTACTCTTGTCTGTAGATGGAGGTTATGATGGTGAACAAGTATGGTAAGTTTCAAAGCCATACTTGTAATACTTCTGAAATAAAGTGGGGTGGTACGAAAAACTTAACCAAGGTGTGACGCCAACGCCGACGCCAACGCCGACGCCAACGCCGACGCCGGGGCGAGTAGGATAGCTCCCCTTTTCATAGAAAAGTCGAGCTAAAAATGGCTAGATTAAATAAAGTATTTCTGTTGTCGCTACACATAAGAGCCTGAAAATTTAAAATACTAGGAAACCTTGAATAATAGTTACTGATATACCTGTGTCTTTCATGATTAAAATAAGTACATTTAAAAATATAATGAAATTCATCACCTATTTCTTGCTGATTACAAAGTGAGCATGTTCTATTTTCTCTTTCAATTCCAAAATAGCGACCTTTCTCTATAGGAATATTAGAATTGAGACATCTAAATTTACAGAGAGCAATTGCTAAATTTCTTGGTAAACATAGTAAATAATGTTCTAATTTAAATTGAGTTTTATATATTCTATAGTTTAAACACTTAGCAGAATCAAAAACATCACTATTCCATACTTGTAAAAACTGATCACGTAATCGTGATTTTATTACATATTTAAAATTATTAAAATTGGCAACATTCCGAGTTATCCAAAAATCAGAACAACCAATATTATTCAAAGTAGATTTTACTTTCTCAATCCACTGACAATGTAAAATACCCTTTTCATGAAGATTATACATAGTGCGGTACAAAGAAGCACATATTTTATCATTTTTACCATTAACTAATTTACTCCAAAAATTTAACATTCTGCAAGTAATATCATAAAACTCATTTAAATCAAGGGAGTCAAAGAGTACTCCTGTAAGTAAAAGGAGTTAACTTACATAGTCAATGGGAGTTAACTTATGTAAGTCACAGGAAGTAACTCTAGACAACGACAGTGATGAGAATGTTTTAATTTAAGATCAATTTCAGGTTGGGATACCGATACAACTACATTACTTTTCAAATATTTATACTATAAACATGGTTTGACTTTTTCAGTCTATAAAATCAAGGTTAATATGCTTGTAAAATATTTCCATATATATATCTGATTTTTGGGGATCTTTTTTAAATGATTATTTTGGTATTAATAACAGAATTAAACGGACAAATTTATTAGAGTAATTAATGTACATATAATGTACTCAAATATTTTCACCAAATAAAGGTGGCCAAATTTTTTTCATAAATATCAAAAACAAGTATTAACATTAACAAATACAATTCAATGAAGAATTATTTTGTTTAAAAAAAAAAACAACAAAAAACATGCAGCACATGTAACATATATATAAGTGTAAGAAACAACATTTTACTGAGAGTTATAAACCTTAATCAGTATATTGTATAGAGGTTCAAAAGATAGTGCACACATAACAACTAGATCAATAAAATACTTCAATATTATCTGATTACGTTTAAAATACAATCTTCAGTGTTTACTGATTACGTGAATTAACCATTGGTATCATGAATAAATCATTCAATAATCAATACTGTTATAATGGGTATTGAAATCTGTGGATTATATAGACTAGTACCTGTTGTATCATTATATAAAAGATTAGTTTTAATCAATATTTAAAAATACCTATTAATGCTATTATATCATTTCTAAGTCCTATTTAACACCCTGTTTATCTTATACCAATTTATCATAAACATCGATGTTACATACAAAATATATCTATATACATAATTTTTAACTAGATTTTGTGAAAGAGAAATTTTGGATTGCTTTCAATACAAAATAACCTGAAACAAGCAAAATTTACAATATTCATCCATTGTACATCATTTCTGACTGCTTTAAGAGTTTCAAACAATTATCTATTGACCATTTATATGGTTCTTAATTTTGTACTTAAAAACATCAAAAAAGTATTAGCGACACTTTCAATCCCTACAATACAAAATATCTTAAATGGACTTTCTTTTATTCTTGACAAAACCATTCATTATTTTAGGGGAAAAAAATTCAAAATTAATAATGACTGAACAGTGTAGACCATGATGCTGATCTTGGGCTGCACTCGTCTCATGGGTAGCATTAGTTGCGGCCCGTAGGCTAAAGGTTTCAGTAACTATACGCTTAAAAGCTGTGTCACATGAAACAAATTTACTGTGATTTTTGCCATGTGAACCTGAATTATAATAATTGTTGCAATATCCAAAGTTTTAAGCATTTTTAATACTGATACTAAAACAGTTTACACTAAGCAAGACAAAACTAACATAGTATTGCAAGGTGGTCAAATAGCTATATCATTCCTATTCTTTATTGCCTCTCTTAATTAAGTCAAAGGGATTTTTCATTCTTATTTCAATTGCTTTTTTATGTCCAAGTGTCCAAGATCTTTATTTAGTATGACAAAATAGTTCAAGCAAAAAAAATTGTTAGAATTTGTATGCATATATATGTAAATACTTAAACTTTAAATCATTTTAAAATGTTAAAGAAAACACACTTGCTTCCATTAATAGTTAAAATTTTATAGCAATTTTGGGGACAGTTTTACAATGTCAATGGAATTATTTAAGGATAATTAAATTCAAAACTGGAAAAGATGTCATTTTGGGGCCAGAAACATTCATTATTCCTTAATAAATGTATCACTGACATATCACATTTTTACAACAGATAATGATCTTAACCCTTGACCTCCTGGAAATAATAATGCTTGGCTTTTACCATCAATTTATTGAGCCAAGCCAGCCTGCATTTGCATGCTGTCTGACCAGGCTCTATACTGTTGGTGGCTCTAATTTTGTATTCTGATATTGAAATCCCTATAATTTTGAATGGACTGTTCTAAATTTAAAGCTGGGCAAGTTCATTACACAAATTCAGTAGGTTAAGGGTTAGAGAGCTGTTGAGAGGAGCAAGAATTGACATGTGCAACATGACGAGTACCTGTATCCTAACTAATGTCTGGACATGCAGTTAACATAGGGGAAAACAACAATCAGGGTTTGTCAACATAAAATAATCATAATATCATAACTAAACAAATTGTAACTTTCCTTGAATTTCATGCAGACTTGTGAATTTAAATTCTCTAAATTGTGCTTTGAAACAAAAAGAACAATAGGGTGACATAACATATTTACAATCTATATTTTACTTAAGTTTTATTTCAATAAACCTTACACATACTTTTCATTCATAAATTTAACAGTTATTCAATATTGCTATTGAGAGTAACAAACAAACTTTTGCTTGTAGATCCAAATCTAGACAATGAAAATATGAAGTGCAAGTTCTAATGTATCATTATCATCTTCATGGTCATCAACAATATCATCATCAATATCATCATCCATAATATCATCATCATCCATAAAATCATCAACATCATCATCATCAATATTTTCATCATCATCCGTTATATCATTATTAGCATCAATATAATCATCATCAATATTTTTGTCATCATCATCTGCCATCATCATCATCATAATCATAATTTTCATGGGTTTTATAATGTTTGATTTGAAAGATTAGCTGGGTACATGTATTTGCTCAAAACTAGGGGGATATGTAAATACTAACCATGAAAGCAACTGACTCATGACATGTTTTGAGAGATTTTTACCCAATAACTGAGTCATAATAAAATATATAATAGGATCAGCGTGTATTATATGAACATTACCTCTGCATGATCAAGACTGGCCAGTAGCCTGTTATATCTTTGTAACATGTGGGTCAAACTTTCTACATACTTTATATACTTCTCATCCTGAAATATAAACATATAACATGGTCATCACTTGTTTGTAATATACAGCAGAAAGTTATGCCAGGTCTGAATGTGGCACCTTGACTAGAAGTTTCTTTTTCTTATATAGCTAATTCCTCAAGTTCCTTATCCCTTGACCATTTCTGTGCTATCATCAAAATAGTGGGATGCAACAAGGTAGGATTGCTCTATGCTACACTATAATTTTCGCAATTCAGAAAATTTGGCAATTTTAAGGCCAATTAAATTTTTTTAAGCAATTCCAATGCTATGTAAAAAATATATCGCAATTTTGATATGCTGAGTAAGCACATTTTGTGATTTTGATGCTTAAAGTAAACAGAACTTGCTAAGTAAACAAATTTTTGGTAATCTTCACTTTAAGTCAACATATTTTGGCAATTTTAATGCTAGGTAAACAAATTTTGGCAATTCTGATGCTAGGTAAACAAATTTTGGCAATTCTGATGCTAACTAAATAAATTAATTTTGGTGATTTTAATGCTTATTTAACTAAACTCACCTGAAGGGCAACATTTCTGGCAAGCTCTGGTACAGAGAAGCCTAGCTGCTCCATGTACTTAGTCTCAGAAACTATCTCAGCTAACATTGGATCAAAGTCAACCATATACTTCACCTTCATAAAACATTTGGCTGAAATAATTTAATAAACCCAAACAAATAATGAAAATAGAAGCAAATATCTTAACCTTTTATTTAATTTTTTAAATTTGAAGAAAAATAAAATTTTCTTTGTTAATTCATGAACAGGGAATGTTAATTAAAGTGTTTTGGTTTCTTTTTTAAAAAAGAAGAAAATATATTGTTTTAATTTTTATTTCTTCTATAACCATATTTTGTTTTCACTCTGATTTAAATATTGAAATATTGTCGGATATTGAATGATTTGTGACAATATGCTATCTAATTTTTCTCCACCAAGCCTGACTTTGGTGATAAGATACTAATACTAGATATGTATTTTTTCCTTTGGAATAAAAATTGTATTTACCAAATTATAACAATACATGTAATTTGAAGACACCACAAACACAAATCTATTCAGAGATATAGGGATATATATTTACAGAAAAAAGTTATATCATGTAACAAACTATAGAACATCCTCCACCAAGATGAAACAATGCTACCAAAGGTTCACTCTAATATAACTAGAAGTAGGGAAAACTTTTCCAGGAATAAAAGACAAACCAAGTGTACAAAAACACAACCCCCAGAGATCACCTCAAACTTTGAAGAAAAAAAAATGTTTGTACAAAAAAAATATTTAGAAAAAAAATACTGTGCATTATTTTCTTGTTTCTGTACATATCTTTTTATTCTTCACAATGAATAAAATTATCCAACACTTTCAATATTTTAATATGACATAAAAAAATAATTATAACAAAATAAATATTTATCTTTTAAGTTCATAAAACTTCTTTTACTGTGGCATGTATAAATTTTGAATTAAACTGAAAGGTGCACAATAGAATCAGCCAATGCTTATGTAAGCACACAAACACACACAGTGTACGGATATTTACTGCTCTGTGTGGGGGCATGACTACTGATAGCAGGACTGTGGGGTGTGGCTCGAGACTGACTGTAAGGGGAGGATACACTGTGTTCATCCCCAGAAAAGATTCTCAAATTTTAGAAAGTCATTTTTCATAAAAAAAATAAGTAAAAATTTAAACAATTATAAAACAACCTTTTTAATTTTTTTGAACATTTAAAATCCTAACATTGCTTTTAAAATTGTCATGATAAACCCTTTAAAGATTAATAATTGGCATTGAGTGTTCAAAAAAGTAAGTTTAGATCAGAATTCAACAAGAAGATATATAGGGATTGAAAAGATGAAACACCTATTATCCGCATTATACTAAACTAAATTATATTTGGAAACTAAATATATAACTTTAAGGTCAGAGTCAATTATTTGTTTAAACATAAAAGAAAATTCTAAAAGAAAAAAAAAATTCTAAAAGAAAAAAATAAGAAATAACAAATACATAAAGAAATTGTCAACAATTCAGTGTAGAATGGCTATAGATCTAAGAAAGGGAGAGATCTAACAAAATTGTTTATAACCATATTCTAACAAATAATTACCACGAGAATGTTTTATAGATCTATCTGTGTGGACTGATGCACCTATAATTACAATTACTCATTTAAAACAACAGAAAAAAAAATACTATATTCACAGGCAGGTGTTACAAATTCTCTTGAGGCATTTTCCCCCTAGTAAGTCAAACTTTATGTTAAAACATTAAATAAAACACAAACAGAACATGGGCCAATTTGTGCAGTAATAGTAGAATCAATACTAATTCTATATCATTTAAAGAATGGAGATATTATCAATGAGATATACATTATATCACTCACTGTAGTTCATTTATTGTAATTTGTGTTTCAATCAATAAGCATTATTAATAAAAAAAAATGAAAAACATTTTAGTTTTTTATTGATTTTGGTAAATATCATTATGAAACATACACATTGAACTGTTTTATGTCAAAGTAAACTTTATAACATTTTAAAAGCACTGTATTGAATTGTTTACTCCTTTGTAAGACATGCTCGAATATTGTTACAAATAAAAGAAAACAACAAAATAATATGATGAACATGCCCTCTACTTACCATCTCCCTCCCCACCTTCCTCATTCTGTTGTTGTTGTTGTAGCTGTACTTGTTGAGCATGTGTAGGTTTGATGATAAGGTTCCTCTTCAGTAACGAAGGTAGGATTTGTTCTACATGTTCCCGCCATTGTTCGTATCGACTGTCCTCATACTGCTTCATTTGTTTACCTACACTCAGGTACTTAGCTCTTGTCTAAAATAAGTAACATTAGATGCCTTCATTTATTTTATAACATTACCAAAGTAAGCTATGAATTATAATCTTTTGAAATGTAACATGCTTTTTTACCTAGAAATGGAGTTTTACTGCCTTTATAGTACTGCTGATATGTTTAAACTGTAGTTAATTATATTTTGAGCTTTATGTCTATTTACAAAAAAAATAATTTTATCACTATTAATAACAGAAGTAAGTTTTTAAAATGATATAGAAAAACGTAAGAAACTTTCAGTTCAACTTTCTTTTTAAACATTGACAATAAATTTTTTACAGATAAGCTATTACAAAAAAGTTTCTTACCGCCTTGCCCATGTCACTCTGCATCATATCTTCCATTGACTGGAATCTAATGATGACATGTTTGATACGATGAAACAGGGATCTCTCCCAGTAAATAGAGCCAGCTATAGGAGGGTGGTTCTTGTGTAGAGGTGGTGAATCTCTCTGTGTCATAAACAAATTCTCCATAGTGTCCACCTCTTTCTGATACTGTACTAAGATATCACGAAACTTCTGCATCATCTGAGCATTAATGGCCTCACGAGATCGGATATGTTTGAATTTCAGGAGCAGGTTAAATGCTCCCTCGGCAGATCTCAGTGACTGGAAGGACTCGTCTATAAACATCTTTGCTTCATTTTCAATGGCAACAACCTCCCTGTTGAAGTGGTCCATAACACTCTTCCATGAAGAGGAGTGGCGGATAACAAAAGGATCAAAGGCAACCTGCAAGAAAAAAACAACAGATTTATCTGAATATATAGATTTTGAAAAGTGCTAAAAAACATCATAAAAAATTTATCACATGAAAAGTAAAAAAAAAAGTCATGTAAAAAAACTTGGTTTCATCAGAATTGAAATGACTGTGTGTAAATCATGAATTATTCCAAGTGTTTTTTTTAATTTCCAAAAGTGATCAATATTAGGATCTTTACAAAGATACAAGTAAATATCATTAATACACACCTCCTCCAGTGGGGTTACAAGGGCATCAACTCTCACAAGTACTTCCTCAATACGTTTTGGATCTCCTGTAACTGCCTTCAACTCTGGTCCAAATATGTTGTAAAACTCTTCTAGCACCTGTACAAACATTCATTATTAAAAGTCTATTACTTTATACATGTACAAGTCATAAAGTAAAAGCAGGAATAAGTACAACAGACAAAAAAAAAGATATAGATCAAGATATAGCATTAAGTTAGCACTTCAAAACTGATAATTGTATAATATATATTTAGTTTGTGTTTACAAGCGCTATCCAATTACCTGAGCAACATCATATAGGTCCTGGCAGATATTAGACATATAGTCAGTCCTCTCAAACAGCTTCTTTCTATCAAACTCCCATCTTTGATCTCGTCCAGACTGCTCGATCTTTGCTCTAACCTCAAAATAACTTTCCTTCCATACCTGCAACATTCTCTTTGCCTCAGAAGTTCTTCTCTTAACTTCATCAGTTGTATCTCTTTGATAAGAAACATCAGTTATTTGATTTTTTGGTACATTTTTACTCAAACATACTATTCAAGATTTTAAAATTTGTATATTTTAACAAAAAGAAATATTTATTTTACAATCCCCTGATTATAATTATAACAGGTAACTGGTTACTCTACCTAAGAAATGTTAAATGAATTAAGTTATAGTGGATAAAAGAACTTATGTTCCCTAATATCTACATGAATCAATCTACAATAAGTGTGATATTTACTTGAAGATATTCCTGATGTTAATGACTTTATCAACTCTTTCAGCCAGCTCCCATGCAATTCTTTCCATCAACGGAACCATTCTCTCATCTTTGTTATAATGTCGGGAAATAATCCACACCATACGTAACGCATTCATCATTGACGGTATTGTTTCTATGACTACCTGAAATGTTGCTCCATGAGCTATGTTCTTGAAATGTCGTTCAAGGGTTGAAAGAAATCTGACATTGTCTTTAGCTTCTACATAATATTTATTCAGTTCAGATTTAACATCATCAAAGTCAGCCTCAAGGTGGGAATATGCTTCTAACATTTTAGCAACCTGCGGGATTTTAAGCTGTTCTGTAAGAGCACTCAAGGCTGCATTACGCTCCCTCCAGAAATCAATCTCTGCCAAAGGACCTTTACCATGTGGGACTTTCTTCAGCTGAAGTTCTAGTGCACCTCTGATCTGTTTTGTCCATTCATGACAAACTTCTCTAATCTGGTCCATCAGTTCAGAGTTGGCTACAATTTCATCAATATTGTCACCAAGTTCCATCTCCGGAACTTCTAGTCTTACTTCTCCCTCAATCTGCTGAATTGTACGAGTAATACTTGCTGAAAACTTCTGCATACTGATGAGAAATTCATCTCTTAACATGGCTTTAGCACGAGACTCTGCGACATTCACTTTCTTTTCACCTTCTTTGTTATCTTCCTCTTCAGTTTTATGTGATGCCCGGGTGTCAGTCCGAGTCTCTGGGCGACTTTTGCCCTCTTTTACTTCACCATTTCTGTGCTGGTTGTATGATAGCAGGGGCATGTACACCTGAAAAACATAGAAAAACTCTACTGTTTCATTTGTTTGTTTTTTTTGGGGGGATGGGGGTGAGGTTTTTAGTCACATTGGTAGCTTCTTAGTCATATGGTGACTTTCCAGCTTAACTGGTAGAGGAAGTAAGAATATCATAACAAAAAGAAATTTTCAAAGAATATGACTAAAGACTTTTGTTGATCAAGTCAATGCTTAAGCAACATGTGGTTGTTTTATCATCCTTTTGGGAATGGGTCTTGTCTACAAAATTGGGAAAATGAAATAAAATTGAGCTGCAACAAAAGCCTAATTGAGACTAAATGATTATTATTGGGAAGAATAGGAATTTCAGGCAATTTCCAACAAGTATGTTTACTGGGTCTAGCTGTCTAAACAAGGAATGCTAAACCTGATGTTAAGGCATACTTACTAAGAAAATGAGAATTATCTGACAATTTCTTTTGAAAATTATTGTGATCTTATACCAATGTGCTTTCTCTATACAATTGTTATTACTACAGACAATCGCATGCATATAACTCAAAACTTTACCTGGGCAATAATGTGCTCCAACATGACAAGTGAATGTCCATTCAAAATTCCCATCTCAAAGTAGTTAGGTAAACTTTCCTGGGCTTCTTCCTTGGTATTGGGTAGAGGCACCATACCAGGTGTGTTACGTATAAAGTACATGCTGTCATGATCAGCAAATTCCTCTGGTAGATGCTGGTAACACATGTACAGGTATGTTCTCAACACTTTCTGCACAACTATTTTCTAAAAAAAACAAACAAATACATTGATTTCTATAAATAAAAAAGTAATTTATCCCAATAAAAACAGTTTCATATCACTTTTAGATCTGCTGTGAATCAATGGTTCCAAAAAATTTCTATTTACATTGGAACCTATTCATGCAAATACTCTGTTTTGAAAGGAAACCAGTGGTCTTATTTGAAGAATTTTAATTTACATTCAAGACCATTATATGTAAACTATTATCTAATTTATCAATCAAAAGAAAAAAAATCTTGAAATAAATGATTTAGTTTAGCAGTTGTTTTGTTTATTGTTATCTAAACAAAAAATCAATTTAAAACTTCTACAAAGTTTAAAATAAAAAAAAAATAAAATTAAAATATTCAGACAATTCTTACTGTTCTAGGGGCCTTGTCCTCTTCCTCTTGATCTTCCCCTTCACCTTCTTCTTCCTCTTCATTCTTTGATTCAGCTACTTCAGGTGTAGGTGCCTCAGGTTTTGGTGTAGGAGTTTCAGACTTGGCCTCACCTCCTGGTGTGCTGGCTTTACGCCTCTTCTTACCACTTGCACCTATCATCAAAGGAAAATAGAAGGTGAAGAACAGCTGATGTAAAACATAAAGGCTCAGTTTTAGATATACATCAACAACAGTAACAAAGAGTGCCAACTAAGGCTCTACAAAATTTCAGATTTCCAGTACCAGGGTTCGACATTAACGGGGTCCCGGGATTCCGAGGATCCCAAAAAGTCGGGAGGAATCCCTGTGATTCCTAGCTGGGGATTCCGTTGGGATCCCTGAAAAATTGCTGTGTAAATTTTTGAAATTTTCTGAATTAATATCATTGAATCACAAATATTCAAGAAAAGTGGTTCAAGAAAGAAATGAAAAACCCCGCCGGTAAAAATTACACTCTTGAATTATGTACGCTAGTTTTTCTTTGTGCAGTGACTCATTTGTGATATATATTAACGAAAAAATTGTTTTGGCAAAAGAAACATTCTTGAATAATTTGATATCATGCATTGACTTCATAAAATAGAGTTGTGAAAATTCAAAAAAGAAATGTAATTATCGTATAATTATTACACAAGCGATGTGTACTTCAAATTTGTGTTGATCAGCAATGCCGGCGGTAGCTACAAAGTCATCCAGTGTTTGTTGCTTGGTTTTTAAATTGCCAAAATTCGGCACTTGTGATCATTGTAAATTTTCGTCAAAATTGTGAAAAAAAGATAACTGGTGTATTTTTTTTCCATACAGTAAACTACAGCAAAAGAATAATTAATAAACAAAATAAAAAGAATCCATACTTTTAAGTTTAAAATCCTTTTTGAAACTCACAGCCTTCAATGCTTAAAAAACATTGTCTAACTAAAGTCTACGGTCACGCAATATTTACCGACAAGAAATAGAAAAATCCTTAGGTGAAACATACAGCAAATGACGAAATATACAGCAAATGACGTATATTTCATCTGACAGTGCTTGTTGTGAACTACATGACTGCTGTATGCGGTGAGTGCCTTTGATGTGACAGGTGTCAAATCTTTCAAAAAAAAAAAAAATCAATACACAGGGAGGAAAGGGATCGGACATTTCAGTGTAAAAATTGAGAACAATAAATTTGGATATTGCACATCCTGTCATGGACTTGGAGCAACTTATTATTTTTAAAAATGAAATCATTTAAAGGTACCGTACTTGTAATGCAAACAAAACTTTTTCTTGATATTTTTATTAGCTTATGTAAAAAATTATCAAAATATTTAATTTACAACAATCTATGGGATTTTTCCTTTTAAACACAAAAAAAGTAAGATGGAATCAAATATTTTTTTAAAGTGATCATAATTAAGAATTTCTTTAGAAATGACATGAAAGTAAATAATTTTCTAAAGTTATCCATACCAGACCTTTCTGGAATATGGACCCTAAATTAAAAATCATTACATGTAATTTTTTAAAGATCTACAGATGATAAGTGGGCTCTATTTCAGTGAACCCTAGGCTATCTGGGAAAATGTTTCCCCAGTTCCTACTTAACTTCAAAAATTCAAACCACAAGTCCCTTGCATTATACCTTCATTTAGATACAGAAACTGGTTCACAATTATCAACTCCAGGGAGAAAACAGGTTTTAGCAAAATAGCTATTTTCAAATCCAACTCTTTTTCAGTGAGCTTAATGTTATTCTGCTTCCATGTTCATGTAAAACTATATTATTATTTAATATTTTCTTAGCAGTCCAAATATATATATACTGGTAAAGTAAACACTTTGAAACACTTTTAAATATTTAAACAGCAATATTTCCAAAGGGCTCATAAACTTCATTTTCTGCATCTGAAACAAGACAATATATCCTGTATGTAGTCTCAAAAATAAAAAGAATTTGAAATCGAATTGATGCACTCCCTTGCTATTCTTCGCCTTCATATTTTACTATTTTGATCTGAGGAATCCCTGACATTTAGGAGGAATCCCTGAATTAAATCTCAGGGATTCCTATGGGATCCCTGGTAAAAACAGTTAGTGTCGAACCCTGCAGTACCGTACCGTTCTACAATACATACTGTGTAATTACATTGTTTAATTATTAAATTGTCAACCAATTGATTGATAAATAAGTACAACAAAAATATATGATCACATTATTTTTACACTGATATAATTTTTCCAGAGTCAAACAAATTTAATTTAAGTAAATGTCTATATCTGTCAACATAAAAATATTGTTTAAGTGGTAAAAAATGAGTAATATATGTTGCAACTAAATACAAATATTTTTAAACTGACCTTTCTTTGCACCTTCCTCAGCCTCGCCTGTGGGGGTAGAAACTCCTAGGGCTTGCTCTTTGGGTTCAGCATCCTCTGCTGGTGCTGCATCGCCCTGAGCTTGTTCACCACCTTCACCTTCTGCAGCCTCTTCTTCTTGTGTTATATCTGGGATCTCAGGCTCTGCAAGTTAAAGGACATCAATAAAAAAAGAGGTAATATTGCCAATCTCTAGGGCTGTCATTGTTTGTTTGTTTCAATTTACGCCTTTTCCAACAGTATTTCAGTCATATAGGCGGGTAGTTTCCTAACCATCAGTCCTGGAGAGTTACGCCAGTACTAGCACTAAACTACCAAAGCATCTCATGGGGATCGAACCCACGCCAAAGAGGTAACTGGATTAGAAGTCACCAACTCTAATCCCTCGACCACGGAGGCAGTCCAAAGCTGTAATCGATATTCATCAGCCAATACAATATTGATACACACTTTCACATATTGATACAAGCTAAAAAAAATTTTATTTCTGTTAGTGAATATTCCTCTCTTAGTATTTTGGATTTTAAGAGAAGTCACTTTTTTCTAGTCTTCTTGGCTAACTTGAACTTTGAACTCCGTTTTCAAATGTCAATGACAAAAATAGCAAAAAAAACAAACTTTCCGTAAGTTTGTAGTATTTGTAATGTGTAATACAAGCATGCATAACACAATGATCCCAATTTATAACACACATATAAATGTTTTTCATTGCATCTACAAACAAAGTTGATATATATCAATGTATCGTCGATATTTATCTCTCGATATATCGATACAAAATTTTCCATCAATGACAGCCCAACCAATCTCCATGGTCAGCTTTGAAAAGTACTATTAATGTGAGTGCAGCAATCACAAACACTATCCGAACATTGCAATGGCACCACCAGTGGAAAGAAGCATTATGATAGCATAGAATGTAAACTTAAGTTATTGTATATTTGATTTCAGTTTCTTCAAAATGCTTAAAGCAAGCACTGTCACACAGCGTTCCCAGAAGAGTGCAGTGGAATTGCTGTAATGACCCTGTAGTGACGCAATAAAATCTCCTAGCTACAAAACAGTCAGTAACCTTGAAGTTGAAAACGCATTGTGATTGCTCAGAGAAGGCAATGAATTAACCGTGCGAGTGCTGACAAATACAACACACTGTCGAAAAACAAAAGAATGCGAATGCAGTACTTGGAGATTTGTTAAACAGTAGCAGGGGTTTTATGTCTAGATAAATTAAACGTTGCAGAGGTCTCTTTTTTTCTTTTTTTTTTTGCGGGGGGGGGGGGGGGGGGGGGGAGGGAGTTTCCTGCTCTCATCTTATCAGCTAATTTTCTAAATAACTTTATCAAATATAATTGTTGATGTCTAGAAATAATAAACTGATATTGGAATAAAATAAAATACTGGCAAAATATTTACCACATTCAACTTCTACTTCCTCTTCTTCCTCCTTCGTGATTTTATAGAAAACAATCGACGATTCATTTTCTTCTGGAGTGTCATTCAAAAATTTCCCCAGCTCTCTTTCCCAAACACCATCATCACGATCTAATAGTTCTTCAAAAACCTCTAGATCTGTTTCGTTAATGTCTAGACCAAGATAAACTTGGTGCCGTATCCAATCTATTCGCTCGTCATCCATGATTTTATTCTGACATTATTTTTCAAAAGTTCCAAACTTCTCGAGACGCTGTCATGGAAAACAGGTGTCCGTCTGAATGTAAAAAACTTACTGATAACTTTCCGTGATTGAAAATAGTTCGAAATATCTATCAGTACCAGAATACTCTGTCCGTTATATCACCAACAAAACTAAATTTAATTACAATATATTTCATTTGCATACGATTTTGTTATATGGTGGTTCTGAAAGTAAAAATATCCAGAAGCGGAATAATTAAAAAAATCTGGAACTACTTTTGTGTATTTTCTCCATCGGCCATATTGTTACAAAATTCTCTTAGCAACGACGGGTTGCAGCAAAACCGGTCACGCACCTGTATACTTGATTGAAATTTATTGAACAAAATTCTCTAAAGAGCTTTAGGCTACATAGTACTAAATAAATGTTTTTGATCCTCAATTCATGAAAATTTGAAAATGTATTTTAACAGTATAATATTGTAAAGTTACCAAAAGAATGCAATTTATACATTATCAATGGCACTTACAACCTATGTAAATTGCTATATAAAGAGGTCAAAATATGCAAGAATAGCCCTTACTGTGTTAGTAACGTAGTAGTAATATATTTATAAATACTGAAAAAATCGGTCATTAATCACACATAACATGTAAATTTTTACTAGAATTTTGAATCTTCATACTTCCCTAAAATCTTAGTACATTTATCTCAGGTTTGATTTTATCGAAATATTTTTGCTCATCTGGAGGTGTGCAGCTTTAACTCCGTTAGGAGTGATAACAACATTATGTTGTATGCTGAATTGGACTGAATTAAGTTTTCTTAACAACATTATGTTGATAAGAAAACTTAATTCAGTCCGATTCAGCATACACCTTGAAAAACGTTTCCTTGATTGTGACATTTCTTAGACTATCTTTAATCAGGGTCTTTCAAATAGATTCTATTAGAAAGACCCTATTTTAATAGACTATTTTAATTTACGTCATTTTTGCAAGGTTTATTCACTCACCTGGAGGTGTTACTTTAAATTGAAATGAAAATCAATTATTTTTTTATTCATTATAGTCAATATGAAATTTACCAACAGTTACAACTGAATAATTTTAACAGTGGAATTATTAAGTTTATGTTTGTTCAAATTATATATAAGTGCAAAACTAAATTTTCTACATTTTCTATATTTAGTAACAATATTTTCTTGTTCAGATAAATGCTATAGTTTTAGAATAAAACTGTCAATTTATGCATTCTTTCTTTTTTGTGAATATTTATCTAAACTTCAAGAATAAAATTCAGTTAACAGTTTATTGATTGTAATATTATGGCAAAGTTTTTTGAGTTTGCTTAATAATTTATTTCTGCCTCGTGCGTCAATTTTTTAATAAGCCTTTTTTTAAAAATGCGAAATTGTACAAATTCCATAGCTTAGTTGCTAAATATCTGTTTAACTGAATGGTAAAAATGCTTGGTGCAATAAATTAAAAACTTGTTTATGAATGAGACAATAGTTTGTTTTTCTTCTTAAGATAATTGCATGTGGACCAGTATTACAGTGTGAGCATTTCAGGTAACCCCCTTTACCTGCTGTATTTGTGTAGTGAACTTGCCTTGTTTTGGATATGGATTAAGTTCATTCAAAGTTTGAGTGATTACATCAAATTACAAAAATTGATCAAGGAACAGTATTTAGTGTGGCCATACCATACAGATGTGCGACACTCTACTGGTGACGAAGGCTTATCAGTTTTGGTTATTAACAATCCTGAAAACGGATTGGTGACCTGCCTGGCTCTCGGCCATAAAACGTTAGTTTGAGCCTTAGTTTTGATCACAACCATATTTTCTCACGTCACACATATACGGCTGAGTTAACAGACTGATATTGTTAAAAATACTTCTTTCAGAATTGAGCTGACATAGTTATTCTCGAACATTCTTATTTCTAAGGGGAGGCATAGCCTACGTGTTCAAATCATTGCGCGGAGTTTGGCAAAATATAGGCGATTTATCTTCTGTATAAATTACTAATTGTCGTAAGAAAACACCTGGCGTGACTTACCTATTGGTCCATTTTCTATGAAATCTATACAGTGCAAAAGCTTAGAGTGTGCCCTTAACTGCAACATTAGAAACTTTAGAAACTTTTAAGCTCATTTAAAAGCCTGGCCTCTTAAATGTCTTCGTATCATACTCTTTTAAGCCATCGCATTATTTTTCCTTCTCTATATAAACTTTACGAATTTCGTAAAAAGGGACCATTTTCTGGAACCCATTGTGACCTACTTATTTTTCGGTATCGTTGCCAATTGACTAGAATAATTGCTAAGAAGGTCCAGTTATACATGTTATAAGAGTCTTGGCATAAGCTTAAGAAACATAGCCTCCCAATGTCAGCATGGCATGGGTGTTAGTTGTTATAGAAATTTATTACATGCTTTTCGATTGTTTATAGAAATAAATCAGTGAATTAAAACTGGTAATTTCACTGTTTGAAGCAGTGAAATTACCACTTTGATAATTTCATTGTTTTAAACTTAAGCCCCTTACGTTGTTTCAGTGAAATACCAGCATGCACAGTACTGGGTACCAACTTAATAACGTGAATGACGTCACGTTGTATTATTATTTAGCGCTTTTCGTTCAGTATTAGGTTTAATGTCTTTTTAAACGTTTCTTTGCATATAATAAAAAGAAAATTTGTTTAGTATAGTTTTGCGCCACTCGTGAAATATACCTTTAGGTGCTCACTCGGTGAAATATATTCCGATCTTACACTGAACTAAACAAATATCCTCTATTTAATCTTTCTAAAAACCCTATAAACTCTTCTAATTTTGTAAAAAGCAACACTTTCTGGAGCTAATTGTGACCTACATTTCGGTCTAATATCTTGCAAATTAAACAGTGCAATGGTTTGGAGCGCAATTTGCTCCCATGGTTCTCGCACAAGAATCAAGGTGGCTAGATGGCCGTGTTGTAATAGTCATCATTATAACAGTCAATCTTTAGAAATACAGCTAAACTTGACAATGAAAAAATGAGCATTTTAGTCACTTTAAAAACATGGCTTCCAGATGCCCGCTTGTCATTGGTATGACTTGGTGCATCTATTTGTTCTTTCTGTGTATATTGCAAATGTATATTTACTCTGCGATCTTCTAAAAATCACCATTTTCCGGAGTCTAGGTAGACCGTGATCTAACCTTATATTTTATTTTCCTTGAAAAATAAACAGTGCAATAGTTTTGATGATTCCCTTCACGGCAATAGGCTTTTTACTAGGCACATAAATGGTCACCTTATACCCGCGTATCAGAGGCCTGCTCGGTAATCCGTGAACAGGCTCGAGAGCTCTAGCTATAGATCTATATATCGAACCGAAATCTGTAACATTTTTAGTTTTGCCCTGTTTCATGTTTAATCTATTTTTATTTAAGAATCTACAATTAAAATAAAATATTTATGCGTGTTGACTGTCAAATCACATAAGACATTGCAAAAAGCATCATTGCGTAAAGTCACATCATGCACAACACATATGATACACAAGGTCAACAAGGAAAGGCGGCGTTCAATGAACGCAACCCCCATATGACCCAGCAACAAGAACCAACGGCAAGGAGCCCATGCAGGCGGACCCCAAACAAAAACAGGACAGGGCAAAGACAGAGCACGGACAGGTCAACCACTAAATGATAAATAATTTGCAACTGATTAGGAATTCAAAGAAAAAAACAATAGGCCCACAAAGGGAAGGGGACCGGGGAAGTGGGGGGGGGGGGTAAATCAAAGATTAAAGTATAAAAACTAGAGGCAATGGGGAAGATACTTACCGTAGACGAGAAAACAACAAGGGACACAAGCAAAAGTGTCACCAAACAGTATGAAACAACATAGATATATGTATACATCTGAGGAACACAGAGGGGCGCCGCCTTGAAACGGTCAGCAGCATAACAATGACTGCTGGGGAGTTTAAACCGGTAAATGAGACGCAACGGCTGTGTTTTTACTAGACATTTTTTTCATTGAAATATGAATTTCAAATTGTTTTTGCAGTGCATTTAATGATTGCCATCGTAAGTTCTGCATGTTACTTCATTTTATTCCTGAATAAGTGCATTCAATTGCATATTATCAAAAATAGAAGCTGCTTTTATTCACAATTTCACAATTTTGACTGAAAATGCACAGAAAATTACCGAGAAAATTCACATATCAATGAACATTGTGGTAGAAATGTTTTAAAATATTGAGGAACTGTACACTTATTTATTGTCAAAAAACAGAGCTCAAATCTGATGCGTAGTTATTTTAGAAATAATGTTTTAATGCAATTAAAAAACACAAGTTTGGTGCCCGCGAACTTTTGAATGCTAGTTCCTGATTGGTCGACTGGATAGTCGGCACTGATTGGTCGACCTACCCCCTGGATACCATATATAAAGAGCCTTGTTGTCAGGCTTGCACGTTTAGATTCATACATCTGCAGTTAAAGCTAACATTGAAAATATGCGCTCTGACAGGGAAAGAAAATCTTCATACTATTCGTAAGTGTTTTAGCATTTTAAACACTTGAATTAACGTATGAATATTATATCTTCAACCTATGCTATCCGGTTACTGTTATTTCAGTTTCATTTAAATGATTTTTTTATATTTCAATCGCGATTTCAGTCTGCTTCTACATCATAGTGGGCGGGGTAAGGTTTACCAACACAATGTTAATTTCTGAACCAGAAAAAAATATTGTATACTATTTCCATTGTTTAATTTTATTTCAAAAACCTTTATGTTGTTATATTGGTGCCGTTTAATATCGATATAGTACCGGTAAACAAAATAGTAAGTTTTAAAAATGCCGCCGAAAAAAACTTTTCAATCTGACAATCATGCAACTACAGTAGATCTACCTGAAAATTCTACCGAAAATGCAGTGCTCACAATAAGTTTTATTCAAAACACGATAAAGCTATAATAAAAGAAAGAAAAATATACATTTCTCAGACTAAATTGGATTGGAAATGACCATGCATCAAAATCAGATTGATTTGATTCCGCCACATTTTTCTTACTCTTAGCATAGCAACCGCCACTTGTTCTATTTATAGATTGTGGTTTTTCCGTTGATGGTAAGACATATCACATAATGATACAACATCTTTATATCAAAAATTATTTATTATTTAGATAATTTTGAACGAATAGACGATTTTCGTGCATGAAAAAAACCGATACAAGACATGTACATTAATTCATTTGCGGCGGACTATTTTCTTTAAATCCGCCATTGTATTTGAAAGCTATGTTTTGATTGGTTAGACTTCATGCGCAGAATCCGCTCCTTAGATACGAGTAATGGCCGCACAATTTGATTTTTGCATGTTACAGTGAGATTCTATTTTACTATGAATCTATCAATTTTTCTTCACAATTTTTATTTGAGGTAAAAAGCTCGATATTTTTTCTTTCCCAATTGTTTTGTAGTTTCAGATGACCATGTGCTTTTTTGAGGAGTTGACAATTTCTTTATGGGTCTATTCAACTATTATCACATTGCAAACAGCACCAGCAATCCACTATCACTATTAATATATAGTGACTAAATAAAGTAAATTACTACTGTAAAAGAGACATCAAAATATGGGGAAAAACAGCTCCTACTGTGTTAATAATGTGCAGTTAGATACTGCAAAATCAGTCCTTAATCGCAAATAACGTGTTAATAATTACATAATATTTTTACTTTTCTTAATAAATCTTAGTTCAGGCTCGAGCTAGCTTTAAGACCTGGAAAGAAATAATGTACGTGCATGGTCATAAACAAGGAATACATCTAGTTTAGTGGGTAAAGATAAACAAATAACAATATTAACACACTTGCTTCCCTCTCAACCCCGCCTTTTTACATGTTTATATTCAAAACTTAACAAATTTGAACTAAATTCAGAATAACCCTAATAATAGAAAGCATAGTAATTAAAATGCACCAACACTCAGTTCTGAGGTCCACTAAACTAGATTCTATCAGTCCTAAGATTTTACTGCAGTAGTGAAAAATAAATTTAGAATTCTTCATATTTTAGCTAAATACTGTTTTTTCAGTGCCTAAAATTGACATTTGTTGGTTTGAATGCTCAAGAAAATTGCTATATTTGAGTAACAATTACATAAATTTTTCTTAATTTGAAATTAGGACTAGCCTAAAGTTCAAATACAGATCAGACCTTCTACTTTATAGATCCAGTATCAACATTTATATTGGACAGTCACAGTTATTTTTACATTGTTGTAACATTATAATTTTTTTTCATTAATTTTTTTTTTATTTCATTTATTTTAATATATTTTCAGACAAAGAAGACGTTCTAGATCTAGGTCTAGGTCTAGACGTCCCAGGTCCAGGTCGAGATCTAGATGTACCAGGGACAACTGCCATTCCAATAGATGTAAGGCTCCTAGTCCCAGGTCGAGATCTAGATGTACCAGAGACAAGTGCCATTCCAATAGGTCTAGGACCCCTAGTCCCAATCGGTCTAGGGATATTAGACCTAGTGGTAGTGGTACTAGTTCTCTGGTCATCAAGATAGACCGGATATCTTCACCTGCAAGAGAGGAAGTGCCTCTATTACTTGATCAGCTCAACGAACCAGAATTCCCTGAGCTCTTCGGTACACAGTAAGTACTTTATACAAACTTTATACAATGTCTTTGAATAAAAAATAATTAAAAATTTACCTATAATTAGGTATTTTTAGATTGTAAAAATGTAACATTTTTTTCTATTAAATAATTACAGATTAACAGTCTCCTTTTTTAAGTAACAGTGATTTGAGTATTTTCTAATTATATTGTAATAATAATGATAATATTATAATAAGGAAATTATTTATGTTAATAGGCCCTTTTTCCATGTTAATCATCAAAAAGATGGAAAACATAGCTATAGATATATAAAAGTAAAATGAAAATGTAATTTTTTTTTATTTAAAGTTTAACAGTGCAAAATTTTACTATATTAATTTACAGCTCTGACAAAAACAGGGTTCGGGTTGGGAAAAAATGTATTTTAGATATCAATTTAATCAATTTTTTTCCCCAAAAAATATTTCAGAAAAGGGCCTGTTGTCACACTCATGTCATGACTGTTTTCATTGTTATTGTGAAACTTAGATTTATACTAAACATTTCTGTTATAAATTGTTTTATCAGCCTCACAAATGAGATGATCTGTCAGATGGAGGAATGGCGTGTTGAGGCTGAAGAGCACTTTGACTTCAGTCTCCTGCTGTCTAAAAATAGCAAGGACAGCAGTAAGAAAGGTGCTCATCTCAATTATATTATAATGTTTATTTATGTTTGTTAATGTTTTTTTCAGCCCTTCACCAGTGTAGATGGATTATTATTATTTTAATGTTGCATATTCGAAAATAAGATTTGGTCAGTCATTTCATATTGTTTTCACTTTAAAATAATCATGCATTCTATATACTTTTTTACTAAATATTTCCATTTATTTTCAGGTAATGAACTCCCAAAACAACAAATTTATAATTCTCAAATGCCATATGTAAAGAATGATGGCCTTTACAAGATGGAAGTGAATTTAAGTGTTGTTATTATTATTTTATAAAAATATCTTTGAAATAAACATGAGTTACTATATATTTCAGTGAGCCGTAAGCGTGGTAGGGACGATGATCCAGATTGGTATCCTGCTGCAAAACGGTCCGCCATCCACATCAACCCAAGTCATCCCAACTTTCGGAGGTATTTTTACTAGTTAGTTATTGTAGTGTAGTAATGCTGTAGGGGTGTAGGGTAGTTAGTTATTTTTTCTGATAAGTTTTTATCCAATGATGTTGTCAATAAACCCTTCAGTTAGTAATTTCACCAGTTTTCTGAATATCTAGCTATATTTTTGCCTAAATACTTCATTTAAAACATTGGGATCAAATTTTTTATCTAAGTATTATTTATTTATGTAGCAACCACTTAACCTGAAAATACTAACTTTTGCAAACCTTCATACAGATGTCCCAATATGAACTGTTTTACAAGTTACGTAACAGTACTTAAAGAAACATATAATTATGTTCATTTAAGTGTCAATTTTAGTTTTTAACACAATTAATTGGTTTGGTTTTATAACACACAGACACTGTAACGTTTATATAGCTTCTTTTAAGCTTTACTGTTGAGGAAGACATGAGGTACCCACACATCTACCCATGTGCATCATGTCATGTGTTCTATTAAAGCTAGCTGGATAGCTGGCACACATGAAAGGAAGCAGAGCCCCTGGTAGGATTCAAACCCACTGTAGTGTAGTAAGGGGGAAAGTGGTTTTATGTAGACAATAGAAATTTTATTCTAGGGGATATGTTGATAATTTCATTTTCATTTAAACTTCAATTTTCTTTCATCTATAACAAAATCTTCAGTGTCTTTTCATCATTTGATCTTGGTTATTTTGTTTCTAAAATTGATTCCTGTTTGAAATATTAGTGCTTAAATCTATCTGTTTATTAAAAGTTTAACATATTAAAATCAAACATAGACAATATCCATTTTAATATTTTATATTAATATTTATACCAGATTATAGGCCTACATTTTAATATTTTATATTAATATACATACCTGATTGAAGATAATATCACATTACTGAAATGTTAGTCAGTTCAAATGTATTTTTTTTTTTCTAGAAAATAGTAATTAACCAGAAACATTTTTTATAACGATAATTCTTTCAGGATTTCTTTATGGTAAAAACAATAATGCAATTTTATCTTCGCACAAATTGCTATAATCTTTGATGCTTTTCACTGACCTTTTAAGATAGTATTAAAGGCACCTTACTAGTAAGTAAGATCTAAGAGCCATACCTCTTCTTTCATTTTTATAAGAGTAGAGTAGATTTTAATTATGACTAAATGTTGTTGCCGTTTTTTGTGTGTATTAAAGTTTTTGAACATGATTTGAAGACAGTGTTTAAATTTAAATTAATTTAAATTTGAATTTTCAATTTTTTTAAACATTTTGGGTTTATCAAATTCATTGGTTTAAATAGTAGATATCAGCTACAGCATTTGGTAGATATTAGAATTTAAAAAGATTTAAAAAAAATACAAAAAAATATTAAAATTTTAGAAAAACAAAATAAAAAAAGAACAAAATTTTTAAAAAATACAAAAAAATGTAGATTTATAATTATATACATTATAGGTAGACAGGAGGTCAGTTGTCAAGTACAATAACTTAGGTATTAATTAGTGCATGGTAATTATACAGGCAGTTCTAATCTTAAACTTGTCTGTGGGAAGTACAGCTGTAAGGGGAAGTTGGAGACCTTATAGGTAAGGCCAAAGGGGAGGTCTGTGGTCATTTAGATAGTGTAAATTAATGGTCTATAGATAGTAAAGTGTGGTAAGTGTAAATTTATGGTCAATAGGTAGTTAAGTGGGTAGTAAAGTGTGGTAAGTGTAAATACATGGTCAATAGGTAGTAAAGTGTGGTAAGTATAAATTAATGGTCTATAGGTAGTAAAGTGTGGTAAGTGTAAATTAATGGTCTATAGGTAGTAAAGTGTGGTAAGTGTAAATTAATGGTCTATAGGTAGTAAAGTGTGGTAAGTGTAAATTTATGGTCTATAGGTAGTAAAGTGTGGTAAGTGTAACTTTATGGTCTATAGGTAGTAAAGTGTAAATTAATGGTCTATAGGAAGTAAAGTGTGGTAAGTGTAAATTTATGGTCTATAGGTAGTAAAGTGTAAATACATGGTCTATAGGTAGTAAAGGGTGGTACGGACGGCTGTAAGGGGAGGTTGGAGGCCGTTTAGTTAGTGTTATTATCATTCATAGCTGTTAGGGAGGTCAGATAGTGTTATTATATTCTAAACATACTAAAGTATGATGTGAACTATGAGTTGTTAGGGAGGTCAGATACTGTTTAATTATTGTTATTAAATCCTGTTAGTGGTAAAAGGTGGAATGGACGGCTGTAAGGGGAGGTTAGAGGCCGTTTAGTTAGTGTTATATAATCAAAAGTACAAAGATGATTTTGAATATGATTTGTTAGGGAGGTCGTTTACCTTTAAGATAAAATAATATAATTATTTGTTAGTGGGAAAGGGGTTCTACAGCTGTGTAAAAGGGGAGGTTTGGGGCCCCTTTTTTGTTTTTTTTATATGATGTGACTGGTCAGTTCCCTTTAGGGTCAAGGTTTTTATTTCTATTATGGGAAAAAGGGGGTACACGGTATTTGGGGGTTGGAGGTGTTTAAAATTTGTGTTACATATTCTAAAGGTACAACAGTTGTTAGGGAGGTCAGATACCATATATTCTTTTAGTTTTAGTAGTAAAGGGTGGTTTGGACGGCCATAAGGGGAAGTTAGAGGCCGTTTAGATAGTTTGATTATTTATAATTTTTTTCCTCCCCTTTTACAAATAAACCGTGTAATTTTTCCCCAAAATTAAGGGCTGGGCTGCTTCCCCAACCCAAAAAAGCCCTGCTTTCAAATAGAGAAATGCATAAGAAGTCTTAGAAGAAGAAAGTTGGATCATCAATAATTGAATTTTTAGAGTAGTAAATTGGAAAAGCAATCATTATTTTAGAAATAAATAAAGGATGTTGAATGAGTGTAATTTTTGTTTTATACTGAATTTATTGAACAAGTTTAATAAAATTATGTTATGCAAGGTCTGGCAAACATGATATTATTTTATTCAACAAGTTCATTAAATTCAGTAATGAACTTACACAAATTTTTTAACATTGTATTCTCTTTATCACATACCAAAAATAAAGTCTGTTTATAGTGAAAAATAACCATTTTTCTTTCACACGCCTATAGTATAATGCTAACATTTAGCGTGTCTTATCGCTATGTTTGTATAACACAAATGACATCACATCAATATATATGCACGGCCTTGTAATACGATTTTTACGGAGTCGCAAAAGCGGCGTGGGTATGTGATAAATGCATTTACTGTTACATCAAAAACCTTTTGAAGGAAGAAGTCTACTTGATTAGCAGTATCTGGAGTTGAAAAATGAAATAGTAATATATATAATGAAAGGAAAAAATCAGACATATTAGAATTTATCATTTTTAAAGAAAAAAATCAATCAGCAGTTATTGAGGTAGAAAAAAAGGATAAGCAGTTACTGAAATAAAAAAGAGCCACGGATGATGCTCCCCTGTGAAATAGGTCTTGAACACAGAGAAGTAGTTTGTCCATAAAGTATTAACAAATTTCAGCATAAAGGTATATGTATTATATACTGGGTAGTTGCTGAAAAAGGTTAAAAATGTTTTAAATATGCTTTGAAGAAAGTATCAACACTTTAAACGGTATCAAGGGCAGTAACTTCAAAATTAGGAAGCAGAGTTATGGTTCTTGTGCGCTGCACTTTTCCACTATAAGATCTATCCGTCTGTAAAGTTTCAAGTCAGTAGTTTTCATACTGTTGGAGTTACATTGTGGTAAAAAAAAAAAGTATGAAAAATGACAAAGGGCAGTTAATACTCAAAAGTTATGAAGTAATGGTTTTTATGCACTGCTCTTTTACTAAATGAGATCTGTCTACCTACAAAGTTTCTTGTTGATATCAGACTAAGTGTAAAAATGAAAAAAGGCATTAACTTCAAAATTAAACAATGCACAGTTACCCTTCAGGGAGCATAAAAAAAGGACCAGCTATATATGAAGCAGGAAAAAATGGATCAGTCATATTTGAAGCAGAAGAAAAAGGATCAGCAGTATTTGAAGAAGGAAAAATTGATCATCAGTATTTGATGTAGAAAAAAAAAATATTTACAGTATTTGAAGGAGAAGCCAAGAATCAGCAGTATTTGTAGTGGAAAAAAGAGATCAGCAGTATTTGATGTAGAAAAATGGATCAGTAGAATTTGATGTTGAAATATGAATCGGCAGTCTTAGAAGTAGAAAAAATGGATCAGTAGAATTTGATGTAGAAAAAATGGATCAGCAGAATTTGATGTAGAAAATGGATCAGCAGTCTTAGAAGTAGAAAAAAAATTGGATCAGCAGAATTTGAAAAAGGTTAAAAATGTTTTAAAGAGTAAATGTATCAGCAGTATTTGATGTAGAAAAATGGATCATTACATTTGAAGTAAAAAAATGGATCAAATGGAATAAATGGATCAGCAGTATTTGATGTAGAACAAGAACTGTCGGAGGACAGTAACGCTCGACTATTCGAAAAGTTGTCACAAGGGTGTTTCATTGAGTATAATAATGCTTACCTATATGAATACATAAAATTGTCCGAAAAGGTACAAACCCTTCAGTAGTTATGGAGATACCAGCTTACACACAAAAACTTAACCAAGAATTTCTAAGTCAAAAAAGGGGCATAATTATGTAAAAAAGCAAATCAGAGTTATGGGACTTGTGCCAATCATCTTAGATAATCACAGGGAACAAGTGTGTGAAGTTTCAATCCATTCCCTTCAGTAGTTATGGAGATACCAGCTTACATGCAAAAACTTAACCAAGAATTTCTAAGTCAAAAAAGGGGCATAATTATGTACAAAAGCAAATCAAGAGTTATGGGACTTGTGCCAATCATCTAAGATAATCACAGAGAACAAGTGTGTGAAGTTTCAATCCATTCCCTTCAGTAGTTATGGAGATACCAGCTTACACCAAGAATTTCTAAGTCGAAAAAGGGGCATAATTATGTAAAAAAGCAAATCAGAGTTATGGGACTTGTGCCAATCATCTAAGATAATCACAGGGAACAAGTGTGTGAAGTTTCAATCCATTCCCTTCAGTAGTTATGGAGATACCAACTTACACACAAAAACTTAACCAAGAATTTCTAAGTCGAAAAAGGGGCATAATTATGTAAAAAAGCAAATCAGAATTATGGGACTTGTGCCAATCATCTTAGATAATCACAGGGAACAAGTGTGTGAAGTTTCAATCCATTCCCTTCAGTAGTTATGGAGATACCAGCTTACATGCAAAAATTTAACCACAGGGACGCCGACGCCGACAAATGGGTGACTGCATTAGCTCGATTATTCTGCGAATAGTCGAGCTAAAAATGGATCATTACATTTGAAGTAGAAAAATAGATCAACAACAATTTGAGGTTAAAAAAATAGATCATCATATTTGAAGAAGAAAAAAAGGAATCAGCAGTATTTGAGGTAGAAAAAAATGGATCAGCAAGAAAGAAAAGGTTCAGCAATATTTGAAGTAGAAAAAAGAGATCAGCATATTTAAAGTAGGAAAAAATGGATCAGCAGTATTTGAAGAAGGAAAAATTGATCATAATATTTGAAGAAGAAAAGGATGTAGTAAGAAAGATCACCATATTTGAAGTAGAATATGGATCAGTAGTATTTGAAGTAGAAAAATTGGATCAACTCCATTTGAAGTAGAAAAAATCAACAGAATTTAATTAATTAAAAAAGTGAAAAAGGCAAAATTTTGGCAAAATTAATTTGAAAATGCATGACAGAGTTTTGTCCTCTTGTCTGGAAGTGGGGATAATGGTCTTAACAAG